CCCCCCCCCCCCCCCCCGGGAATTTCTTTCACCCACCGCTCGTCGATCCTTACACCATCCATTGCGTTTCGAAGCCCAGGAAAATCGGTTAATTTGAGGACAGCCATCTGTGATGCTCCCTGATAAACCCGTGGGGGGGATCCTTGGACAGCAGTGCCGATCCGGACAGTATCCGCAGTAACATAGCAGGATCCTCACCAGGGCCGCCGCGGTCAACGTCATCCGAATCCAGCGAGATAAAATCACAATGGTCGAAAGCGCAGAGTACGGCTGAAGCTCATAAACATGTGGGGAAAGCAAACCAGGACCCCGTAAGGGCTGAAAAGGCCAAGAAGGAGGAGATATTGCAAGAAAAGGAGAGAGACTTTAAAGTGAAACACATCGGTCTGGTGGGAGTGCTGTTGTGGATATCGTGAGTCTCCTTTTGGCCTCAACATCTGGCGTCAAATGCTGCACCCCCCACCTCCGGCTGGTTGCGTAGTTGTGCTAATATCCGTGCTCGTTCGTCTGATAGCATCTTGCATCTCGTCGGTATATACTTCTTCACCAAAGGATTTTTATTAACTCGACTGGTCCTCCAAGACAAGTCCAGTTGCGGGGTGCTCCCGTTTGATGAACCTGATGCAGCAGCATTGAGCCCACGATCGAATATTGGAAACCCAGAGAAGGGATGTTGGCACCCGAAGACTTTCGACAAGGCCATCTTCATCATAATCGATGCCCTTCGCTATGACTTTGCCGTTCCTTTCCACCCGACAGTGGAAGGTGAACGGCCACATCTCTTCCATAATAACATCCCTGTCCTGTATGAGACGGCAGTGCAGAGCCCCGAAAACGCACTCTTGCTGCCATTTATTGCAGATCCTCCCACAACAACGCTGCAACGGTTGAAAGGCTTGACTACCGGCACACTGCCCACCTTTGTAGATGCTGGCTCCAACTTCGCAGGCACAGCGATCGATGAGGACAATCTAGTTGCACAGTTACATGCAGCCGGCAAAACCTTGGTCCATCTAGGTGACGATACTTGGCATTCTCTGTTTCCCGACTATTTTCATCCCAACCTTACCCACCCCTTCGACTCCTTCAATGTATGGGACCTACATACCGTGGATAATGGCGTGAACGAGCACCTTTTCCCACTGCTACATCCGGACAATGCAACGAAATGGGATGTCATATTTGGGCACTACCTCGGTGTCGATCATGCCGGCCATCGGTACGGCCCAGATCATGTTGCCATGGCGGCGAAATTGAAGCAAATGGACCAGGTAATACGAGATCTCATCAAACTGATTGACGACAAGACGCTTCTCGTCGTTATGGGAGACCATGGTATGGATTCCAAGGGAGATCACGGAGGCGAGTCGGATGACGAAGTTGAGGCCGCGTTGTGGATGTACTCCAAGAAGGGCGTTTTCGGTCGCACGAATCCCGATTTCATCCATCCCCCGAAGAACGCAAAGGAACGTCCTATTCCGCAGATTGACATTGTTCCCACCTTGTCTCTGCTGCTGGGCATGCCGATACCGTTTAATAACCTGGGTTCACCAATCGAGGAGGCATTTGCCGGACGCGCAGGCTCTGATTTCAAGAATCTGGCGACTGTCAATCGCCTGACATCAGCCCAGATCAAGAGATACCAACATCGATATGCGATCGCTCGGGGTGTTGATGACAGCCAGACTTCAGGGCCACTTTCTCTATGGTCGCAAGCGGAGAACGAGTGGAACAAACTGGCGAAGTCGGGATATTCAAACTCTGATAAACTACGGTCGGTCTACAATGCGTACCGAGAATACCAACGTGATACTCTGAGCGTGTGTCGCGGCCTGTGGGCGAGGTTCGATGTACCCAGCATGATTCAGGGAATTGCGATCCTTTTCGGAGGAATAGTGTTGTTGATCCTCTACGCCAGAGGGTTACGGGCTGACCGGACGAACTTCAATTCCTTTTTACTTCCGAGAATCGGGCTGGGAGCTGGTCTGGGTACCGGTGCTGGTCTTCTCTGGAAGTATGCTGGGCCGGAGGATTCACTTATTTTCGAGAATGTCCTGCTAGGCGCCGCCGTAGGCAGCATGCTAGGTGCCGTATCAACCGTGTTCTGGATCCCTTCAGGGTTCAAGTCGCCATTTCCGAATTCCCTCTGGGGCTGGCTTGCCGTTATTTTCACAGTTTCTCAGTCCATCGGATTCGCATCAAATTCGTATACCATATGGGAGGACCAGATCCTGCTGTTCTTCCTCACTACCTTCGGGGTTCTTGCAGGCATCTCCTCGATGCGTCAGAAGTCGACATCCGACCGGGTTCTGGGAGTATATCATTCCATACTCTTCGTCATTCTTGGAAGATTGGCGTCATTCTCTCGCCTGTGTCGCGAGGAACAGATGCCTTACTGTCGCTCTACCTACTATGCTTCCAGCACATCCTCAACTTCAGCCCCGTGGCAACTCGTCATTCCGTTCTTGGTTTCACTTTTCCTGCCAGCCGTCATACGGTCCTTTTATGCCGGATCAAAGTCCTACGAGGGATCTGCGACATTATGGATCGGGTTTGCTCTGCGTGTCGGACTGTTCATGACCGCGATCTATTGGACGCTAAATGCAGCGGACGACGGAGAGTGGTTTACTTTGGGTAAAGGTACTCTGAAATCAATACGAGTTATTATAGCTCAACTGGTGCTTGCGATCGCTTTCGCTGCGGGAACGACCACGTTCGTCTGGGCGAAGCCCTGCGTGAGTATCAATGTGACACCAGGGGGAGTCTCTCCCGACGGCGAGAAATCGGGACAACAGCCGGGGAGGACGACGGTGACGATTCTGGGATTCGCCAATGTCCATGGAACGCGTTTCTTCCTGCTGGTCATCAACTTCTGTCTCGCTATTACCCTGGTGCAGAAGCCCATGGGACAAGGCGCGATTGCAGTGCAGCTGTGGCAGATTCTCTCGCTGCTCGAGATTCTCGACACGAACGGGCTCTCAACCAGTAACTCGGCGATTGGGCCCATCGTTCTGGGCCTGCTCGGGTCATTCCACTTTTTCAAGACCGGCCACCAGGCCACGCTGAGCAGCATCCAGTGGGACAGTGCTTTTGTCGCCCTTTCAACGGTACAGTATCCGTGGTCGCCTCTTCTTGTCCTGCTCAACAGCTACGGTGCACAGATCCTTGCCGCCGTGGCAGTGCCCCTCACGGTCCTGTGGAAACGGCCCATTGACACCGAAGGCCGCATCCCGATGCAGTTGGTCTCTACTACACAGTCGTCGTCGACGTCGTCGTCGTCGTCCAACAGCCCCATGCTACGTCTGCTTTCGGACGTGGTCCAGACAGCGTCAACGCACTTGTTGTACTACGCGACCATCAACCTCGCGACCACCATGTGGGCTGGCCATCTGCGGCGGCACCTGATGCTCTATCGTATTTTCAGCCCTCGCTTCATGATGGGAGCCACTGTTTTGGGAGTCGTGGACCTGGTTGTCACGCTCATTGCCGTTGGCGCAGTGCGGTGCAACACGGTGAGCGTGGCGGAAGTTTTTGGGTGGTAAGCAGCAAGTAGAAGGGGGGACTCGATTTCTCTCAAGAAGAAGAATCATTCATTGTCCCTGTCCTTACCGTTATTTGTTGTTGTTGCAAGCGTGATTATTGGTCTGGATTATTCGATATAATATAATAGATAGATATGTAGGCAGGCCGTAAGCAGGCACAGTCATCATCGATACTCAGAAGAAACAACAATATCCATCCATATATCATATATATCATATATCTATGTATTAATATATACCTAGGTAGTATATATAACATATATACTGGAACCAAGTCAAAGTCTAAATTCATTCTAAAGTCATCATTCCTTTACCAATTCATTCACTAATATTCTCAGGTTGTGGTAAGCTTAAAAAGTAACTAACCCTCGGGGTCCTTGGTGGGAGCGAGTTTTCGGACCGGGATAGATAGAGATGATCGACCCCCTGTGGTTTCTTTTTATGGGAGCGCTTAGTATAACAGTCTTTATCGTCTACCTACGTTGACATTACCATAGCCGTACGGTATGGTATGGCACGTATCACTTGGACTCTATGTTTTTTTTTGGCCCCGGAGGAGATGAGGTTACAATCAATGTATTTAGTTAGATTAGGGGACTTGTTATGCCCCAAGATATATATGTATAATCAATCAATTCCATTGTCATCACTTCGTAACATGGAGCTGAGCTGTTTCCTTACTTTACTTGCATTTTTCCTGCTTTTTTTTTTGGGCTCTCCATCTGATCTGATCGAATTTCCCATACCAGACCATACCATACCATAAATCCAGGCCCAGGTCAAGACCGCTCCCAAACCAGTGCAGGTTGTTGTTGTTGTTGTCAGATGGCCAGACAAGACCAAGCATGTGCGAGAGGAAAGATATAATTTTTATTACTAATTCACACCAGTGAGTGTTTTGGAATGAATCAAACGCTTTTTTCTCTTGTCTGATGAAACAGCCAAATGATATATACTCATAACATGAGAAGAAGGAAGGACATGAAAGAAAAAAAAGGAAAAACAGAAAGAAAGACAGTAATGACAAAACTTTTAGAGGGTATTCACACATCGAACCGAATTTTTTTTTGCACCAAAATTAATAATTCGCCAGAGATGTACATACATGAAGTTAGGTTGGAATTATCGATCATTTCATTTCATTCCATTCAAATCACAAACTGTCGTTTCGATAATTCGTCGTCTCAGACTCAAAGAAAAAAAAAGCTTTTAACGACGCAGGTAAGGAATTGTCGTTTTGTAAAGAAGGAAAAAAAAATGTACAGTACAAGTAAGGAAGGGGGTGGAAATGAGGATAGAAGAAAGAGAGGCCTGTCGTCTTATCTAGTCCACCGAGAAAAGTCCAAGGCTTGGACAACGTTGTTGTCTGCAGCCGCGTTCCAATCAGCACTGAAATCGGTTCGCACCCCAGGTCGCGACGACCCGTCCTCCGGGTACAGATTGGGCTTCGTGTTGCGCCGGTAGCCCATGTAGCTTCCTTCCCCGACCTCTGCTGGGGCCTGATTCTGGGCATTTAAGACGCGCTCACGAAGGCGCTTGATCTCGCGCAGTCTGTTGCGCCAAGACGATATATGCTCGCCGCCTTCGCGGTTCCACACAAGCGAGAAGACGGAGGCATTCATCGCAAGAATGCGGACAAAGGCAGCGAGGTTCTTGCCGGAGATAACTTTCGCTGTGGCAGCCGGCGAGAGTTCTGGGAATCCAGGCTTGCTCATCACCTTGACTGAATAGAATTGCTTATTGTAGTCTGTAGCGTCCTCCGTTTCAGACTTGGCATAGTCACGAGGTGCAATTCGGCTGACTGGGGTGATGACAATGTTGATAAAATTGAACTGCGACGGTATGGTCTCGAAATTGAAAGGTAAATTCGACCGGTTGAAGATGATGTTAACAAAGTCGTTGCCAATGTGACGTTTCTTGTTGATGCAGTGAGGATCAGTCTCGAGATTGGTAGGCATCATTGTAGCTATATGATAAACGACCTCGGTTACCCGGTCCCGCCATGCATACGTGTACTCGCCGTCAACATCGCCATGAAGGCCCTGGGTATTGAATTGAGCACCGCGGAGCGCCACCTTAGTTCCGAGGCCGGTCAAGAAGTGCTCGTAGTCCGGACTGCCCTTTGTGTTGGCCAATATTTCAGCCTCTGTGGTCTGACCCTTGTCGATAAATATGACGCCAACTTTATGTCCATCAACAATGTCATTTCGATCGAACGAATTTATTGCTCGACGGGTCATATCATCATCTGGGAGTGGGATAGGTTGTACGACTGAGGGAGTCGGAAAGGCGGTAGTTGTCATCTGAAGGAGCACATGACTGGGTAAGATGGCCGTACGACTGGACGCATCAGAGAGCGAAAGAGCATCAGGTGTTGGAGGAACTTGGTGTGGCAGGACTGGTGCCGTCCGCTGTCTATATTCTGCATATGTCGTCCCAGAGGCCATTCGCTTTGTGATCTGAGTCAGACCAGACACTGCAGCAGTCTCGACCGTGACGATGCTCATCCCAACGATCCATGACTTCTTCACCACCGGGCCGTGCTCGGGAGAAGGAGGGAATTTATCAAAAGGTATTGTGTCACCCAGATCGGAATACGTCACTCTCTGCATAAAATCAATAAATACTTCGCTCTGCTCTTCAACCACTTCTCTCCCATGTTCATCTGTAAATATTAGTCGACTGGTGATCCAATTGACATGTTTCGCGCGATCCTGAAGCTTGAGAGACAGAAACCAGAAGACCAAGACATGGTATGTGAGTGTGTACACATATTTCGAGATGCCCTCCTGCCAAGATGTATCAGATGGCTCAGCTTGCGCAGCAGCTATCTCCCGTAAGCCACCGCTCAGCCTCGTCGAGAGCGAACTGTTTCGGGAAGTCGGAGACTCAGATGCTTTATAGCGTTGCTCTCTTGAAGTCTGTATGAAGCGGATGCAGATGCCAAAGACGGTACGGATTTCCTCTTCCCGGAGATTGACATATACATCGGGCAACCTAGCAAGAAGAGCGAGAAACTCCAAAATATGGACAGCCAGATGGGACATCGTTATCACTTTCGACATCTTGTCAAGTATGGCGTTTAGTGATTTGGTTACCGAAAGTGGGATTTCATGACAGCAAACAGACAGAGCATGTATGCACCCTCGTGAGGTGCCATCCCAGGATCCAATGATTCCCAGCATGAATGCGCGGACGAGCTCGTCCTGTTCGCTCTTGGCAAAGTGTCCATGATAGCTGATAAGCATGGCCAGGGCTTCGAATATGCAGATAGCTACATCCGCTTTTTTGACGCCTGACAAGCCAGGGGGTTCGCGAAAAGTCTCATTTTTTATCTGATCACAGAGGACACTGCGCAGCAGTTTAATTTGAGGAACAGCGTTGGTGAAGAAGTCTCTGTTGCCCAACTGCGGTCCAAGGTGAGCAAGGACATAGCTGTAGACATCCCAATCTGATTCGCGCTGCAACAAGGTGATAACTGTTTCCAGCCAGAAGTTTATTTTTAATGTCACTGTCCCTTTAGATTGAGGCTCGGGCTCATAGGCATAGACATAAGGACTAGGAGTTGTTGGTGGCTCATCTGGAAGGCCCCTTGGCTCAACGTACGTCCAAGCAGGAGGCATCCACCTCCCGCTACGCAATTGAGAACTACTCCCGCGCATCATCGGCTTGGACGGAGGAGCGGAAGTGGACTGCTCCTTTAGTGACAATCTGCCAGTATGAGCAACGAGACCTTCTTCAGCCTTTGACGCACGATCGGCACCAGCGCCCTCCATGCTTGGCGCCGGTTTAGGTCCAACGTCCAAGTTCCGCGACAGCACAGCTACCAGGAAGTCATTGTCAACGTCGGCAGCCACCATGATCGAACCTGCGGAGTCGCATCTTAGCCTGAACAGGAGCTTTAAAACTGTCAACCGAGAATCAGAAGGTCGATCCCATAACCGGACTATGTAAATGAGAGCCTCAAATAACAGTGCAGCCCTATCAGCCGACGCGTTGACGAAGCGAAGAAACAGCTTGACAAGCCCAGTAGAGCAGACATTTGACAAGGATGACTCCGGATTGCCCGCAGCGGAGCTGCGACGGGATTCAGACTGACCCGAGGGAAGAAGAACATCATCACTGCTGCGATCGTACGTCATTGATGAGCTCAACTTGTCTACGACAAGCTTCAACAGAGTGTCATCACCCATAGCCGCAATCTCGACCATTACCGAGACCAACGCCTCGAGATAGACTGGATCTTTCTCCTCGGGAAATTCCTCGAGAAGATATTCAATAAGCTTACTCTGTTGAAAACTAGCCAAAGCCCCATCGCTAAACATTGCATCCTTCAACGTCTCTAGAGCTAGGATGCGGACATCCGAGACCTTATCAGATGGTTGTAAAAATGCTCGAATGAGTGTTCTCGACTGCGATTCCCAGTCATCTTTCCCGGGAAAACATGCTTTTCTCTCCCTGAATAGGCTGAGAAGCAACCTAGCTTGAGTAGGCGAAAGGTGTCGATGAATCAGCATAAGAAATCGCCCTGACTCGATTCGCTGTTGCTCATTCAGTCTGTCCCAGTGATATTCAATCAATGCTGCAATCCGCGTGATATTCGCTAGAATGTTCGAGCGACCATCTTCTAACGTAGCACTCTTCGATGGCGAAGTAGGCACAGCGGCTTGGGCGGAGTTAAGACATCCATCATGTCCATCAATGACGTGGCGGGAGCACAAGAGCAACAGTTCGACAAACTCCCTCCAATCCGGCTCCTGCATGCAGACGGAAGCGAACTCGCCGTCCAACATGCTCAGACACAACTTGAGAACGTCGGCTTCAATGCGACAGCTTTCTCTTTCGACCACAACGTGGAGGGAGTTCACTAAACCGACAAATGAAATTTGAGGCAAACCCTCTTGGCCGTATGCACGAGCAAGATCCGTGAAGACATCAATCGCCCCTCGAACAACATTGAGATTCCGGCCTTTGCTATCAGGGTCCTCTACTAGAAAGGAGTGCAAAAGATCCACCATCGCCGCCTGTCTCCGTGATTTAGCCAGATTGCGGACTACTCGAGACGTGGGGCCGGTGAGGGACTTGACAGAGGCGTGAATACTGCACAAGACTTCCAGCATGCCCATAAAGCTTCCTTCGGGCACCTCCGCATAAAGGACGATAGCATCGAAGATAGCTAACGAGTTTTTGATATCCAATGCGACGCTCGTCTTCTTGCATACCGTCAAGACCTCGTTTAGCAAAAATTCAATCTCTTCCGTGGTGGCAGGATTATATTGGAGCGTGATCACGTCAACGACAAACTGGAGCAAGTTGTTCAAATTGGCATCGTCATCATATCTGGACCCATTCGAGCGTGATACTTTCCCTTTCTTCGCTTTCGAGCGCGCTGCGGCAACAGCTTTGTACAGCGGCATCAGACAAGCTGAGAGGACCGGCAAGATAGAAGAGTCAGTAAAGTCCAGCTTTCTGCCATTGTCTGACAACGCAATCAACGCATTGATACGTGCAGGTATGACGTCTGGCGCGGATGGACGCGAAATGCTCTCGAAAATATAACGCCTTGCTGTGGGAGATAAGTCTTGCCTGTTGGCGATCACTTCCAACAGCTTTGACCCTCGCCTTCGAACTTCCTCTGAGTCCTCATCGTGGATGATATGAGCCCCAGCCTGCCACAACGCGATTGACTGGTCTGGTGTGAACTTGTGCAAGAACCTGGCTACACTCTCAGCTTCCTCTGCAGCTATGGCAACGCTTTGACTTTGCAGGTTTCTGAGAGCCGCCTCGAATTCCGGAGCGCTGGCCGGGTCTGAAGAGTTTGATATAGTGCTGGCTCTATGCATCGTTTCGAATCCAAATGTCACCCGACTGCCTCTTCGACCTCCCACACCATTACTCGCTGAATCTCCGCTGGTATCTGGGCTCGAAAGTGGTGACAGAGACTTCTGACGGCCGGAGGCTAGTGTCTTGAAGACGTCCGCGAAAGTCGAGGTCGAGGGCTTTTGTTGAGGTGGAGAAGGATCATTTTCGGACGACATACGCCCCACTGGACGGAAATCTTAATGCGACGGAGTTTGAATCTGTAATCAGGATCTGTATAATAAGGAATCAGAGGTTAGTCACTGACACAGAGAACTTAGGCCAGATGACGTGGGAGATAGGTACATATGTCAAGGTTTGGGCCGCGGCTCGGGTTTTTGGGCGTTGTCGGGAGTTGTGAGAAACCAGAACAGATAATGACAGAAAGACAGAGCGGAGGGCTTTACAAGATCAGCAGCATCCAGTACCATTAAGTCTTAAAATGTCGCTTCGCGGAAAGGGGCCTGCAGATATCTAATGTAACCCTCATCCGATAGTTAGCGCGGAGGGTACAGAACGGATCCAGTTGGAAGAACCTGCCCAGCATCAGATCGTTGGAGGAGAAGTGTAGAGCAAGACAGCAGCCTGATTAAAGTATAAGGAAATATGGATCTATGGTACGGACGGCCTTGCGGAAGGGCTTGGTCCCTATAGGGCGATCATATCGCTGTGTCTGGGAGGAGCATCTGGCAATCACGACATGCCAAGACCCGCGCTGGCTGTCTGTACAAAACGCTTAGATAGGGAACTGGGTGGGCAAGTCGGGACGAATCCTTCGGAACAGCCTTTCTCCGACCGCCGCCCCCTGCCCGGCTGTCACCGTCGTCATTGGCGGCGACTGAGGTCACATGACCGTCAGAATTCCCCTCTGCACCCCGCCCAGCCGCACTCACCGCCTTGCATCGCAAAGCAGCCCACCAAACAAACTGCCAGACAGGGAAGCAAGCTGCTTCACGCTCTTCATTCCTCGGACAGACCAAGCCTGGGACCGTGCTCTCAACGGGACGTGTATCTTACTAGCCCTGCATTTGTTCCTGTGCTTTTAGCCGACTCTCTGCCCTTCCTTTAGTCCCCTGCACTTCGGTTTTGGTCCAAAATGGCTGCTGATCTCGGGGCTGTCGCCCAGCTCCTTGACGCAAGCTTGGATCCAAGGCAGAACAAGCAAGGTACGTTTCAACTCCCCAAACCCCGAAGTGGCTTTAGCTAAACGTATTGCAGCGGAACTTGCTCTACGTCAAGAAGAGAAAAAGCCTGGCTTCTCACTATCACTCCTTCAGATCACCGCCTCTGCGAACTATCCTTACAACACCCGCCTTGCGAGCGCTCTATGTTTCAAAAACTTTATCAAAAGGAATTGGACCGACGAAGATGGCAACTACAAACTTGCAGCCGACGAGGTGGCTACCATCAAGCGTGAATTGATCAGCTTGATGATTTCCGTTCCTGCGGGAATCCAAACTCAGCTGGGGGAAGCAGTCAGTATCATTGCCGACAGTGACTTCTGGGAGCGATGGGATACGCTCGTGGATGTATGTCGCTTCACTTTGCTTTCTCATCCACCTATGGCTTGCCAATTGCTGACTATCTCAGGACTTGGTTTCAAGACTAGATCCCAAGAACCCAGCCATCAACAACGGTGTTCTGCAGGTTGCGCATTCGATCTTCAAGAGGTGGAGACCGCTATTTCGCTCAGATGAACTCTACACCGAGATCAACCATGTGTTGGACCGGTTTGGGAACCCATACTTGGCCCTTTTTGAGGTAACTTGTTCATCACCGAACTCTAGAGTAACACTACTAAGGGGTGGTAGGGCTTGGATGCGTTCCTCGAAGAAAACAAATCCAACAAGGAGAAACTCACCCAAGGCTTTACTCAACTCAACCTAATGATCAAGTTACTCTATGACCTATCCTGTCACGACCTTCCGCCGATGTTCGAAGATCACCTGGGGGCTATCTCTACCCTCTTGCTGAAATACTTGCTGTACGACAATGAACTGTTGCATACATCTGATGAGGGCGAATCCGGTCTCCTAGAGTTTGTTAGAGCTGGCATATTTGAGGTTCTCACCCTCTTTGTCCAGAAGTACATCGATGTGTTTGGCAGTCACGTTGGACAGTTTGTTGGAAATTCGTGGAATCTTTTGACCACTATTGGGCAAGAGACGAAATACGACATTCTCGTCAGCAGGGCTTTACAATTCTTGACGTCTACCATAGTCATTACCGAGCACGCATCGATCTTCCAGGACCAAAGTACTCTCAGTCAGGTCATCGAAAAGGTCATCCTGCCGAACATTAGTCTGCGTGAATCGGACGAGGAATTGTTTGAGGACGAGCCAATTGAATTCATCCGACGTGATCTTGAGGGTTCTGACAGTGATACAAGACGGCGGGCGGCTACAGACTTCCTGCGACAGTTGGCCGATAAATTCGAAGATTCCGTAACCAAGGTCGTTTCTCAATATACAGATCACTATCTTGCAGAATACGCAAAGAATCCTGCATCGAACTGGAAATCCAAGGACACTGCAACCTATCTCTTCTCCTCAGTTGCCGCAAAGGGCACGCCGACCGCCAGCCATGGTGTCACTACTGTCAACCGCCATGTGAACATCGCGGACTTTTTCCAGAAGCATCTTGCTGCAGACTTGGTTGCTGAGAGCGGAATCCACCCCATTCTGAAAGTTGATGCTATCAAGTATCTTTACCTCTTCAGAAGCATTATCACGAAGCAGCAGTGGCAGGAGGTCTTTCCATTGCTAGTGAAGCATCTGGGCTCTTCGAATTATGTTGTTTACAGCTATGCAGCTATTGCTGTGGAACGGGTTCTGAATCTCTCGGATGGTCAGGGCCAGCCAGTCATCGCACCCAGCGCGATTACACCCCTGGCAAAAGAACTCCTGGAACATCTTTTCCAGCTTATTGAAAAGGACCCATCGCCTCCGAAGGTGCAGGAAAACGAGTTCTTGATGAGATGTGTCATGAGAGTCCTCATCGTGATCAGGGAAAATGTGGTGCCTCACACCGACATAGTTCTGCAGCACCTGATTAAAATCACGCAAATTATCAGTGGCAACCCAAGTAACCCTCGGTTCTATTACTACCACTTTGAAGCCCTCGGCGCTTTCATCCGGTATGTACTCTCACTCGCCGACATCAAATTTGCTGGCTGACATATGATTAGATTTGCAGCACCGACCAATCCAGAAAAGCTGGAGCAAGCTCTTTACACTCCATTTGCTGCGGTCCTTCAAGCAGACGTTCAAGGTGAGCGGATTAGGTTTCCCTGATGTGGAATAACGAGCTGATATAGGTGATAGAATTCATGCCCTACATTTTCCAGCTGTTTGCTGCCCTTCTCGAAGCCAATCCTTCAGCAACGTTGCCAGATTACTATCAGAACTTGATTGCTCCAATTCTTATGCCTGTTATGTGGGAGTCTAGAGGGAATGTCCCTGCACTTGTCCGCCTTCTATGCTCTATCATCCCCAGAGGTACCCAATATATCATGCAAAACAATCAGGTCGAGCCTATCTTGGGCATTTTCCAGAAGCTCGTTTCAACAAAGGCCAACGAGAGTTATGGATTCGATCTTCTGGAGACCGTTGTTGAAAATTTCCCTCCGTAAGTCAATGTCGCTACCGTAATCGGTACAATCTCCGAGTCTGACAAATCTTTAGGAACACCCTGGAGAAGTATTTTATTTCCATTATGCAGATTATCTTGACACGTCTGCAGAACTCGAAGACGGAGAATCTCACTCTGCGTTTTGTCCGCTTTTACCACTTCATCTCGGCCCATGATGAGAAAGGATACAGTGCGGATTTCTTTATCCAGGTCACTGAGAAAGTGCAGGCCGAGTAAGTAGACGGCTATTCTTTCAACTTGAAACCTTCCCAGGCGCTAATAGCTGACTGTTAAAGCCTCTTCACACCAATCTACCTCAACATCATCCTCCCTGAGTCTCAGAAGCTCGCTCGTCCTTTGGACCGTAAAACAGCGGTTCTTTCCTTTACGAAGACGCTTGCGAACTCGGAGGCCTTTGCGAATCGGTACAAGAAAGGATGGGGTTACACTTGCGAAGCATTGCTGAAGTTGCTGGAACTACCACCCCTTCCTGCTGCCAAGGATGATATCATCGCCGACCATGATGTTGACGACATGGCGTTCGGGGTTGGGTTCACTCAGTTGAGCACCGTGCGACCGCGTCCGAAAGATCCGTGGCCAGAGACCGGAGCCGATCTCAAGGTGTGGGTTGGGAAGTATCTCAAAGAAGCGGACACCAAGCACGGAGGCCGGATCAGCGGATTCGTCCAGGAGCGGTTGTCTGATGAAGCCAAGAGGGTTCTGGGTAGCTATATGACGGCATGAAGAGAATGATCACTTAGATTCAGGAAGATATGAGGATGGTCCCAACGGAAACGAATTTTTTTATGACTCTTAAAAAAGTTTGTCTCTTTTCACTTCCCAGTCATTCTTCCCCTGCAGGTCATCCCATTATCTGCATCATTTAGGCACATTGTGTTTTAGAAAAAAAAGCTTTATTGCATAGAATTAATTTAAGTTTAGGTGTCTAATGATTCCTCTTCAGCGAGGGCCAAAAAAAAGTACAAATCGCCTGATCTTGTGCCTTGTAAATAACTTCAATCTGCTAACATGAAAGTCCGGCTCTTGGTTAGGCAGTTTCTGGATTAAACCCATCTTCAAGTGCCGATAGATGCTAATTAGGATTCTTCAAGTATTTATTTCATGCTATGTTCTGTTCCGTTCCGTTCACAAACCATGAACTCCTTTCTATGCAATGTACTGTACATATAATAGTCTTCTTTCTATCCATCAGTGGCCCAGGTAGGGCCATCACGTCTGTTGCTGAGTTGGACTTGAATTTGGATCACGCTCTTCTTTCTCTTTTTCCTGCTCTTCCCGCTTTTCCTGCTCCTGCTCCTCCTGCTCCTCCTGCTCCTCCTGCTCCTCCACTTCCTCCACTTCCTCCTCCTCCTCCACTTCTTCTTCCTCCTTCAAGCCCTCCTTCCCGGCCGCCAATAACTTCTCTCTCTCCTCCTTTTCTTTCCGCTTAGCCTCCTCCAACTTACGGTACTTTCGGCGACTCTTCTTGGCACTGCTCGCTTTCCGCTTCCTCTCCCTCTCCCTCTTGATGGCCAGGCGGCTCTGGTCGCCTTTCTCCAGCAGCTCGACCTTTTCGGCCAGGATCTCGCGGGCGATCTTCTCGTTCTGGGACCGCGAGCGGGTCGCCTGCGACTTAACGACGATACCGGTCGGTTTGTGGGTTATTTGCACGGCAGAGTTTGTTTTGTTCTGCGAAGAATCGGTCAATGAATTTGATTTCAAAAAAAAAAATGGTACGTGGGATTGGAGGTGATGGCAGTGTAAGTGTATCATGTCTTCTCACTCTTAAATGATAATGATTCGTTGGGTCATAGAGTCCACGAAACGAAGGCGGAGGAAATGGGGCAGGTTGTATCTCTGCATGAACTTCCAGCGGAGTTCTATAATTCAATTCAGACAAAAGACTGACATTTTCAAACCAGTAAAGGTACAGAACAATGATGATGATATTTCCACGTGCATATTGCAGAAGGGAGGGGGAGGAGGGGGGAAACCATAATTATACTTGTATAAAAATAAAAAAATAAAAAAGATGAAAAACATAATTAAAAAGAAAAAGAAAGAATGGCTCATACAATTTTCTGACCTCCCGGTCCAGATCCCTTCACGTAAGATATCGTGATATCCTTGTCATCGAGTTTGGGACGGGGCGGCAACGGCTTGGCTGCAAGAATCCTCGAGGTCGAGAAAAACCGGACTAAGCGAGACGCATTGAAGCCATGACTTATCGTCCTCATTGAGATCCACCATGAATTCGATTGAGGGACCATTTTTAATCACATTAGCCGGTCCGTTTCGAATGTCAAGATCTGGTAGCTAGGTACGAAGTCGATCAATGCAACGGTTTTTTTTTTAAAGAAAATCGATGGATTCGCTGCCCCTCCCACAGATCAAATATGTCCTACATTGAATCACGTTCGGCTATAAATTTCGCGAGGCGAAAAGGAATGGCCGTGAGGCTCATGCCAAACGGGAGATCGAGTCTAGATGCGAGTGTGAAGGTTGGTTTACACTCAAAGCCTGAGGCTCACTGAGAATGGGGAAGGCATTTCTTGGCATCTGACAGTCCCCATTCTGGTAAAAGATGGGTACTTTAATTCCATTTGGCAGCTTACTCCCAGTGGAACAGAGCAGAGAAGGGAGAGAAAACAAAAGAAATGGAAGAGATATGAGAGGGAAAAATAAGTCTGATAGATGGCTACAGTTGGGAAGAAAGATACCGCACAACACTTACTTACCCAAGTACTCCGTACCAGGTAGGCAATAGTCAGTCCAGCAACCTGGATGTGGAATATTCTATTCAATGCAATATTGCAACAGATATATCATTTCTTTTAGCAGCTCTTATTTTTTTTTTCTCAAGTTGCTGTTCCCTTCAGAATCTTAAATGCGCTTTCTCCTCAATCAAACCCCCCAATAGGAGTTTCACATAAGTCAATTTCTGTATATTGACGAAGCACCATTCTTTACAAGCTATATATAGTCCATCTCGACCTTAATATTCTACTCTACGGAGTATACGTACGGAGTACTTCCTTGGACCCCTTCTCCTTTTGCGACACCCTGACACGTGACTTGCTTGAAGATGAAACATGATCCACAAGCTTAGCACAAGGGATCCGTCTTTTGGAGAACACCAGTCGGACTAGAGTCTGAAATTAGAACAGCAGCTTTGCAAGGGTGAGATTCCGCCGTGGATCCCGGAAATAGCATGACACGCAATTCTTCCCTCCGCACGAAGCCCAGACGGGTTGCTGATTGGGTGCGAGCGGTGGAGTGGAGGATGGCCTGGTTAATGCGCACTATTAATATTAATTGCTGCTCTACAGGGAATCCTGAGATAAAGGGTTTGCAGGCAGCAGCGAAAGTGGAAGTCTTGAAACAGCAAATTATAAATACAGCGGTTTTCCTGAAGCCAATATTTGAGTGTGTTCTGATTTACTTAGTTCTGATCAGAAGAATCAGATTGGCGCATCAGTAGTGCTAGTGGTCAACAGGTCATCTGCTCCTCTGCAGTCGATTAGCGGCCAAAGCTCTCCTTTTCCTTTCCACCCTTCCTGCCCCTCTGGAAGGTATCCAGCCACAGCGGGGAAAGCCGTTGTGGGCACCAAAAACGTGGTCACCGCTGATCAAGGCGCTACCCCCGATGATCTCCAGCTTTTCTTAAGTTCTTGCTTCTCCTTGGATTCAGTGTACATACGGAGTAGACCATCTCTTCTTTTTCTTAAGACAGTTGCACCAGCCTGGACAGGTAGACAACATACGGAATACTCCACAGGCTGTGTGGCATCCCACCTGTACCGTCAGACATGGCTCGCACACTGTCTCCGCAATCAGTCGTCACCTCTTTCGTGCGATGGATCCGCCTCAAGAATTACCAGTATGAAGTCACATTTGCACTGTACATGCTCACGCCGACAGAGAAGTTAATCTTCAGTATGTTCCTTTCCCTAGACCATCCTACATTTCTACTGCAATTATATGAAGCACACTACATGCGGATGTATACTCTCACCAGAAATCTCGAGACCAAAAATGCTAATGCAGCTTGATCTTCCACAGATTGTCTTCTCCTGAGTCTTATATCTCTGTTCTTTACAGCCGCATACATCTACCTCCCCGATCACGTCGCTGCCATCTACGGCCGCATCCGCTACTACCTGGCGGGGGACACTTCGCTCATTTCCGAATATATTCCAACAGCGAGTTCCATCCTTAAAAGTAGCGGCACCAGCAGCCTCGGGGTTGTTTACGAGACGGCCAGAGGCTCTCCCACGACGGCTGTGAAGACCATTGCAGAGCTGTGACTGATCGACTCCAGCATTTTATACTGGAACGGTTTTTTGACGATCTCCTCGGGATTTGAAAGGGCTACATGTTTCTTGCAGTCTTACTCGTTCTTCTCTCTCACTCTCGACAGCCTTTGAACCTTGTCTTCTTTCGATGCAATTGAGCGAGGCGCTTGGCGGTGTTCAAGGAAGACTTGATTTTCATTCTATGATACCATACTGTTCGGGTTTATTTCCACGGCGAATGAGGCATCATAAGGGTTTATCTCGCTTTTTTTCCCCATTTCCATTTCCATTTTCTTCTTAGTGATACCACACACAGCAGCATATCATGATGTTGACAGAAGAACTGAGGAAGCATGGCGGTGAAATGGGTATTTCAGCTATTTTTTTTAAACTTTCGCCCTCCATAAAATGTACATACTGCATACAAGTCCATGCATCATTAACAAAAAGATCTGGGTGTTTCACCCTAGACGTCAAGTTGCCCAACCCCAAGAAAACATAGCCGACTCCGATGATGCAATAGTAGTGACAACACAAAAAAGTAACCGAAAGTAATACATAGTCAGAAATTATATGGGTATATCCAGAACGGGGACCGAAAAAGGGGGAAAAGGTAAGCATTCATGCTCCCTCCTCGGCCCCAGCAGCCACCATAGCCTCTTGTTCCTTTCTCTTTTCCCTCCGAATGGCATCCCGCATGCGCATGCGCGCCAGCTCACGGTCAATCTCCTCTTTCGAGTCTGGGATCTTGTGTGACTGTTCGGTGGTAGGCCAGAAACCGGGGACGGAGAACCGGTCTTCTAGGTTCGTCCCAAAGTAGTACATCCAACCGATGGGGAAGAGGACATACATGCCGAACTATACATTGCTCAAGCATTAGTATCACATCAACCAAAAGGAATAGAAACCACTTCGAAATCTTTAAGAGGGACAGGGTCGGCAAAAATCAAAGAAATATCACGGAAAGAACATACCTTGAAGACTTCAAGGTTTCCGCCTTGCAGCTTTCGCAGGATAAACGACATTGTGGATTGTCTTTTTCTGCTCGACCAGGTGAAAAAGTGAAACTTTATTCCTGCGCGCTGGAAGAGTTCTTTTCTCCTGCTGGCGATGCGGGACCGAGTTGGCGGAGATCGTACGGAGGTTTTCGGCCGGTGGGACACGGAAGAGATCAACTTATCAATTGAAACTGGATTCAAATAGTAAAATAACAGCAAAAGAGGCAGACGTGAAAAACTCTGTCAGCTGAATGAATAAACCTCTGCGGCCGTTGGGAACTTGGGATGGTTGATAGCAACAATGGCACTGCTCGTCAATTATTTAGAAATCGGCTTCCGCAGATTGCATGATAGCGATCGGATTGTGCAAACATGCCAAACTCCCGCAATCTCCGTGTCAGCCAACAACGGCTTAGTTCTCCACGTGATTGAGGCGCATTCCAGCGAATCAAATCGCGAGGGTGACAATGACCACTGACAGCCGGACCTCGGTTGTCCCCGCATATAGATTGGACTGTCCGTATGTACTCCTTCGGATCTACTGTGCATGTCAACTGTCAGCATTGGTTGAATCTCTGAATCAATTGCCAGTTTGGCATCAAATATTTGTTTGATTGTTTCCTTGATTTCACAGTCAGAGCCATGACCGGCCGATAATTCGGAAAATCTTTGTGCAGTACATACATACATACGGAATACATCAAGTTACACCACGTGAGTTCTATCTCGCTTGCCTCGGTCGCAATAATATAGTACGAGGCTGAGACTCCTTCACAGTAGAGGGGTTCCCTTTCGAATACAGTATTTTTCTTCTATTCAATCAACCTTGAAATAATTTTCAGTGCACACTTATCTGTTCTGTTCCGTCGTTATATCAGCCATCTCGGGAAAGCACAGTATCATTATCGTCTGGCGTCATGGCGGACCAAGACGTCATCTCTCTGGCCTACAAAGGCCGTATTGCCATCATCAAGATCAATCGCCCGTCAAAACTTAACGCTCTTGATCAAGATCTGTATTATCTTCTGGCCGATCGCCTCCGCGAGGTGGAGAAGAGAGATGACATCTTCATTACCGTCCTCACGGGAACGGGACGATTCTTCTCTGCGTGAGTAGCCTTACGATTCCTATTCTTCCTCTCTATTTCTCCTCTAACATGTTGCACAGTGGAGCGGACGTAACTGCTGCCCGTCCAGGAGCCAATGCCAATAGTAGCAACAGCCTTAGCAGCAGCAATCGACGTGACCTCGTTCGATCGTTCTTTTCCAACAACGTCGATATCACGAGGACTTTCTATATGCACCCAAAGATCCTTGTTGTTGCTCTGAACGGCCCTGTTGTCGGGTTATCAGCTGCCCTCATTGCCTTTGCCGACTTTATCTACGCTGCTCCGCACACCTTCCTCCTCACCCCGTTCTCATCTCTTGGCCTGGTGGCCGAGGGCGGTGCCTCGCGGGCCTTTGTGGAACGACTCGGCATTTCCAAGGCCAACGAGGCTCTCATCATGAGCAAGCGCATCACCTGCGAGGAACTCGTCGCGACCGGTTTCGTCAACAAGGTCATTGCCCCTCCGTCCGGCAAGACCGATGACTCGGAAGGATTCCTGAAGCTAGTGCTGGAAGAGGTCGAAGACCGTCTCGGGCCCCACCTCAACCAGACCAGTCTGCTCAAGATCAAGGAGCTCATCCGTCGACCGGAGCGGGAGATCTTGGACCGCCAGAACGTCCTTGAGGCGTTCATGGGCCTGGAACGGTTCCAGGCTGGGATCCCGCAGGAAGAGTTCCGGAAGATCGCCAGCGGCGAGAAGAAGCATAAACTGTAGAATTCTAGATCTGCATATTTCGGGGTTATTTCTTCTCTCTCAAAAAAATTCTCTCTATATACTGGATTATGTAGAGAGAGTAGATAGAGAAGAGTCGGCCCAAGATTCTATATAGGTAGCAGTCAATTAAAATAATAATCTCTCATGTCGTTATCTTGTTTTGGCCAGTATATGCAAAGCATCTCAGATAGGAACCTCTACCTTACTAGCCATTGTGAGGATGCACTCCAATCGTATATAGCCTTATTATTCACTATCACTTATGGACTTTCGTGCAAGCATCCTGACTTAACTGATCAGGAGAACCTCCTGTCCTAGGTACCACCAGCCAATCATTCACATAGCCTAAGACCTAAGTTCTCTTTCTTGATGATGATAATGATGATAATGTTGTTTCCTTTTTGGGAAGGATATGAAGCACCTAGGTAGGCCTCTCTTCAAAGGTTCCATCCAGTCTCCCGTGCTTCTGCGCTGCTGGAAGGGGCATCGTTATTCAGCTAGGAAAAAAAAGCAATGCTGTCATATCACATCATACATAGGTAGCAAAGTTCTATCCCAAATCACTCCGCCCATGCTAAGCAATTAATGTTTATTGTTAAAGAAAAAAAAAGGAATTCCTTTAGAATTATTCTTATTCTTCATCACTGGATCCCTCTTCTTTTTCTTCCTGGAACCGCTTCTCCAAAATGTCCTGCCATTTACCCATGAAGTCTTTCATCCCACCGGGCCCAGCTCGGGACGCGTCAACGACTTCCTTTGGTAACTTGTGGGCGGAGAATTGCGGCGTGGTGAATGCATAAGCCTCTGGGTCATCGCGTTCAACGAGGCGAAACTCCGGCAACGAAGGGCCAGTCTCATTCGAAGATGGTTCTTTCTTTTCTTCTTCTTTTTTCCCTCCCGTGGACGACTCTGACGAGTCAGGATGGCTATGAGGACCCTCGTTATTGTTGTTGAGAGAAAGTCTCACAACGTCTTCTTCCAGAGGCCCCTCCTCCTTTACGCCTGTAGGGTCCTTCATATTCAGTATTTCCATCCAGCTGAATAGCAGCGGATCGGTCCTGATCGCCCACGGATTGATATCGACGAGCCATACTCGCTCATGGGGTGGCGGGATGTAAACGTCAAAAACAAAGTTTGGGTCGGGAAACGTGTCTTTGAGCTTTTCGTCGAAGAAGGATTGGATCCGAGCCCTCAGTGAGTCACGCATCGGGAAGAGGAAGTCAAAGTGGTTCAGATCTCGCTGACACATGCACAGCAGTATCCGGTTGCGCACGAAACAGCGGAACTCCAACGATGGATTGAGATTGAAGTATTTCCGGAGAACAAGATGATAGGGGATGTTCTGGGTGTCGAGTGTTTCGGAGGAAGGCTCAGTCGTCGTCGCAGCCTCCTCCTCGGGTTCACAGTCATCAAACGCGTGCTGCAAATCATGGGTGACGAAGTCACTACTCTTTAATAGTAAATAGATGTCGTTGGCAGTCCGACACTGCATGTCATTCGTTGCGGAGATCCACGTAGCATCTTTAGGAGCGCTCCAGTTGAGTTTAGGAACGACTCTGCCTCCGAGTTCCGCGATTGTCTCCTTGATCTGAGTATGAATCTCGCTCCACTCGACAGATGGATCTGGTTGTTCTTCGGTATCTGAATCGGAGAACGAGTAGACGCCGCTGTCGTCGTCCGCGAGCGTCGCACGGTTGTTGCCCTCGGGAGGGAGGACAATGCCATCTGAACGTAGATAGGATAAGAAAGCGTCGTTCAGTGGAATTAGACGGGCTTTGGGAGTGATCGAGCGATATCTGCGAAAGAACAGTCAATCACGCAAGCAAAAAAGTACAGCTATTCTCCTTGGTACATACAGAGGATGCCAGTAATGGTACGAACAGTGGAGGATATGGGAACGGGTGAGGGGTGGAAATGGAAGTCGCTTCGGGGGATCCGCCTTTTCAGCTGGTTCGGACTCCATGAGAGGCATTTTTATTTTTATTTTAGCATGCCAGAAAGCACGCAGTTAAGATTGTGACAGACTCATAAGCTGTCTGTTTTCGGAGGGGAACTTTTTTTTGCCCTAGCGGGGCTGCCACTGATACGGCACTGATATGACGCATTTAGCAGACTTAGATTTGGTCCGCTCACTCTCCGGCGGAGCTAACGCTCGCCTGGCCCGTGCGCACGCTGGTTCCTGACACCACGTTGCTCCAGATTATCTGTTGACGTCCGCAGGATTAGCTGGCTGGCCCCAGAGCGCCCGTCTGCAAGATGGCGTCAGATACGCCGGATCCACAAAATTTGAAATCATGGAAGGAGGCATTCCAATACCCGATCCCCACGGTGCGGCGCGTGGAGCAGGAGCTCCGACGCGATATCACAAGCAACAAAGAGAAGCTGCGAGCTCTGGTCGGGTAAGCAGGCTAGTCAGATGGATGGTATTCGACATGTTGCTAATGTCTGTCTTGTCAACTTCAGAGCAAGATATCGCGACTTACTGGGGACTGCGGAGACAATTGTTGAGATGAACGTGGGGATCCAAGATGTTGAGGGGAAGCTGACCGACATTGGACGGAGGTGCAACAAGAACCTGATAGACAAAAAGTCAATTCATCTCAATCGTCTCAAGCATGATGCTGCAGGCGGTGGTATGGTCCTCTTGAAACAGGCCAATTCGGTCTGACTTAGCTGACGGGCGCATCAGATGCAAAACAACGAGCTCTGGGGGCTCAATTAGCTCTCCTTCATCGGTGTACATCATCGATCTCGAGACTTCTCCGGAAGCACGATTCGCCGCTTCTCGTTTCGAAGTTGCTTGTGATTTCGAGACTCCTTCATAAGACGCTGTCGCAGGATCCAAACGCGCCACCTTTCTTGGAAGCTCTGCGGACACAGTTGGTGTCCCTGAGGAAAACTATACTTAGAAGAATAGACCGTCGCTTGGGGTCTGCCAATTCGACAGCTGAGGACATTATCGAATCGATGGCGGCTTTCTGTTTAGCAACCAGCATGTCGTCCGCTGACGTGATTCGTCATTTTCATCAAGTCCGCCTGGAAGTGATTGGGAAACAGCTGGGACAGAGTGATTCCTCGGGAGAAAATATCTCAAGGGCACTCAATTTATACATCCGGACCCTCCAAAGCACCAAGATACTCTTTTCTCGCCGGCTATCCGATGCTCTAGGAAAACTAACGGCCCGTCCACTTTTGACCGACGCGGACATTCGGAACCTAAATGATTTGGATATCGACGTCTTTGAACGCTGGGTGGCCAGTGACGTCAAGAACTTTGCACCGTGGATCAAATTGAGCGACGTATCCAAATCAGAAGCCGAGAAGAGTATCAAGAACTGGTCCAAACAGGCATTTGAGCGCTTTACGAAAGGCTGCCAGGAAAGTTTGAAGGACCGCACAGATTTCGCAGATGTTATCTCACTACGAAAGAAGGCACTGGATATATGGCTGGCGGCTGCTCCGGCGACCCCAACGCACTCGTCACTGAGTGTGTTAGAGGGCATCAGGAATGTCTTCAACGAGCAGCTAACCGCCATTTTGCAGTCTCAGGCAAAACAATTGGTGTCCATAGGGCAGGAAGTCGCGTCTATAATTAGCGATTGGGAGAATCAAGGCCACGGCCGCCCTCAATCACTGTGGAGCACTTCTCTCACCTCCATGGACTACTCAAGTGGTGCTGGTTCTTTTAAACGGGCAGTCATGGATACGCTCCTAGGTCAGGATGAGAAAATTTCTGCCGTTTTGAAGGCCTACAATTCATGGCTGGGGACAATTCAACACTCTAAAAATCTAATTGAAGAACTACGACAAGCCAAGTGGGAGGACTTCCTTGAAGATGAAGAAGGTGAAGACACGATAGTGGATCCGGTGGCCATATTGAACGAGGACGATCCTCACTTCCTGCAACAAAAGCAGAGGTCAGCCGTTACTCAAGCTCTGATGAATCTACAATCTTCATTCCATTCTACGGCTGAGGCGTTCGGCTCGTCCCATCAAAGCGACAAAGCCGCTTTTCTGCTTCGGCTGATCAGAGATCTGCGAAGAGAGATCCCAACTGATGTCCTTCAAGATGAAGATCTTGATTTCGCCAGCGATGTCGTTCCTGGGCTACAGGATATCCTCGCTACTGATGTCGTAACACGGGTGACTCCCTTGAAGATCCTGCAACCTTCAAGAACAGCGGCCCGTCACCTACCCGGCCGTACATTGTGGGAAGGTGATCCAGAACTACCTGTTCAGCCCTTGCCATCCACATTCAAATTTCTTCGACGACTCACTGAAACAATGGAAGAGTTCGGTCCAGATTTGTGGAGTCCCTCTTCTGTCAGAGTTGTGAAGGAGAAACTAAACAAGATTATTTCAGACTCCTTTATGACAGAGCTGGAAGGGCTGAAAGACCCCAGCCATACTAATGAGAAGGTCGTTAACTCCGAGCTAAACTCTGAAGCAGCAGAGGATGGGACGGATAAAAAGCAGTCCTCAAATTCGGACAACACCAGCAGTCTGGATCCCCGGGATTGGAAAATCCAACTGCTATTCGATGCCTTTTATCTGCGAGATGCGTTGTCTATCGAGATCAGTGACGCACCCAATCTGAACACCGTTACTGAAAAACTCCGGGATGAGATAGAAAAGAGCAATGAGATCATCGAGGCATTGCGGAAAGCGGCTCATGAATACTGGAAGAGGACGGAACTACTCTTCGGGCTCCTAGCAGCCTGAAATTGGCTTGGACTCTGTACATATATATGGATAGATGCAATAGAAATTAATTTGTATTATGTGATTCATTCTCTCCTTACTCCGAGTAAATCGGCGGCGGGCCGCGGGGGATCAGCGCGGCAACGTCACGTTTCCCGAAAGCTCGGCGCCGGGAACGAATCCAGAAATCGCTTTGCTTCGCCTCGCCGCGGAGAAAGTCACGGCCTCATCATTCGCGACTTTCACCTCTCCAGCTCTCCCCATGTCGACTCTTAATCCTCGCTTTCACTCTCCAGCCCGCCATGGCAGCTCCTAGACTCCCTTTCCTGTACCCGAACTTGCTGCGTTCCGTCCGGTCGTGCGAACCCACGCCGCGTTCCCTCCGTGTACCTTCATATAATAGTACTGCCGGTTTTCATTCCAGTCACCGATGCGACCAAGACATATATCCTCGACGCTACGGACCAGCTAATGAGCTTCGATTGCCACCGCCGTTGCGACCAAAAGACAGACCGATAAACCAGCCCGTTCCAGGTTCGACCGGCAATGATGTCTCCCCGCAGGCTCAGACGTCGCCGGATCCGGCGCAGGCGCAAGATCTCGGGAACTCGGCCAAGGAGGGCCAATCTGGGGCAATTAATAGAGATTTGAATTCGGTTAATTCGAGCTCAGCCAAAGACCCGAATCAGGAGCCGTTAGAGAGCGCGTCGCAAGATTCAGAGGATTCCGAGCCTGCCCCTCCGGAGCAGAAGGACGAAGAACTCGAAGCACAAAAAGACGCAGAGCCGGAGAATCCGCTAGACACGGTCTTACAAATGCCTTCGTCTTCAGCACAATTGACTCCGTCGGGGGTTTCCGGATCAGAGGGGCGCAGGACGCCTCCTCTATCTCCTCCTCCATACGTCCACCACTTCGACACGTACAGCCTGGTTAAAGACCTCGAGAAAGGCGGCTTCAGTGAGGGACAAGCCGTGACGTTGATGAAGGCTATTCGGGCTATCCTACAGGAAAAGCTAGAGTTCGCCCGGCGGACTCTGACGTCAAAGTCAGACATCGAGAACGAGCTGTACCTGTTCAAGGCGGCGTGTTCGGAGCTCCAGCAGTCGATGCAGACATCCCGGAACGCGGAGATCCAGAGGCAGCGCACGTCCCGGACGCATCTACAGCACGAGGTGGATATTCTCTCGCAGCGCATGAACCAAGAGCTGGCGAGGTTGAACGACGACCTGAAGGGAATGTTCAACGACCACAAGATGGCAATAAAGGAAATGCAGCGTAGTATCGACACGGCGATCCAGGAGCTGAATTACAAGATCACCGTTTCTTTGAACAGTGACGGGAAAAGCGAGGTCGAGGGGCTGAGATGGATCTTGACGAGACGAGCAGCTCTCGCCATCGCTACCAGTGCCAGTTAAGTCCCCCGCTCCTTTTTTGTCAACCGCTCATAATAAATACTTACCTCCCCCTCTCTTTTTTTACTCTAGTCATGATCATCCTCTTCCTAAAGTACTACTCCGTCCACATTCACGCGCGGAAAATGAAGGAAGCAGCAGCAGCAGAAGCTGCGGCATCAGAACCCAAGAAAGACGTCAGCGTTCAAACCGAACCCTCTCTTTCCGGCGCACTCGTTACTGAATCCTTAGGATGATACGATCGATCGATTGATCGATCCATACCTTATCATATACCTACTCATGTAGGTGACTGTTATTATTATTAGTATTAGTGTTGCTTCTTTTGGTTGCTAATCTTCCCGTCCTCTCTTTCCCTCCCTCCCTTTTTTTTTTCTTCCCCCTTGAGAGCAGAAAAAAGGAAGCAAAGAACCAGAACTAGCACACATACCTAGCATTCCACCCGGACTATCTATCATTCGTTGTACATATTTCCTTCTCCTTTTCCTTTCCTTCTTCCCCCGTCCCTCTCACCATCATCCTTTTTCCTCTTTCCTTGTCCTTTTTCCGTACGATGACACGCACACAATATTACCCCGATACTCATTTTATAGACATGAAATCCTGTCCGCGGATATTCATATGAATACATCATGTATAATTGTGATAGACATCAAAATCGCCAGGAATTTTTCAGCTGTTGCCGGGTGTTTTCATAAATACTAGAATGCAATTTGGCCAAGTAGTCGGGTTCAATAAATTGTTAATTAATTACTAAATCCAAAGGAAAACCAGGCTGTACCTACCGGCGAGCTCATCTCTCTTGAGGTATATCAACAGAAGAGAGGAAGAGAGGGAGATATATATATATATATATTAAAGACTATCTTTATATACAACAACAAGAACGAAAAAAAAACACATGAGTAAGCTTACGGATGGATTGTAACCATCGTACCCTACCCCATCCTGGGTATATATATAGTGATACTCAAGAAAAAAAACCATCTCACCTGACCTTCTCCTTCCAAACATCATCATCATTATCCAGTCATCTATCATCCATCATCCAACCGCGACAGACAGTCCAGTCGTAAAGTTCAGTTAGAACTGTAATATTAAAAATCCGTTCGTAACGCGATAGTCGGTGCAGCTTGCTGCCCATTGACACCGGAAGACATCGAGTCCCTTCCAGCGGCCTTGCCGGCGTTGGTGTTTGTTTCCGTGCTTCGGAGGATTTCTTCCATCAGGGACTTCTGTTCGGGAGTCATGCTTGTTGCCACCATCGAACGGAACAAAGCTTGGTCGATCGTGGCGACTTCCAATAGTCGAGAGGCGGTCTCCTTGTACACGGACGGTCCCTCACGTTTCGCACGGGCGAGAAGAGCCGAAACAACCAGGGGCATAGCAGTAGGGAGTCTGTTTCGTGGGACCGCTGCAGGGGTGCCGATGAAGGACACAAGGGTATGCGCGATCGACGTTCGCACGTTCTCCGGGTCGATGGGAGCCTCGCCTTTGTTGTCCGGAATTCCTGTCAGGAATGCGATGAGTCTGGGCAGGAGGTACCGTGCAATGACTTCGTCCGTGGGTGATTTCGGGGTCGAAGTTAGCAATATGGAGCGGATACACCCTGCAGCCACACTGGCGAGTCCGACGTCTTGTAGGCAATCAAGGAGCTCGTTAAGAACCCGGGTTAACACGGGGTCCTGAGGCGGAATGGCGTAGCTGCTTGTCGTAAGGAGAATAGTGATTGCCAGGAGTGTATTTTTGGCACAAGGTAGAGAGGTTTCGGACTCCCGTCGCTGCGCGATGGTGAGCGTGGTCAGGAAGCGAGTCAGGCAGCCACGCAACTGCAGAGACACTGCTTCTGGGGATGGCGCGTTATGGGAACTCATTCCCTGAATAAACCTCCGGAATATTGGGAGAGCTTGAGGAACCACCTCGGCTTGACAGATCCCAGTGGCGAGAATAGTACTGAAAATGTGCAAGATACATGCATGGAGGTCATGGCGAATGATCGAGGGGAATACGGATGCAACATCGACAAGAGATGATAGTGCAAGTTGGATGAGTGTCAGCGGCTCATCAGAGCTCACGTTGAAGCGTGCATGGGAGGTCGCGTCGCTTAGATTGGGCAGAAGACCTGCTAAGACGAGAATGATGGTTCTCGTGAGCTCGAAGAGTTGCTCGATATCGTCAGATAAGTTCTCACTACGATCTTGGCCGGCTTTAGCAGAGGGGTGATTCAGAGACAGATTCCTCGCCATTTCGACAATGACAGTCTGGATATTATATCCCTCAGTGAGAACGAGACGATCGAGGGTGTCCATGGTCTCTGAGAAGACCGCATCCTGGTAGACTGCGTTGCCAGAGACTGCTGGCCGCAGTATTCTCTTGAGCGCTTGGAGAATCTCCAGTCTTTGGGCCGGTGAAATTGACTGGTCCACTAGAGCTTCAAACGCCAGACCGAAAAGAACAAAGAAGAACGCTACCGGTTCATCACGATAGTTGATATCATGGCCCTTGCCATTGGCGTCTTCGCCATTCACGAGACTGCTTTCATCACCTTCCGCTTCTGGGGCGCCTGTAGGCTTTGATTTGTTGTCTAGGGCGTCAAAGACTAGTTCACTATCCTTCTCGACGAGACTTGCAATTGCATCGACGAGATTTAACCACGAGTCTTGGTAAAACTGTAGGTGATAAATTAGCATAACAATGATCATATCTCGCGGCTGGAGTAGACATTACCTTCAGTAGCGTCTCTCTGTTCAATGCCGCGTAGACTTCATCGAGGTTGCCAGACTGTGGTGTGCCCAAACTGCCAGAGATATCCGGTTCGAATCGCAAGCGTGCATACTCCTGGAGAGAAGAGAGCCACAGCGGCGCAAGCATGGCTGCGTAAGGCTGAACGACCGCAACCAAATATTCTTGCTCCATGCTAGCCATCTGTAACCGTGCCCAAGCGGAAAACAGTGCCATTTTAACCATGACTCTGGCATTCGAGTTAAGGCCCTTGAGATCTCCAATCTCGGTGGTCTCTGGATTTTCTAGAGGAGTCAGTCAAAGTGAATCATGGCAGGAGTTCAGAATACTTACTCGCAAAGTTCTCCAGGCCAACTACCAGCAGTTTAAATATTCTTCCCATTCGGTCAACATTCGTCACTATGCCCGCCGCTACAAAAGTCGCGCAGACGTTGATAGCTTCCGACGCAAGGTCCGGTGAGGAATCAGCCGCAAATGCTGGAGTTAGGGCTGAACCGATCTGCGCCTGATATTGCTCCAGAAGAGACGCTTCTGAAAAGTCTGGATCCGGTGTTTTACCAAACATCTTTATTCGAAACTATTAGTCCTGTGCATAGTGAATGTATTGGAAAAGGGAAAAGGGCAAGACGAACCTTCAGCACTTGATCTAAAATCTTCAGACCCCAGACTCGTAACTCCACCACATTTGCTGTAGAAGCAGAGAACGCCATCCGGATAATCTCCCCCACTTTGTGTTGAAGAGCGGCTTCGGCGGGGATGGTCTGGTCCGGTAAGATCTTGTCATTCACTATGGATAGCAGCTCACTGAGGCAACTCATGGCAAAATTGCGAGTCTGCCATTTAAGTAGCTCTTGTCCAGCTGCGGCATCATTCCCCGTGTCCTCCTGTTCCACGCCGGCGACTGCCGTTGCGAAGCCAGCAACCTCATCATCAGGAAGTTCCGGAGCAGCTGCCGCCTGCACTGGCTTCTTGGGCATAGTACCTTCTGGCTTGGTTCGAGTTCTGGTCAAAACTTTTTGGCACCGTTGGACCCAGAGCTCTGTGTGGGAGAGGGCGGTCTGTTGCAACCAGTTTCGGATCAGGCTCCTCAGAGACTCGCTTTCTGGAGAATCATCAAAAGCAAGCCATATCTCATCCTCCAGGGTGGGTGTCGCAGTCTGAATAACCAACTCAGCGTCACGCTTCATGAGGTTGCTCAGTCCGCGAATAGCGGCCTCCCGCATCAGTGGGCTCCTCGAGGATAGTCCATTCTGCAGACGCTTGACATAAGCTGCAAAGTCCACGTGGGACGGTGCATATAAAGATAGATGATCCAAGCACCTAGTGCTCTGAGTGACCATTGCTGGATGTTCTTCCAGCTGGAACTGTCGAACCAGAGTTAATACGAGATTGCGAGTCTTCGCAATGTCCTGTAAGTCTGGACCAAGAACATTGATAAGGGAATCCACACAACGGCTGATCATGAAGGGTGTGGGGAAGATTATCTCAATATTGGAAGTCGCTAATGATGCTGATTCTTCGTTATGAGTATCGGCGATGTAGAGCTGGGCGAGCATTCCCAACGAACTGGACACATAGGCTGAAAAAGTCAATCCAGCAGACGAAGCGACTCTCTCCAGGCCATCAAGAGCCCAGAAGTGTACAACAGGATGAGGATCATTGCATAAGGACATCAGGACTCCCACGATGGTCTTCAAATGGAAGCCAGCAGCCATGCCACCGACTTGGGAGTGAATGCAGCCGAGGGCAGCTGCGCATCCTGCACGAGTGTTGGGCTCGCGATTTTCAACAATGGTATCAACAATCCAATTGATCTGGGCATTCGTGAAGGTGTTCCCAGCGCTGTTGCAAAGCCTACCCAGCGCCTCGAAGCCAATTGTACGGACGACAGGGTCATGATCAATGATGAATTTCTAGAAACTGTTAGATGGTAATGCTCCATGACGTACTAATGCGTACTTGCCTGTAGAAATTCTTGTATTATCCTTTCTGCCGAAGAATCCAGATTTCCTGGCAGAGAGGCGGTCTCCTTAACGGCAACTTTAAGAGCATGCAACAGGGCCACCGCAATGTTGACCGTCATAGCAGCTTTGCGTCCGGGATTTCTTTGCAAACTAGGGGAGGACAAAAGAGTAGCGATCTGCTCTACGCTACTCTCCTGGACCTTCGGTGTTTGCAAGGGAAAAGCGATAGCAAAAAGATCTATGGCGGCATTGACAACTTCTGTAACTGGTGGATCGGCATACGAGCTCACAGTCCTGTCTCTCTCGCAGTAAAGAAGAACCGAGTCATGCTCACTGGCTTGACAAACCGGGAAGTTCAACTGCGTAAGGGTCAGCTTACACTCCTTCCTTATAGAGAAGGTTAAAACCTACAATGTCATCAATCCCCTGGTCTGTCGATTCAGCAGCAGACCATGTCATGTTTCCTTTGTCTCGTTTCCCGGTAAGTGTTTCGTTGACATATTCACGAGCAAGACCGGTAATTCCAAAACCGAAGTTATCCCACAAATCCCACAGACTTTCAAATTGCCCCGTCGACGCGGCAATCGAGCTCTCTACAGGACTGGCGTGAGTAACCTCAGGGTCGGCAAAGGAGGAGATCGCAAGACTGAGGAGGCTCGATTGAGATACGATCTCTGTATGGCCGGGATGGTTGAGCTTAACAAGTTTAGAAAAGCACTGGAGAACACGACGACGGACCATGACAACGAAATCATGCAGCTGTAAGGAAGGGAAGAGTCGCTGAGAGATGTCGTCTGGTGATTTCTGCGCCGGAATGCCGTCCAGAAATTCTATCGTATTCTGCAGCATGGTAGCAATCCGCTTGGAACCATCTGCTGTCACTAATTTGCTGTTGAATTCAAGAAATGCGAGCATTGAGCTCAGAGCGCATTCCCGGACGTGCGCTAAAAAGCTCGTCTCTAAAGTGCCACGCTGAGCAATGTTTTCCTTGCCGAGTGGCTTTGGTAGTGCGTTCTTCCACAACAACATCAATTGAGACAAGTGAATCTTGACGAAGCTGGGACCTAGTGGCATCAGTCCCCCGATCAAGATCCACGCAACCTGGATCTGGGTGCTTGCGACACGGAGTTCAGAGCTACTGCTATTTTTGAGAAGTTCGGTCGCCTGTGACAAGACGCGCGCAAAGACATCGACCGACCCATAAAGCGGCTGAAGACGGGACGTGCCCAGCATGGCTGCAAGTCCATTCGCAAAGCCAAGGCAGCGTCGCGGTGACTGTCGCGGAGTGGATAGTTGACCTATCTCTCTGTTCAGGCTGTTCAAGCAGATAGTCACACAAGATAGAAGCTGATTGGGGCAAGCAAGAACGAAATTGCGCAGACATTGGGCCGTGTGAATCTGCACAGTATAACTGGGATGTGGAAGGACTTGAAGCAGAGCTTCGCGGCACCCCTCAGCAAGAGCGCCAACAGCTGAACCAAGAGATGCAATCAGTGACGACAAGGCACTTAGGGCGCTAGCCAGAGTGTGTTTGCTCGGCTCACGACGTTGCTGGATCACTTGAGGGTAGTCTTTGAGAACATCGTTGATCAACCATTTAGCAGCATTCAACTGGCTGTTCTCTCGAAGCGATTCGCGGCCCACTGTATCTTCGAGGATATTCCTAATGAACTTTCTTGTCATGATGAGGCGAAAACGATTGTATGTGACAGTTGGATGGTTGAGCAGGTGAAATAGGAGGTGAGACGCGATCTGGCTGTATCGTTCTTCCACGACGTTCTCACCAAGGTTCCGTATAATGTACTTATAGCACACGGCAATACCTGCCCGGGCGCGATTACCAGTCGAGCTTCGCAAATACTGCGTTGACAATTGGTTGAGGAGGTCAGGCAGCGAAAAAGAGAGACCCGACTCGGCCTTCTTTGTAACAGGGGACTCTGGTGGTTCCTCGACTTCACCCTCGTCGGCGCTGGCCCCTTTGGGTGCCGGCTTCTTCGATTGCCTCTTCTGCTTCTTGGATTTCGAACCCGACTCGAGTCCCATCTGTGGATTATAGCCTTTGACCAGGGCCCTGGCCAAACAGGAGGCAGCGGCATGCCTGACCGGAGCGACAGGACTGTCAATAACCTTCCAGACGACCGTCTTGAGATTATCGAAATCATTCAAGTTATCGAAGTAAGTCGTCGTCCTCACCAACTGTTCAAGGCATCGGCAGGCGTTGATCTGGACGAGGGTCGACTTGTCACTGGGAGCGGCATTCCGAGCTTGTTTCCATATATCGCGCGCCGTCGACTCGTCGATAGGCTGCCCGATTCCGGTAACGACCTTGCGCAGCGCCGAGAAAATCGAGCCTCGAAGGCCGGCATGATTACTTGCAGCTTTCAATAATTTCAACAGGGCTGACACGGTAGCACCCGCCTGGCTCGCTGCGCTTTCTCCAGCATGCCCAAAAACCTCTCCCAAACAGTGCGCTGCGGCGAATTTCGTCTTCAGTTCCGTGCTCTTGCCAGCATTGACAATGGCTAGCAGCTCGTTGACCGTGTCGAAGAGTAGCACGCGATCCCCCTTTGCCAGTATTGCGCCAAAACATTTCCCCAAATTGCTGCGGATCACTCGAGTGATCGTGGGGGAACTCAGGTTGAGGATCTTGAACAACTCCTGTTTCAGGAACGCTTGCTGAGACGAAATCTCCGCTTTAGTCAGGCTGGACACACGCTGGACCAGATCGGACGTAAACGTCAGCAGGTAAAGATCCTGCTGTTCGGAGGGCAGGGCATGGAGCTTGGAAACATCGAGTTCGGCGAGCGGCGTCGCATTGTTGTCTGAACCGGCAGACGGTGCCGTCGCGTCCGCGGGGGTTGACATTGGAAAACTGGTTTCTTAAATGCAGATGCTACTCGAAAGATGGCGCTTTCGAGTAACCGCTGCTCGTCTGCGGTCAGAATTACTGGTCAAACTGCGCAACTATCGATTCGCAATGTTGGCCTTTATTATTTAAGTTGATGCGGCGATAACGTTGCGGAGCGGATAATACTCGGCCCGAGCGGCCTCTTTCCTACAATATGTATGAAGCTGAAGAAGACGCAAACCCGCGCGCTTTTCTGGACAGTCAATGCTGCAGCATAAGCCCATACTGGAAATGGCGACGGTGTTTGGATCGAGGCTGGCACGGCGACCCAATTTTACTCCTCAATGGGTTTGCGCCACGTGCCGTGGGTTCAGTACGTCGCCTGTGTTATTGTCGGGACACAATCGATGGTCCCAGATCAAACATGACAAGGCTAAGAATGACAAGGCGAAGAGCAAGGAGCGCCAAATCCTAGTCAAGGAAATCACCCATGCATCGCAGAGTGAGTCTTCAGGATTATCTCAAATGTCCTTTTTAAATTTAAATTCTAACGATTGGCAGTGTGGGGTCCTGACCCCAAGTTCAACCCCCGTTTGAACCTCGCGATCACAAAAGCGAAGCAAGCTCAATTGCCAAAAGCGACAATTGAGGCGTCGATAGCTCGTGGTCAGGGAATTAGTGTTTCTGGAGAGGCTCTCGAACCAGTGACGATTGAAGCTATGCTCCCGGGGTCCGTCGCTGCCGTGATAGAATGCTTGACCGACCAAAAAGCTCGCGTTCTCCAAGACATTCGGTGCATCATCAAGGATTACGGTGGAACTGTAACTCCGACAACCTATCTGTTTGAAAAGAAGGGAAGGGTGACCTTTGAGAAAAAGGAGGGCCTCAACCCGGACGATTATTTAGATGCAGCCATTGAGGCTGGCGCAACGGACGTGGAAAGTGACGAAGAAGGCCGGCTCGTAGTGTTCACAGAGCCCTCTGAAACAAAGGCTGTTGGCGAGGCCCTCTCAAAAGCCACAGGGCTCGCACTCGAGCGATCAGAAATCATCTGGGACCCCAATAAGGACACCATGGTCAAGCCGAAGAGCGAAGAGGAAGCCAAAGAGCTCGAAGAAGTTCTGGATGCTATCCGGGACGAGCCAAGCGTCCGTGACGTCTATCTCAATACAAGTCTGAAGTTCTGATGGTAGCCTACCGGCTTGAATCTTGCATCTTAGGGCTGGATTTGTCCTCAGATCAAGTCGCAGCGACAGAATCCTTGTACAACTGACATACATATATGTGCTTGTACCATACATGCGTGGGCATTTATAGCGGCTTTTCTGGGATATTACTCATCTAATATAGGTACATACATTGCGGACTAGAATCGGCGTTTTGAGTTACTGGTCTGATCCATAGGATGCGTCTCTTTATGTTTCCTTGCGTAGCGCTTTCATAGTACTTCTCATCAATTTACCGATCCCTAGGCTGCCCCTGTCATCAAACCAATCCAGCATCTTCAACCGATACTCTTGCCAACTGACTTTCACTCCGCCTTCTTTCTCTAGCGCAGTCAGCGCCTTTTGTGTGACGGGTCTCCTCAACCGCGCTTGATCTTCTTTAGTCACCTGCTGATCTTCGAAATCAGCAAAGCAAGCTGCAGAATGGTCCGCGAGCGCGACGTGATGGCTCAAAGAGAACATGGTCGGGAGAGTGTAGTGGAAGGCTGGCCCTTCAGGGCGCTTGCGACGTCGCATTGTCTCATTCGAATCGTTGATGTACTCAGTCAGGGCAGCTATTGTCGGAGCGGGAAGCAGACAACCAAGCGCATTCGGATCCTCGGAGTTTAGACCACGGTTGCGCCAGACCAGGTTACAGAGGTCCATGATGTAGCCGTTAAATTGTCCCACCATCTGGGTAGGGTAGAGAGCTCCGCCAGGTTTCGGGGACTGCAAAGTTTGAGAAGCCAGCGATTCCTCGAATGACGATTTATAGGTTGCGAGGACAGCGCAGAGAAGGGAGATTTGGGCGAGACTCGAGGTAAAGGCAAGATGGTAAACGGTCGGAGCCAAGGGAATAGTGAGACGGATGTTCCCATTATCGGCTGCGTGCGAATAGAGATTGGCAAGACCGGTGTACAATTGGAGAATGGACGTGGAAATCGGTTTCGGTGGTTTGGTATCACGATCATATGTGGTGAAAGGAACCTCTAACACCGACAAGCAAAGCAACTCTGCATGTGTAATAAGGGAAATCAAAGGCGTGAAGCCAGCTGCACCAGGGGCAGATTCCTCCGTCCTGAGCGAAACTCCCCATTGTCGAATGAGCGAAAAGTAGAAATCAAGAAGAGCCGTTCGTGAAGAAGGAGTATGATCTAAAATGGCATTCTCCAGTGGCTCGAGAAACTCTCTGCGAAGGTCCTCGTATGGACCCTTTGGTAAGAACTCCAGAAGGTTCAGAATCTGGCTTCTGTTATCTCTTCCATTCCACGAACGGAGATATGCCTTGATAAACGATTGTATTGCACCAGGCAGTTGCTGCGTGGTTGTCAGCACGACGTAAAAAAAAAATCTCAGGCTATAAGATCGTACCTTTGTGGAACGGACATACTCAGTAGCGACACTGAGTACATAGCCAAGAGCTTCGGGCTCATCAGACTCGGCCAGGTTGGCACGCTCGAACTCATCTTTTAAAAAGGTCTCCAGCCAATCTTCTAGTCGGAGCTTCGCGATTTTGGGCCCGACAAGGAGCATGTATTTCTGGGCCAGACGGTCTCCCAACACCGATACCATCTGATTGGGTAACTCGATCTTCTCCAGATTCTCCACAAAGTCCGTCACATTTCGCAATTCTTCCAAGGACGTATGGCTCGGCTGAACTCGTGACGTCTGGACATCTGGGATGACGGATTCGACCTTGCTCCTTTTCACCCCACCGCGACGCACGACCTGGAAGGTCGTTGAGGTTGTCGAAGACATGACCCTCTCGCGGTTTCGATCCTGAAGTTCTTTCAGGTGGGCTGACCATTCGGGATCGGGATGCTTGAAAAAGAACGACGCTTTTCTAGAGCGTCCGACGTCACCGACAATAATGTCCGGGTAGTAATTCTTGAACACCCGGAGGAAGCCCATAAGCTCTCTTTCATCGTCGCCGACATTACGCAGGAGCTCCATCAGCGCCTGGATTCGGAACGGTTTCACATGCTTGCGCCTTGTGATTAAAGAGAGTAGATGGCAAAGTGGACGGCGCAAACTGATCATGTCCAAATTGTTGAAGAGTACCGCATATAGCTTGGACAAGTGAGATTGGTCCTCCAGGCAGTCGTAAACCAAGAGCAGCCATCGTAGAAGCAATGCCTGCGTTGCTGGAGATGGCTTACTTTTGCTTGGGCCGAGACAGCCAACGATTTTCGTGACAATGATAGACGGTATCTTCTCCAGGGCATATAAATTCTTGATCAGAGTCGTAATGGTCGCCTGATCAAGATGATTTGGTTTTGTGATGATATCAATCAGCTGTTCCAAGGTTTCTGTTGGAATCCCGATCTCATACGCGTCGGACGCGATGGTCCTGGCCAACTCAGACGCATTTGTATGTCTTTGCTTGGGAGGTACAAATGCAACTGGGTAATAAAACATGAGCTACAATCACACCTTACGCTGGGAGAATAAAGTCAATAAGGCTGCAAATACCAGCTTCCAAATGGTCAACTGCATTTCGCAAACTCTTCAGACGATCGTCAGGATTCCCACCACCACCACCTACACTGATCAGCATCCTCCATCTCCGTAGTTGCTTCGAATTGGGGTAGACTACTAACCTGAATCCGCATCGGAAGACATTATTTTGCGTTACGCAATACAAAACACGCAAGATCTGGATCCATGCAACTTCAAGACCGGCAATATAGCAACGCCAAAGTCGTATCGATTTTTTAAAACTTAAAAAAGAGTCGGCGATGGTTTTCCATTGTCCAGGAACCTAGGTAGATGCTTAAGGAAGACACGATTATCTGGAATTGATAATTGGGTCGAACGCGTCGCGAGGTGTCAGAGCCGGTCGGCCAATAATAATGCTTGGTTGCTTTACCTATACAAAGCTAACTGCTCCGCAAGATAAAACGACCCTCACGATAACATAAAAAAAGGTCGTAGCCTGTATAATCTAGCGAATCTGCGGGGGAACGTGTCTATTTTCTTTGTACCCTATAATAGATTTCAGTTTGTGCAATGCTATACCTGGCTGTTTGGAAGCACTCCGCTCTATCGTGAACTAGAGCTGCGAGAGCGTATTTTCTTGTTCTGCTACTACTTGTACAGTGTGGAGATAGTTGTAGCGACAGTATTTTCAACTTCTAAATGCAACCTAGAATTACTGGCGTACTCGTCTAAGTAGTTTAAACCATACAGAATTAGTATGATGGATGTGAAATTGTAAGCATGCAGGATAGTTTTCATCCATCAACGGAGACCTTCCAAAGAACTCCATCAGAAGAACTCTACTTCCTCCTCCTCGCTGAGCCTGATGATTCGTTCCCTGAAGCTTCTACTGCACGGCCGGTCGACTTCTCGGCTTCCACCTGATTAGAGACGACCTCCTCTTCCACCTCCTCATCGTCACTCTCGCCGCCCTGGCCAAACTCGTTGACACGCTTGTAGTCGACCTTGTATTTCCAGCTCTGATAAAGCCAGATGAAGAAAATGACGTCGTCTCTCAACGTCGCAAGTCGATGCAACCAAGGCATCTTGACGGTGAAAGCAAAGAGATCGTCGATGAACGTGTTGAGGAATTTGTACATCAGCGCTTTGGCAGGCATATGGGCAACCGACTGGAAAAAGTCAAAAGTCAGCGTAAGGAACCTCCACAAATCCCAGTGGAACAAACCTTCAGCTTATAGTTGATGTAGAGACTCGGCACCATCATCAAGAAACCGTAAGCGTAGACACTCCCAACCAGAGTCTCGATGATGAAGGAGTACCACGACTTGTGGGTTTGATAGACCAGGCTATAAATGGCGTACGCTGCCAACAAAGGAACAGCGAATATATAGAGCCACTTGAACGCAATCTCGTCATACTCCTTCGTCTTCCGTTCAGTCTCACTGAGCTTGTGCTTGTCCTCAAAGACGATGACGTATGGAAGGAAGGAGAAGAACGAGTTTTGCGGAGGAGGTCTGAATCGCACATTGACGGTCTTGGTGATCTTCCAGGCTTCCACGAGGATGCCAAAGCCCTGGCTGGCAAGAATCATCCAAGACGTGCCCTCGCTATTGTCGAGCAAGTATAAGAAGATAATCGTCTGCATGACGACATTGGCAAGAATGGTCCGAAGCGAAGTTCCGACCACATCTTTCTTCTTGCGCCAGTGGGCCTACCACGGAATCAGTTTAAATATTCCAATAAAAGGCGGCGGAGACTACTCACAATATCATTCTTGAAGGCGAGGGTCTCGAAGATCATGTGCAAGACACTGACGATACCAGTGGTAGCAAGCAGGTAGACGTTGGTATCCAGGAGGATCTCTTTGAGCATCTCGAATTCGCTGCCATCTCCTCCAGCGGGCATAGGACCTCCAGTTGCGGCCTGTCGGGCGCTTTGTTTCACTCCTTCATCCAAGTTAGCGAGAAGACTGAACTTCCAGTTGCTCAAATTGTTGAGGGTGATGCGAATGGGCAACGTCTCGACAGTCGAATTCAGCTCCGTCATATGACTCTTGAGCTGCCAGAAAGTGTTCAGGAATACGATGGGATAGTACCAGCCATTCTGGCCCGTGATATCGCGAGCGCCAGTGCTTTCCAGCTGCACGTATTGCCGAACGGCAGGATGCATCATCTTATACTTCTGGATACCAGAGTCGGGAATGACGGAGACCGTGAAGTTCGGATGATAGTAGGACACGATCTGAACATCCGGGGTATCGTCATCCACTTCTTCCGTCTCGTTGCTACCGGAAAGGAGGTTCTTCAGCTTTTTCGGCTTCTTCTTCGGCAGGTACTGATTCAGCGGACGAAGGAAATGAACGGCCGTCCCGGGGTTGTAGTCCTTTGCAGCTGGGTCAAGCTGGTGGCCGCTCAGGGCCACATAGAAGTGCGCCCAGAGGGTTCCGTTCTGCTGCACCTCCTTGGGAACCTTGATGGAAGACACGATTTCCCTGCTCTCGCTGTAATTGCCTATTGTGAAATTCTTCTCCTCCAGGACCAAAGAATCCTTGGAAACCGAGCTGAGTGCAGGCATCACAACCGATGGCGAGACGTAGATGCTGATATCCAGAGAGCTGTTGGTGGGCCATATTGGAGCAATCAGCTCGGGGATTGGATTATAGTTCGATATCTCACTTCGAGCTGGTCGATCTATATAGGCGGGAATGCTGCCAGGCTGTCCCGCCGTTCCTGGGCCCTGATTCTTCCCAAAGAACTGGTTGATGAGGAACTGGGTTAGGAAGAAGATCGCCAGACCCTGAATGGCGGCTTTGAAGCCGGACTGCAGATAAAGAGATCGGCGTCAGTCAGACAGATCTATGCAGGCAAGTACACTCAGCATGGAGGTTGACAGCAACTCACGTTCTGCTCCGGCTCCTGTCTGCGCTGCCTTTGCTCAGGCATCTTGCGCTGTCCCAGGCGAAATCGGTCGACGACTAAGGAGGGAGGACAAGAAGAAGGGAAAGGAAAGACGAAGACAGCACGTTCCAGATGGCAGCGGCGCAGTCGGGCGCCTCGACTGGCGCTATAGGACGCTAAAGAAACGTGCTGGGGCCAGCCGGCTGGAACCTGCCGCCCGCGCTCTTTGTCGCCTCCGACGTCCACCCCTCAACCCCACGCTCCGAGCGCCCCTCAAGCAGCCACGGAGTACAGTTGTGACGGTCTCGACGCATACTTCAGCGCGTGGGTCGCGCAACGCTCTGGCGTGAGAAAGGGAAGCGCAGCTGGCATTAGGACAATGGGCGTGCCTGGCACGTCCGTCACGCTCTGCTACCCATGACGGATAGCGGCCCTTCCCCCAGCTCCCCCCGATCCCATTTCCCTACGCACTCGGAGCCTCGAGTATGGCTGATCTCATCCGGAGACTCGCCCCTCGGGATCTCCCTGACGCGCCAGCTCCTTGCGCATGGGGATTGCGTGGTGAGCGGGCTGGTCCCGTCGAATCTTCTTCGAGATGAGAATCGTCGCGAGCAATTCGAGGATTTTCTGGCGGAGGTGGAGAGGAACAAGGAGGACGATTGGAAGGTTCGATTTCGACCGGTCATGTTGGACATCAGGTGCGGGCGCGTGTTTTTCTCTTGAGCTCGATACACGCGAATCCGCGAAGCCTTGCTTACACTGAACGATGCAGGAAGATGGGGGAGTGTCAAGCTGCTGTAGCAGAGGCTGTCGAGACGTTTGGCCGGATAGACATTCTTCTTTGCTGTACAAGCCAAGGTAAAGCTTCGCAATAGAAATATAACACGCAGATTTACTCTGACACGACCCATGAAGCCATTGTAGGAACCGTCGAAGAGTTGGCTGCGTCTCGGACGACCCTAAGCCTCGTTCGGGACCAGTTCGAAACAAATTACTTTGGTCCCGTAAACATCATTAAATCAGCACTTCCCCATATGCGGAGACAAAAATCAGGGCATATTATGGTACTTTCTGGTATAAGTAAGTCTGGTGTATTCCTGGGAATTGGGTGCAAGTCGCTGACTGGGAGCAGCTGCGCACATTGGTACACCTGGACTGGGAGTGTACTGCGCGTCAGAGTGGGCACTGGAAGGATATTGCGATGTATGTCTATTGCCGCCTACATAGATGGGTTCTGGCATTTGCTGACGGCGGAGTCTTGAATCATCAGAGCATTGCCTACGAAATCGCGCCGTTCAATATCAAAGTGTCCATCCTTCAGTGCAGCATTGAGATCCGCATCCTTACGAACCTGATAACTAGCGTGCCTCCAATCCTTCCAGCTTACTCCGCGCCTACCAACCACGCTCCTCTCTTTCGCAACATCTTGAACGGTCTTCTATCCCGCTTGCCACAAGCGGACCTTGAAGCTGCCAGTCCAGCCAACTCCGGCGACAGCGCCTCCTCCTCGACCAACATAGCCAATGGACAGGATCCAACCCCAGATGGCTCGCGAAGATACCTGCCGTTTTCAGCCCCGGAGGTGGTCTCAATGTATCCTCCCTTGAGCGCCGCACACCTGGAAGCCCTGACCGCAGAGACGGTGCATGCCATTACAGCAATTGGCGGCCACGAAAACCCGCCTTCCCGTCATATCATTGGTCAAGAGGGAGTTGCAAGCGTCAAGGAGAAGCTGAAAACAGTTAGTGAAGAGCTGGAGGATTTCATCCAGGCCAGCTGCGCGGTGGATATTACTTCTAACGACAATCCTACGCAAGACTTAAGTCAGGAAGGGATGTGATTTCAGGTGGTTCGAGTTTGTGGCTGGTATCATGGCAGCAAGTCCTCTCAAGCAGAGAAGATTGTAGATGGACACAGAGTTGCTCAGCGACTCTAAAAAGGTGAGGTCAATCTCATAGGCATCCCGAGCTAACTTCTCCGTCTGAATCGAACCACCAGTTGTAAAGTGATGTTAAACACAGCAAGAAAGTTATCTAGCCAACTAGTTTTTGAGAAGTCCTGACTTCTGCAGTGGATATCGTGATAATCATGCAAATATTAACAGTAGAATGGAAGCATATCATATCATCTAGAAAGCACCTATGCCAGGCAGATAACTCTTTTGATGAAGCGGACGAGGAAAAACAGAGCGAGCGAGCCACAGTCACGAATAGATACTGTTCCTATTTCTTCATCCGTACGTACCAGGCTTGTCTCACTTCCCAGAGACTGCCCATATCCTGGTTGTTCCGGTAACAACGGATTTCCTTCCAGGCATTTCCGTTCGGTGGATCCTTGATGCGACCATCAATTTCTAGGATCTTCCTGGTTAGGGCACTAGGTCCGGCCACGTTGCGAATAATAATATCCCGGGGGATGACTTCTTGTTCTTCTTGTTGTGGTTTCTCGGGTGGAGGAGCTGCGGTAGTAGACGACGGATTGGAGGGTTCGGGTGTAGTACAAGAAATTTCAATAGGCGCAGTGGAGTGCTCGTTTCTGGGCTCAGGAGCACTACTTCCCACGACTTGCACGTCTTCCTCGCTTTTGGAATGAGAATCATGATTTTCCACTGTCTCCAGGGCCGGAGGAGGAGCCGGCGGAGCGTTTCCAGAGACATTTTTCGCAACCTCAGCGGTTATGTCTCCAGAAGCTAGGTCGGAAGCTTTCCGTTTGCGTGGCCTACCACGGCCACGTTTCTTCACCACCGGCTTCTCTTCAGGGGCCGGAGCATTGGATGAAGCTTCGGGTATAGGCTCTTGCATAGCTATCTCCTGGTCCTCTTTTGCTTCGGGCTTCGGTTCCAGATTAATGACACGACTATCATCACCGTCATGGTCGACCAGAGCTTGGGCGTCGTTGTTAAGTCCGTTGGTTTCTGTACTGGCACTGGCTTCCTGAGTGACGTCTCTGTTGATTTCGGTTTCGGATTTCGAATCCACTTTGGTTTGATTCTTTGATACATCCTCGTCTGACCCTTCCTTTTTTGGGATGTCGTTATTCTGGATGATATCATGTGTATTAGATAAGAAGACGCGCTGGCCAGCAGGAACAGCAAACGTCAAGTTTGAGCCGTCGATGGCCAAGATCTGACGCTACAGTTAGATGCTGTTCTCCATCTCCATCGAATACCGTGTGCGTGAGCCATGCTTACCTTGGCCTCCTTCTCCACAAAGACCCTTTCAGCATCACCCTTTTTACCAAAAACGCGAGAATATTTCCAGACGTCTCCCACCCTGACGACCCCATGTTGGATGAGGGTCTCGAGCTTCACCTTGGAGCTTTCACCGGCAATCACACCGTAATCGAGCTTCTGCTTTTGACCCCAGAATTGCTCGAACTCCTCCTCTTTAAACTTGTCAAATTTGCCTTCGGCTCGTTCCTTCATCGCCTGCGCCGCCTGGCGCAGCCATTCCGGGTCATAGCGGCCGGCTTCGAGGTCGACTTGGAACTGACGCACACCGTACCGCCAATTGTTGTCGTAGCGTAAGAACTCTTGCGGAAGAGGTGGGATTTTAGCATCTGGATCATCTGGATCAGGATCGGGATTTGGATGCACATGGGCTGGTAGAAGAGAGAGAAGCTCTCTTTTCTCCGACTCGTCGAGGCATGTCCATGCCTTGGGATTAGCGAATACTTTCTATGCAGTTACATTAGTCCTGAGACATTACTCGTCCTGCAATGAATCATGCGCTGCAAAAGGGGGGAAAAAGAGGTCGTGCATACCACAAGATCCGCATTTACCAGAGCCGACTTCGGGTTCGTCGTAAGGAACTCTTCACTCCATGGATCCTTCTTTGCTGCTCTCGCCGAAGTCCGCCTGGGCTTTGACGACATCGCGTCGGCAGACTTGCCGGAATCACTGGACTCCGCTGGATGCGAAATACGAGGGCGGAGAGACCTGAAGCATCATCAGAACCCTGCACTGCCCATCGAGTTCGCTGTATAGTGTTTTTATCTTTGGGTTATCTGATTCGTACCTGGTGACGCCGCCTGGCGGAGCTGCGGATCTGCCGTCATCGACCGCCTTGCGTTTAGGTGGCATTTTGGAAACGCGTGGTGGAGCTCCGTGCCCGGGGAAATGCTGAATGGTCTGGACCTGGGAGCTCTCCGCGGTACTCAAACGACAACAGTCTACACTGTCAGCGCGGGATTCTCTGCAAGCTGGAGGCAAATGCTCTTGATATAACTTACCAGAAATCCTGAGTTTGAGTTGTGCATTCGAAAATGGTCCGGTCAACGCAGATTGCACGGATAGATGGTAGGTGCTCAAGGTTTCCAAAGAACGATGAAAGAAAGATGAAAGGAAGATGTCGCTGATGTTGGGTGAACAGGCCTTATGCTGGCCGCCTCAGTTGACGATGAGCAGGTGGGTCGGCGCGCTAGTCATCAGTTTGTGGCATTCACTGGTGAATAGCATCTTTATTGTGCCATTGTCGCTAACTCTTACTAGGCCGAGGCCGAGCTTTCAGAAGTGAAGACTCAAGCAAAGATGATTTTCCGTCGCTTGAGTCGCAATGCAGCACCAGAAGCTAGTATTGAGTCGGGACAATATAATCTCCAGTAGGTCACTTTATTGAATAAGGTTGTCAATTGCCTATAGTTACTGAGACCTTGACTTAGCTACATCATCAAAGATGACATCTGCTTCCTCTGTATCTGCGATCGTTCCTACCCCCGCAAACTTGCATTCACCTACCTCGCCGACCTCGCAACCGAGTTCACCACCACCTACTCCCCCTCCCAGTATCATTCCCCCAACCTGCGACCGTATGCATTCGTCGAATTCGACACCTTCATTCAGCGCACCAAGAAGACATACCAGAACAGTCGTGCCGCCCAGAATTTAGACAAGCTGAACGATGAGCTCCGGGATGTCACAAAAGTCATGACCAAGAACATCGAAGACCTCCTATACCGTGGAGATAGTCTTGAGCGGATGGGTGAGATGTCTGGGCGCTTACGGGAGGACAGCAGGAAGTACAAGAAGGCAGCAGTGCGGATAAACTGGGAGCTGTTGCTAGAGCAGGTTAGTAGATCCTCCTTTAATCTGGCAGGTATCAGCGAGTGGAAAGCTGACCTGCACAATCCAGTACGGACCGGTTGCAGGAGTCGGGTTTTTCATCTTTATGCTCTTGATTTGGTGGCTTTTCTTTTAGTTCAATACCTGATGCCAATCGATATCCCCTTCGTATAGACATGTGACTATGATCGATTGTCTCTATGCATAGCGGATGGAATCCATCCAAGGGAAACTTGTGGCTCCTTGTCATTTTTTTCCGTTTTCGATCGGATTTGGGGGCAAGATATCCTTTGTTGTACCTGGTCCTTCTGGAAAGGACCCATGTTTCGTCCTCATGTTCCAAAAGCCACTGCTAGTTGACGCATTCGTCGGCGTTTCGAAATATTGAATGTTTTCAAGCCAAGCCTTAAAGAAACAGTCCTGTGTAGGTGCATGACCAGGAAGAGCCGTTTTTTAAGACTTCACATGCTCAAGCATCCAGCTTCTGAGAATTCTCGTCTTTGATTCTCCGGGACATTCATATCTCATCTTCTTCCTCGTCGAAGTCGTCTTCTTCTCCCATGTCGTAGAGAATTCTTCCTCCTTCTCCAGGGCCGTCGCCCTGCTGTGCGTCGAAATAGGGCAATACCACACCTTCCCTTTCTCGCCGTTGGCGCTCTGTGAGCTTCAACTCGAACGTTGACCCTGGCTCCTCCTCTGCAGCATGTTCGTCCTCTTCTTCGGGTCGACGATACAAGGGATGGTCGTCCAGTAGCGTCACCACCTCCTTTGCTTCATTGGGGTGATAGTGAGATGCAGGCGGCAGAACGTACCACTCCACGACTCCTCGTCCACTTTTGCGCCGATGTTCCATCTCAATGACGACACCTTCGGCGCTCTCTTGGCCTTTCAGCCTGTCAAGTCTGCCGATGATCACCCCTTCCTGTTCTTCTTCTAATCCGAAGACTGGCGCGGCCAAGCTACGGTCACGAGCAGCCTTCTGAGCGAGAACATGAGAAAGTGAGTGTAGAGTAAGAATGGTCGTTGCAAGATAGGTCAAAAGCGACAAATTCGATGGAGAATAAGGCCGTTGATTTGACAGGATAGGGATATCTTGGTGATAGGTCACCACTAGGGACGTCTGCACTGGCGTGGATGTAGGGTTTACTGGAGCGAGAAACGAGCTTAAGAACATGGGCAGATGCACCGGTCCATCTGGACCCCGGCGATCAAGAAGGGGGTTAATGGCGTCGATGATAATGAGCCGTCCTGTTCCATTATCAGCACCCAGAGATCAACGACAAGCTACGATACAGCGGGGAAGTTCTTACTGCGTGGTGCCCCGCCGGACTCTGGCACAGGATACGCATTAGCCACTTCTTTTACCACATCGCTCGATCTCTTTCGCCGAGCCAGAATAAAAGCATCGACCCCGTCTGGTCTCTTCAGAGTTTCGAACGACACAAAGGTGACATGAACTTTGGAGATCTAGCACAAAGATTAGCGCGGAATATGAAAATCCTAACAGACAAAGTCGCAGAAAAATAGCAAATAAGTTGCATTAAATATCTCAAGGCACTCCAAGTCGTACAACCGAATCATTGAGATGTTCCCAAGCATGAGGCAGAGTAAAGACGATATATAATAAAATTCACCAAGCAATACTAGAAAAAAAAAGGAAGCACTAATCAATCGTACCCGTGCCCGCCGGATATACTCCCGTATTAACGGCCTCGCCGGCTGTTCCAAAGAATCCAACAGCAGCGTCAACGGTGACGCAGTATCCCGCAGACTGAGCAGTTTCGATATCAAGAGCAAGTTGTGAGTACGCCGGTGCGAAAGATTACTTGCGGACGGCATCTTTCGCTTCTAGAAAATTTTTTTGCAGTGACTACTGCAGAACTCGCGGGTTGGAATAACGAAGAAACGATGGATGCGGCGAAAAAAAAGATTTCTCGAGTCTCGAGAATCAAGATCGGTCGCCGTCGGTGGAGGGGTTCGTTCGGCGGCGGGACCCGTATGGCCGTTAGCATCATTTTTATTTTCGCTGTGAGCGCATAGTGATCACAAAGGAACAAAACGCATAATAAAGTAAAAGACTACTACAACACTCCTATCATAAAGCAATATGAGCAGGTATCTAGGAAAAAGTACAGATGTACAGGCAGGCAACTCTTGGAATTTCCTCTACTCTGTAGTACATGTCCTATCACCTAGTGCTCTGTATTCAGCATACTTACAGAGGTGAGACTTGACCAAGTTGTGTTTCTCGATCCATCCACAAAATGATTCGTTTCAAGCCGCTGCAGTATCCACGGAAAGAGAGGATACCGCTGATTGATCGCATATTACGCGATCGCAATACAATCTCGTGCGCTTATGAAGCTGCTCTAGGGGACCCGGCAAGAGGTGGGTATGGTCGAAGGCAAGCACAAGTGTTATTAAACACCCAACATCTCGAGGGGCTTCAGGATTTGCTTTCCATTGAATATGGCTCCGATTACAGAGACGACGGTGAAGTAGTCCTGCTTTAGAAAGCAGGCAATAATCCCTCAGCTGGGTAGGTGCTGCTGTGAAAGCTGCGGTTCAGGAGTATGGATATCAGCATCAAATATGCTTGCATTGAGCATACGGAGTATTCAGGAAGATGCTAGGATGAGTCCTTGTCTTTTGACATCTCACATTATTATCTGTAGCCTCATGGTGTTGGGGAAATAAGGGGAATGGGCGATACTTTATTCGGCATTCCGGAGTAGACCCGGGTTTGCTTGACTCTTCATCATTGAACAGACAGTGACAATCAGTAGTTGAATCCACTATGATTTTTCTGGAATGTGTCCATGTGACATCAAGCACCTCCCTTTTCCTCCAAATGCTCCACTGCCTCAGTTACAGGCTCACCGCATCTCAGGGGCGCGCATACTTGCCATTGACTGTGTTATTTTCTGTCGGCCTCGGGACTCGGCAGTCTTCAAAGGGCAGGCGGTCATGCGCAACGCTAGGTATGACACGTACAGAGGACCCTGAATTTAGGTCCCTACCGCTAGCACTAGTCCCCAGTAATTAAGGCAGGTAATCACCTGTTGGGCGCTTAGTCCACAGTACGGAAGAGGAGCAACTAACTACTCCGTATGGAGATGACAGCGTGTGAATGGTCCGCCAGTTTGATGACTACCTAGGTCCTAGGTACCTAGATATCTACCTACTAGGTTGACTATATTCCTGACTCTCTCGGTAGTTGGCTGTGGCTTCTGGTTAGGCGTTTCGGAAGTTCAGCCTCAAATACACCCTCATCTGTGCAGGATACCAACAACGATAAATCTGATATAACAAGGATGCACTTCCTGCTTGGGGCTCTGAGACCAGCCGGCCGGTTGAGCCCTGACGGCCTCTAGGCTCCAGTAATAGAACGGACGCGGCTACAAGGAGGGCTTGGCCACCAATTTCTGCCTCTCAGGCTCTCACCCGGCCTTGCTCTGCAGTCAAGGTTCCTCTAACAGCCCCACTGATCCAGGGCAGGCCCTGGCGGATGTTGCGGGACTCGCCAACTCGCGGCTGTGAGGCCGTCTGTGGAGAGTTGGGGACAGTCCAGCCTCCGCGGCCCCTCGCCACTGGCTCGTCATTAATTTGTCGCATGCGTGGGAACGACTCCTCAAGCCGGGCAAGCCACAAGTCGCCTGGGTTCGGAACGGACCTACCTAGGCACTGTGCTATTTAGAAGCGCTGGTCAGCCACATCCACTCCCTGTCATCTCGACTTCATGCGGCACGCGATCAGCTCGCGGCTGTGCGGCATGTCGCATCTCTGGATATAGAATGCAGGTCCTTGTTACTGAAGAAGAGACATTCCAACGCAGCATTGCGTCCTGCCTGACCACAGTCGGGCCACCGAGCCTGCAGTACTCTCCTTGAATTTTTCTCCCCGAACGATGTCCCTCGTCTCCCTCTTCCGACGCCGTTGGCAGCGCCTTGCAGTCGTCTCGATCGTCTTCTGTGCCGTTTCTCTTTCCATATTATCCACCCAAGAGGAGAGCAAACACGATGACGAACCCTCCGAATTGCAGATGAAATTCCCTTTGCTGTGGGAACATGTACATATTTCCAATGGCACTGGCGGAGGTACGTGAGCGTCTTTTGGGTGCTCCAAGTGAATCGAGCTGTCCATACACAACGCCATTGAATCTCTCGTTAGAGAGCACACGTCCGCTAATTATCTGCTCCAGCCTGGTATATACCACCCGAGTGGTTACCCGAATCGCAACCGACGCCTGAAACAATTGTAGATGCAGCCCAACTCGCATTCAAACTTGCCAACTCGACTACCCACCGATCTATCTCTCATTCCGAGATTCCCTTGATTGTTCATCAGACATGGAAGAACACCGACATCGACACGTGGCCAGAGACGATATGTGACAGTGTGGAGAAATGGTTGGATTTTGTCGTTGACACGCCTATGGCGTATTTCTTGTGGGACGACGATGGCGTATTCCAATTTTTAGAGAAGTTTGATCCCGGTTTCATTGGGGAGTTTTCCTCTCTGCCAGCAAATGTTGAGCGGTCAGATGTTTTCCGCATCCTGGTCTTGAATTACATTGGAGGCATTGTAAGTCTCCTTTTGCTTCTCTCTACCGTCTGATTCTTCCCATCGATGCTTTTCCATCGCTTTCTTCGCTTCTTCTTGGCACGGATGGGACTGATTTTATTGTCAACCATCAGTATGGAGACGTCGACACTCATCCACTACGGTCGCCGGCGACCTGGATCGTGCCCTCAGACCTAATGCCTTGGTATGACCCTGAGACGGGTGCATCCTACAATTCCACTGGCCCAGTTAAGGCCGTATTCGGTCTCGAAGCCGATTGTCCTCCCGACAGCGACTCGTATTGGCGAATGGGCTATACGCACCCAGTTCAGCTGACCCAATGGGCACTGGCTGCAGCACCCGGTCATCCTGTGCTATCGCGATTCATGGATAACCTGTCGCATCGCCTGCAGGAGGTGGCAAGTCGCCATGGGGGCAATCTGACGTCCGCGTCCGCGTTCCGGGAGCTCCAGCGATTAGATCCCCTTGTTTTAACGGGTCCCGCTGCTCTCACCGTATCAGCGAAGAGCTGGTTAGAGGAGAGTGCCGGATTGCGATGGAACGCTCTCACTGGATTGCACGATGGCGGAAAGAGCAAATTAGTAGATGATGTTATGATTCTTCCTATCACGGGATTCAGGTAAGACTCCTCCCTCTCGTTCTGCCCATTTCAGGACTTTGTTGAGTAGGAGATGGGGGGCTGACAATCAGAGGCAGTCCCGGTCGCGGTGTATATGGCAACATGGGCTCCAAGCCCACCACCGATCCCGATGCGCGTTTATTGCATCATGCGCAAGGATCGTGGAAGTCGTTCAACTTGCGAGTGGAGTTTGGGAAGTTTTGTCGCACCTTTTTTGGTCTTTGCAAGGATTGGTCCAAGGTATAGAGCATATGGGGTCTTATTATAATATATTATTGTAATTTCATGCTAGAATTTCAAGCACACTTTGATTTATCCACATTATTCTGTGTACAACAGAGAAGTCGAACTGCGCAGGCAACGCTCAATGAAGAGGGGCACTCGGGAGAGGATGAGGGTTCATTTATGAGCTTCACACTGTCTTCTACGAGGTGGGATATGTTGAGAGAAAAGGAAACTTGAATTCCAAAAAAAGAAGGAACCTTCATATGGTTATTGCCTTCTTGGTTGTTGACTTGAACAAGCATTATATTAAAATAAGACAGGTGCCTACCTAAATAGGCAGTCACGAGCGAAGTCACATGCGAGTGCCTGCCGTGCCGGGTAAGCTCTCTTGCTAGGGCCGTCTACGATGGACACGATTGGCAAGGATCTTCGATGAGTAAGCCTGAAATCACGCCATCTGGCCGAGCTAACTTTCTTCGGGCTGCGCTTACCCGCTTGGATTAGGAAGGCACACGAGCCAGCCGCACGACCAAGCCACCAGGGCCTGCCACGGTCTGGGCCCAAGCAGCAAAACGAGGTTGGCTACGGAGTAGAAAAGCGCTGCGGTGCATCACCAGGAGAGGTGTGCTCATGTGTCCGAGAGATGAGATATCCAACGACGGGGCAACCATGGTCGTGTGCGATTGGGAGCCCAGCGATGAGTCCTCCAGGGAACCAAGCCTTGCAGGTTGCGCGACACGAGAAAGGTGGTGAAATCTTCCTGGTGGCAGAGGACCAATAAAAGGCGTCTTGAGGACAATCGACAAGGCGTTGTGCGTCGTATTTCGTATCTTCGGGCAGAGTAATGTAATTAATTACCCCGGATCCCTGCGGAACAGCGCTCAGGTAACGCTAACTGTGACAGTACTGATACAGAAAAGCTTGTCAGTGTTACCGTCACATTACGGCATTTTAGCGCATATACTCCTTCTGGAGCTTCGATGTAAACGGGCCCCACTGATGAAGTTAGGCACCCTGCCTTTCACTTCTCACAAACACCCATATATAACAATACTGACAGGCATTTTTTTTCTGTCATTTCCGTTGCTTTAGCCAGATTACTCGTTCTTCCCCCTTCTCCCCTCCGGTTCTTTTCCGGAGGTGGACATGATGGCCTCTCTCCGGACCAAGTTCTTGCTCTTGGTTTGCGCCTTGCTCCTTCTTCTCCATCGCTGGTGGCTTCCCCTTGGGGGAATGCTTTATGACCTCGCGGCACTCCCAGCTCGATGGAAGGATGCGGCGTCTCAGTCCGTGATCACCCAGGAGCGCGACCATTTCGATGTCAGCTTCGAAGCCTACGAAACCAACCAGACCACGGCGGGCTCCGATTACCCTGATCTTGTCCCGCCCATTCTACACCACATCAATCTGGGCGCGAAGCCACCACGCGCAGAATGGCTGGCAGCTCGATTAAACTGCTTGCGCCATCATCAGGGGTGGCAATCTTTCCTGTGGGATGACGCCAGTGCCAATGCATTCGTTCAAGAAAACTTTCCTCACCTGAAGGACATGTGGGACAACTATCGATATCCAGTACAACGAGTTGATGCGCTTCGTTACATGGTGTTGCAAAAATATGGAGGTGAGTTTCGCCAAATAGACTGGATTATTGAGTTACCTGTTTTCGCCTTCCCGCCTCCACAGGAACCTTACGGGTGGTGGGGAAAACTGGATTGTTGCGATGGCAAATGGCAATGTAGAGCGCAAGACTGATGTCAACCCTTCGATTCTGCACAGGCGCGGTTCTTGATCTCGATCTTTCATGCAAACGATCTCTCGGGCCGTTGAGACGGTTCGACTTCGTGGCACCGGCAGCCCATCCCACGGGCTTCTCCATTGGCATGATGTTGTCGAGTCCAAATAATACTTTCGTGCGGGACCTGGTGGACAACCTCCCGAAATACAACCGAGCCTGGTTTTTCCTCCCTTATGTTACAGTGATGTTTAGCACTGGATGTCATTATGCATCGTATGTTTTTTCCGCCTCCGCTTCCGCTTCGCCTCCACCGCGCTGACATCAACTGACTGGGAAATACAGTACCATCTTCACCCTTCAGCGAAACCGTAGCTCCCTGCGCATCCTCACCGGGCCCCGCTCTTCTCCTCGCATGCATATGCTGAATGGTTACGTCGACACGCCCTTATTCCGCCACCTGGGCTCATCCTCATGGCATAGCTTCGATGCTCTGCTGATTAATCTTCTAGGGCACCCGAGAAAAGGACCTCTGGTGGTCCTCTTGGTGGCCCTATCTTTTATTTCCGGGTCACTGCTGGCAGTCTGTATGACCTGTCGCCTCCGAAGACAACATTTCTCTTCTGGGAAGAATACTAGAAAGGAAAACGGAGGAAATTCGTCAATATTGAAAGTTGCATAGAAGCTGGCCGGCCTTTTTTCCCACTGCATTTAATTTTTTCAAGCGATTTTTTTCTCTCTTCCCGTTGCCAAAAATACCTTCATTGATGTCTTTTTCCTTTTTACCCTTCTTCTCTTCGGACGGTTCTTGTATTACCTGTGATTATTATTCACTCCTAATATACCCCCCAGGTTGAGGGTTTGGGGCTTGTACATGTATATACATGACAATACACCGATTCGAAAGGCACTAAAGAGCCTGATTCGGAAGAGATTAGTGATTAATGCATGCATACATCCCTCATACATACATCTCCGTTTGACATGCCAGATACAAAATAGTAATACCACCAACCTCAACGCCAAGAACACTAGTATGTTTCGCTCAAGACAGGAAGCTAGCTCATCACATTCTTCGTAGATCGTTAAACCACATGTACCGGCTCATCACCAGATACAATACCCTATCCCAGGAATACTGCGTGTTATGCTGGCGGAAGGCTTCTCGGCCTTTCAAGTACCTCGCGAAGTTGCTCACAATCAGGGCCTTGTCACCGTACCGATCGCCACCGGCAGGAGGCCTCGCGGGACCCATATCGCCTGTGTACCCCTCTGGGGGTGCCACGAACAGGGCCTGGAGGATCCGCAGCGAGAAAGGGAGTGATGTCGGGATCAGGTCCGCGAGAGAGGAGTATTTGCGGAGGACGAACTTGGTCTGGACGGCGTAGGCTGGAGGCTGGTGGTTGTTCTCAATGGCGTATTTGCTACAGAGCCCCGTCAGTTATTCCTTCTTCAATGCCTAGATAGATGAAGACAGCAGCAAGAAAGGAAAGGATGATTGATAGATTGACTTACCGGACGCCGTTGCTGACAGACCTGTGGTTGACATGGCCTGATATACCGTATTGATCGAAGGTAATGATCTGTTATGTTGCGAACGCAAGACCGATTAATTTCTTCGCTGTCACGTTTTGTATTTCCCAGGGACCTGGATTGACTTACCAAGTCAATATTCCACATGCGAACATGCTTCTGGAGGACATCCTTGACGATGTCTTCATCCCACCATTTCTTGGGATTATCTTGCAAGTCAGGATGATTGAGGACTACACATCGATCCGGGGAAATTCCGAGCGTGGCACAGCTGGCTTTGGCTTCGGCTTTCCTCTCCTCACCGAGACCATCATAGTTGCCTAAAAGTTTGAAATCAGTTTTGTTTTGAAAATAATAGACTGGTTTAAAAATGCTTTCTTTCTGTATTGAATATATCTATAGATAGTTCAAAAATTGGTAGAAAAAAAAGAAAAAAAAGGTTATATAGAGTACTGGGTAGGCAGTTGCTGACCGGAAGAAAGCACCAAGATGGCGCGGTTCACGTGCGATTTCCCCCATGCATGGAGGATGCTCGGGCTGAAGAAGAGACACTCATCGTCCGGGTGCGCTGTGATCAGAAGTACATTCCGCGCGTTGCGGATCGCATGTGGTACCAGTCTAGGGTCGCCAGCGAGAGTATAGGCAAGCAGGAAGTAGAGAACAAGGGGTATAAGAAAGAAAATCACTCCGACGGCCAGCGCGATGGAGAACTTCTTCCTCGCCGCGCGGCGGCCCAGATGCCTTGCAAGCCTTGCAAGCTGGAGCGGAATTGAGGCCATGATGCGGTTTATCTCCCACCTCCGGACATGTGTTTTATCTTTGCCGGGTGAGGTGAGGAAGCGCTATGTCCTGTGCTTTGTTCTTTCTTTCCTTGGAAGCTAGCCTCCGAGGTTCTGGAAGCTCAGCAGCAGCTCTGCGCGACGGCACTGGATTCCCCAGGCATTATTTTCGTATTTGGTTCTTCGGGGACAGCCAGGCTGGGAGTCGAATTCCCTATAAGGCAAGCAATACGGCGCTAGTAAGAGTGGGGCGTATCATTGATACATACCTGTCACGAAATTACAGCGTGGTACGAGAACTGAGGTCGGAGGCACCCGCCTAGCTCCTCCCTGAGGGATTTTGATGAGCAAAGGGCTTAGTCCAACAGTTGTTGGCTGTCTTAGCCGACCATGGATGCGATTGACTGGCCAGTTCTGTTTGGTTTCGGGTCCCCTGTCCCAGAGATTCATCCCGAGCCGCAGGCCTGTCAAACGATGGAAGCTGCATTGACTTTGGTCCTCTCAGGCCAGGAACTCTGCTGTTGTCAGGGACATGTCCTCCCTTCACAGTCTCCAGGCACATCTTGCGGCTTCTGAAAGTTCCGAGATGGCATGTGCCTCTTAGCAGATTCCAGCTGGGCTCGGGCCCATATGGACAGCTACTAGATATGGTATAGGCACCGTGCGCAACAGGATGATTCGAGAGGGCCAGGGCGCACGGGCTTAAGCAGGGCGGAAATGGGCGATCTGGGCCTCTAGAAACCACCCGAACGTCTGAGCCAACATCCCACCAGCCGGAGACGACCACGGGCCATTTTTAGGAACAAGGCGCAGGAATCCACGGCTGGAGGCTGTAGCCCCCAAACAGGGTGCCATGACTAGTCAGTCGAGGGCCAACGGGTCGCAGGCAGAAGTCTGCTGGTGCTGGTGGAACGCCTGCGCTCCGACGCTTGGCTGCTTTTAGCTCCATAGCCTAAAAAGCTTGTCGCGTTGGAATGCTGATCTTCAGCCGCATGGATGCTAGCTTAGCCTCCCGCTTTATTAGGCACATTAATACGCTAATACCACCCAATTACCGGCGCACCCAAGTTGCACCAGGATACCGTTTTTTTTTTAATTTAATCGGCAGGCACACGAGATGGCCAATGACAGCGATCTGTTGTTGGCATGGGGGGTTTTTTCTTCTTGAAACATAGCGTCTCTAATCGTATCCAAGCTTTTGACAGGCATTTCCAATTTTCCATTTCTCCCGTTGTACAGTACATACATGCATAACTCGCCCCCACGGAGACATCATGCATAGCGCGTTACGCACTGCATTGTCTCGCCTCTCTCAAGGGAGGAAGCGCTCTAGAGGCGATCACCAGCCACCTAGTTCCCCTGCGCAGGCGACTGAGTATGGTATTACGCCCATATTAACGTGACCTACCTAAGTTTTGAGGCACAGATTGCAGAGTACAGTACCGTTTCCCTCCAGCTCATGTCAGACAGGAGTTATCTTGGTGCCTGCGATACGAACTAGAAATAGAAAGATCTCCGCGTCGGGGCACATCTAAAGTTACCCAAGTGTAATCCGCCTATTAATAATCCGACCTCTTACGGAGGATATTGTTTCAGCTTGTATCACCTGACTCGACCAGGCTTAAAATATTATTAGATCCATTATATCCATAGTAATATATATCCATAATATAAATTATGAAAAGCTCACAGCCCCAGTCGCTGCTGTTAGAGGGTGCTATAAAAACCCCTGTTTCTCCTCTTTCTCCATCTTTGGCTTCGCAGAAAGGGCAGGGATTTTACTGAGCTAGCGGCGTCTTGAACCAGGGACTCCTGGGCAAGAGAGGAAGATGTGGAAGGGCAAGGGTTAGGTGCATTATGCACTGAGCTAGGGGGCCCATGTTCCGTTAGACGAGTACGGAGTATTGCTGTTAGTGATCTACTCCGTACTCCGATATGACAGTGACTTGTTTGGAAGCCTAACTTCAATACTCTGTACTAATCGTATGACTCTGTTTCTCGCTCGAATTTATAAGGTACAGTCGAACAGTACAACTACGTGCTGACACTTTGATTGGTTCCTACCAAGGAAATAGCCAAGACTTTGCAGCGTTATGGGCATTTTGACAGCTCAGTATATCAGTATATCTACTAGTCACATGGACTTAGACGTCATCGATCTCGGAGTTTTGGATCAATGCGCTCAACAGGCCAGGGTTATATAGTTCATACAGTCATCTATATCAATGCGTTATTGCCCGGGTATTGAGAGGTAGTTACTGGTAGCGGGAATAATACCGACAGGCCTCTCAAAAACTCCCATATCAATCAGGTATACAGGGAATTCTTCATTGTCATTCAATGATGATGACGTACATACCCAGTACTCTGTACACGTAACGGAAGCTGGTGGTAATAGATATTTAGAGCCAGCAGTAAGTGCATACAGTAACCCTGTGCCGCAAAGGTCTACTTCGACAGCTCAGGGCTTCAAACTGCTATGTAGTGATCTGCGAAGAGGGTCATTACATTGTCACCAAGTCAGACACGAGTCAAATTTTACAACTGAATAGTAATTTTGGTGTATGATTCAATATATGGTTCTAGAGTTCTTGGAGCATTCACCAGTGGTCTTTGAGCACCACATCGTCACTTCTAGAGGCATTTTGGAGAAATCTAGTGCTCTAAAAAACAACTGAATAAGTAAAATGAAATGAAAGGAAATAAAATGTAATGTAGCAAATAAACATCATGAAGGAACCGTGTAATGCCTTCTATTCATGTCATCGGCAGATCTCGAGGGTTCTTACTCACGAGCTATCAGAGCTTTTTATATATACAACACAAGTCTGGCCGAAAAAAATTCACAAATTCCCAGTATCTCAAACTACCAAGCAAATAGATAATATTATATTGGAACGTAAAGTCCCAGAAATGATGACAGCTTCAGGGGATGAGCTTTAATCACTCTGGTGAAGTGATAAGGGAGTTCCCTTGCTGGCGGGTGTGGCTGGGCACTTTCCGGCGGTGCATCTCTGGCACGACTCCGCCACCGTAGAAGCCTTCGCGCCAAGCCTCTACAGTCAGTAAACTGTTGTTTGCAAATGGCTGCGGAGATGAGAATTGTATCTCGGTCAAATATCACTTAACAACCAGCCGTGAAAAATGAGATAGGTTTTCAGGAATACTCGAAGACATTTCTGCTACAGAATTGGGCTCCATCAAATCCACAGGCCTCCGCAACACTTTCTTAACTAGCATTCAGTTGGCTCAAATCTCACACCAGCAAAATGGAGGAGCCGCCCGCGAAACGTGCCCGCAGAATGGACAGTTCGACAATGTGGGACATGAATGACAAGAGACCGCGCTCTTCGCGTTCGCCGGAGCCAGATTCAGACTCTGACAGACCCCCTCGACAAGAGAGAGACGGGTACCGCAAGAGTTACGACCGCCGCTACCGCTCTCGCTCCCGATCCCGCTCGCGGGACAGGAACGACCGGAGAAGGGAGAGAAGCCGATCATGGGACCGGTACGATCGGGATCGTGATCGAGATGGCAGTAGGAGAGATAGGGAAAGGGATGGGCGAGGAGCGAGGGAACGGGAGAGAAGCACCAGCAGAGACCGATATTATGATCGGAGAGGTAGGTCTACGAGTACGACTAGGTCTTATTAAAGTGACTGACAGTGTTCAAGGTTATCCACCCAAGTCTGACAGATACGAACGTTCCCGGTCCCCTGCCCGTAATGGAACCCGTCCTCGTTCCAGAACTCCTCCTCGAGGTCCCAAGGCAGATCGGAGAGACGATAGGAGGGATACCAGACCGCGAGATGATGACCGTCGAAGCAATGGCATCTCCGACGCCAAGGATTCATCGCGGGCGAGAGATCATGACGGCGAACGAGATGTCGATATGAGGGATGTTGAGGAGAATCCAGAAGACATCGAGGAGCTTATGCGGAAGACTGTGGGCTTCACCAAGTTCAGGAGTACAAAGAATACGAAGGTTCCGGGTAACAATATCTATGGCGTGCGGAAGGAGAAGAAGACAGTATACCGGCAGTACATGAACCGCCCTGGTGGATTCAACCGGCCGCTGAGTCCGACCAGATGAATAATCTTCGATTTTCTGTCGGCTTTATTCTACTTCCTGTATGGGGTCAACTCTGGGCGTTTCTTTGGCTCTCAGGGATTCTTTTCCTTTCTTTTCAGCAGTTCCGTCATGGCGCGTTGTTGGAGTTGTGGACTGCATGTTGATTAGTTTTATTCGAAGGGCCTCATACGGTTACAATACATATGTGTTTCTCATAGCCTCTAATAGCGTCTGGAAGGGAAAAAGGAGGAAAAAAATTAGAAAAATGACCTGCCAAAAATGCGGATTCGTGTGTTGTAGCTGTTCTGTGCAATTGAACGTTAGAATTGCAGCGTATCTTGCGCGGTTCGGACTTCTCGCCACATTTAATGACTGCACTGACGTAGATCACTCTCCCGATATCATATCAAGCCTACATGAGGGTTCCCAACTCTCTCAACACCCTTTACCGCTATCCCAACACAGTGGCTTCCATTGGATCTAGAGCCCTCAGATTTGCCTCTCGCAGCACAATGGCTGGTGCAGACCAACAGCGGGAGATTGTTATCATCGGTACGAAGCGCCGTATCCTGCCATCGCGTCTACCCCGCACCCCGGTTCAAACTCAACATGACACGCACGTACTGACAAGTCCTTCACAGGGGGCGGTATCATCGGATGTTGCTCCGCATACTACCTGACGAGGCACCCGTCCTACGATCCTTCGCGCCACAAAATCACTCTGCTCGAAGCTACAGAAATCGCCGGCGGGGCGTCGGGCAAGGCTGGAGGACTTCTTGCACTCTGGGCCTATCCCAGCAACATCGTGCCGTTGAGCTACAAACTGCATGCTGAGCTGGCAAAGGAGCACGGTGGGAAAGAACGATGGGGTTATCGAGAGGTCAATTGTGGTCAACTGGTTGCGAGAGGTCGTGCGATTGATGAAAAGAAGGGTCTGGCCGGAGCCAAAGAGGGCGGATCATCCGTGTCACTGCAGAAGCGCGACTCTCTCGCCCTTGGTAAATTGAGAGCTGCCGGTGTTCCTTCTGATTTGGACTGGGTTGTCCCCGAGGGTCTAATCGGTTACGAAAGTATGGCTGGGCCAGGAGAAACGGCTCAGGTCCATCCATATCTTTTCACTACATCGATCGCCAAACTTGCCGAAGAGAAGGGCGCAAGGATTATCTTGGGAAAAGTTACGGATATCGGGCGGTCTGCTGACGGGGTCCAGTCTGTGACCTACACTGATAAAGCAACTGGGGAGTCGCGCACTATCCCTGCGACGGACGTCGTTATTTCCGCCGGGCCCTGGACGAAGTCGGTGTTCCCTCAAGCACCGATATCTGCCACTCGCGCCCACAGCGTGGTCATCTGTCCCACGAGACCCGTGTCCGCATATACTCTTTTCACAAACATCTCGCTAGAGGCTGGTTATGGTTCCTCCAAGAAATCACGACCGACTGTCGTGACACCGGAGATCTACGCCCGTCCAGACAACACGGTATACGCGTGCGGAGAGGGTGATCACCTCGTCCCACTACCTGAGACGACCGCAGACGTCCAGGTTGACCAGTCGCGTTGTCAGGACATCATTGACGCTGTTGGCAGCATCTCAGAGGAACTGAAAGGCGGAGAGGTAACTGTACGCCAGGCCTGCTATCTGCCCAATGTTGATGCTCCTCGTGGAGGACCAATGATTGGTCATACTGGGATCAAGGGCCTATATATGGCAGCGGGTCATACGTGCTGGGGTATTCAAAACGCTCCAGGAACTGGAAAGCTCATCAGCGAATTTGTGTTTGAAGGAAGCGCCAAAAGCGCCAACGTTGCGGCGCTGGACCCTCGGAAGTTCCTATGAAATAATTCGTTATATAGATAGAATAGTGTGTAGAAAATGTATTTAGATATTTTATAGTCCTCATGGAGAATATGAGAACAGTAATAGTAATATTCACGCTCCTTGATGTCTTGTAATATAATGAGGGAGAAGCTCCGAAGCTGTAGATCCGGTTTTATGGTATACCGAGACGCTTGGGCCACGCGATCTCCGACAGGCCGCCCGCATAGTGTATGGAGTACTTCGTAGTATTACGTGGAACCTCCGCAGCAGTAAGAACATACGACTCATCAATTGGAGGGGCATTGCTGTCTCTTTCCTTTTACAGATGCTGCAGCCACAAAGATGCATCATCCTTTAAGTCTCTCGCTTCTTGTAGTTTCATTCCTCTTTATCTTTGGCTTCTCCACTGCTAGCCAAGCTTCATCTTCTGATGATGTGTCCATATTGATCAACGAGGTCGCCAGAGCAAACAACCAGTCGCTACTATGGGGCCCATATAAGCCTAACCTCTACTTTGGGGTCCGACCCCGGCACCCCAAGAGTCTGTTTGCTGGATTGATGTGGGCAAAGGTTGATGACTTCAGGACGGTTCAGGAAAGTAAGTAGTCTCTGTGACTTCTCCGATTGTCAATTGAACGCGCCTTTTCGAGTACCAGAGCTAATTGGTTCTTCAAGACTTCAGACATACATGCGAGCAACATGAAGGCATGGCTGGATATGGCTGGGACGAGTACGACGTGCGCAAGGGCGGCCGCCAGACCATTCATGACGCCGGAAACACTGTGGATATAACAATCGACTTCATCAAGGTTCCGGGAGGCCTTCATGGAGGCAGCTGGGGAGCTCGAGTGAAGGGAGTGCCTCGAGAGGATGCTCCTGCACAGCAGTTCACGACGGTGGTCTTCTATGCGGGACTGGAAGGGCTGGGTAACTTGCAGGTCGAGAACGAGCCAGATACTCTAGGCCTCGAGGGCGATGTGAAGCTCAAGGGTTACACCCCAGACTTGGGTAGTTTCACCATTGATGTGACAACAGGACCGGAGAGCAATGAACATCCTCAGCATTCTCATCCTAGTTACGCCGAGAAACCCTTGGATCGGACGCTGGTTACCAGTTTGCAGCTACCATCGGAACATCTGTGGCAAACGAGACGTATGGGTTTCCTGATTGTTTGAGTCGAAGCACATCCTTGCTAACAATGTGTGCAGCGCTCCTGTTCACCGTCATGAAGCCTGAGGTGGATGCAATTTTTCAGAAGTATGGGACCGAATCGCCTCCGCCCCCTCCTCAGGTTTTCACAATTCCCAATAAGCCAGGAGAGGGGAATCTCCATTTCGTTCAGAAGGTTTTCGAGGGGGCGTTCGAGGTACGTATTATTAGTCCCATTCGAGGTGCTCCGGCTCACATGTAGTAGTTCGATATCTTGTTTTCTTCTGGCTCTGCTCCTCAGCCAATAACATGTAGGTTCAATACCCATTTTAAGGACCAATTCTAACGCTGCGACTAATACAATCATCTGTACAGCTGAGAGTTTGACAGAAGGAATTAAGAGCACTGCACTCTCTTTCTCAGATCGCTTCGAAAAGATCTTTGCTCCGCAGGCACCATTCGATTCACCAGAGTATACCGAGTTTTCCAAGGCAATGTTTTCGAACCTCATTGGCGGAATCGGATATTTCTATGGAGGCGGCATCGTTGATCGTTCCGCTGCCCCTGAGTATGAAGAAGAGAACGAAGGGTTTTGGGAAGAGGCAGCGGAAGCAAGAGCTCGTGCCCGACCTGAGGCTGAAGAGCCGAGGGAGCTGTTTACCTGCATACCCTCCAGGCCATTCTTCCCTAGAGGATTCCTCTGGGACGAGGGTTTCCACTTGATTCCCGTTATTGATTGGGATATGGATCTCGCGTAAGTCTCCTACGAATGCATTTTAAGGCGCATGCTGACCGTGAGCAGACTGGAAATCGTGAAGAGCTGGTTCAACTTGATGGACGAAGATGGCTGGATCGCACGGGAACAAATTCTAGGTGCGGAGGCTCGCAGTAAAGTCCCGCCCGAGTTCACAGTGCAGTACCCTCATTATGCCAATCCGCCAACTCTCTTCATGATCCTGGAGTCATTTGTGGACAGATTCAACAAGTCGGCTGCTCCGCGTATTGATTTGGATCGTGAAGATATTGCAGACAGCCTTCGCTCGGCTCACTTGGAGAACCGGGACTTGGCCTATGCGTATCTCCGCTCCATCTATCCGTTACTCAAAAGACACTACTACTGGTTTAGAAAGACACAAAGGGGTGATATCAAGTCCTATGACAGAGACGCTTACTCCGCCAAGGAAGCGTACCGCTGGCGTGGTCGCACCGTGCAGCACATCTTGACGTCTGGACTCGACGATTATCCACGAGCTCAGCCTCCGCATCCAGGCGAGCTCCATACCGACTTGATCAGTTGGATGGGGCTGGCGAGTCGCTCCCTCCGCCGGATTGCCGAAGCACTAGGTGAGAAAGAGGATACAGAGGAGTTTGGAGCCCACGAGAAGGCCATTGTTCGGAATATCGATGACCTCCATTGGGACGAGGAAGCGCAAACTTACTGTGACGCCACCATCGACGATTATGAAGAGAGCGTTCATGTCTGTCATAAGGGCTACATTTCGATCTTCCCGTTCCTGACGGGAATAGTCGGACCGGACAGCCCTCGTCTTAAACCCATCTTGGATCTGATCCGCGATCCTGAAGAACTTTGGACCGACTACGGTATCCGTAGTTTGAGTAAGAAAGACCCGTTCTACGGCACCGCCGAGAACTACTGGAGGAGCCCGATATGGATGAACATCAACTATCTTGTGTTGAAGAATCTCTACGTAAGTCGCCTGTTTTCGAAAACGCCGTTTCTTTTTTTATTTCCCAGTGATGGAGAGAGAGCTCACATTCAAAACTTTTTCAGGATATCGCAACCGCTCCTGGGCCTCACCGGGAACAGGCCCGTCAGATGTATTCCGATCTCCGGAAGAATCTGGTCCAGAATGTCTTCAAGGAGTGGAAGAGAACTGGTTTCGCGTGGGAGCAGTACAACCCGGATACGGGACGAGGCCAGCGGACGCAGCACTTCACGGGCTGGACGAGCTTGGTGGTGAAGATGATGACTATGCCTGATCTCCCTGCGAGCAAAGGAGCAGGCCACGACGAACTGTAGGATATGTATGTATTATATCATGAAAAGCAGGCTCGATAGGAGACAATAGACCCATAGATATACCGTGACATCCCTTCCCGAACGCCGGCGCTATGCTTTATGCACAACCAAAATCATAAGGCAAACACATGTAGAACGATCCCATGATGAGCATGAAATCACCTCCGACGATCGTATTCTGAATCTCTGTTTCTCCCACGGTATCGATGGTCCCGACGTCTATCTGGCGAATAGTCACGTTCCCATCGCCGATCGCGTTCATCACGATCATGGTGGCGCCTTCTATCCGGGCTCCTGGAACGGGATGGTGTTCTTCGTCTATGGTGAGATCGCTCCGGGTCTCGCCTTCGATCGCGATCGCGATCATGCGATCTGGATCTGGATCTAGAACGGTGTCTGTGCTCATGGCGATGGTGACGGTCATGACCGTGTCTGTGCCGTCTCCGTTCCCTGTCCCTGTCACGGCTACGATCGCGACTTCGCTCCCGCTTGGACTCACGACGAGGGCTCCTACTACGCGAAGCATGGGGTCGTCTTGCGGCCCGACCGTCCGAATCCAGACCGACAGCCTCGAGTCTGTCGCCATTGCCCTTACCGGTCATTCCACTTGGTCCACCCCCGTATGAGCCGAATCCTATCCCTCGGCCTCTTTCCTCATCATCATCCTGTGCCGTCGTCTCTTGAACCGCTTTCTGGACCTCTTTCCCGCCCAGGGGAGTCAGGTTGGCATTGGTGCTCTTCGGCGCGACAGGAAGCCCCAGTGCGCGTGCCATTGCCTCCTGCTCAGCTTCCTTGATACGGCGAATTTCCTCTTCGCGTTCTCTCTTGGCTTGGTCTTCTGCCTTCGGGTCTTCCTCCTTCGCCTTGGCGTACCAGTGCAGATCGCGACCTTTCTGCCATCGACCGACAGGCGCCATGATCGAGTGACCAAGGTAGTTCTCCCGGTGGGAGGATTGTTTGACATCTTCCCATTTGAAGGCGTCGCGACCGCCGCTGTACAGTGAACCTCGTCAGCTGCATTCTAAACGTAACGATTTTGGGGATGTGTTGGACAAACTTACCGACTACCTTCTTTGCGGACACCTGCGACTAAATCCATACTGATATTCAAGCTGGCAAGAGAAAGACTGGGTTATGATAAATTGGCCAGCTTGGAAATAAAGATGTCCTGTTCTGCTAGGGCGGTACGGAGCACTCCGTAGGTAGGAGGTTAGCATGCGACGTCAAGCTTGGTGGCACGTGCACGGAACCACCCAAAGGCAATGACCTCAGTCCATGATCTACTGCACAACAATTTACAAACAAATGAGATAGGCAGCGCCACACTATTGGTAACGTGAATAATCTTGCATGCATTGATTTTGGTGCAGGCACCACTATTGCATGGTTTGGGCATGCTAGAACTTGTACTGGTGACGAGCTGCTGCCGCCTATGAGCTCTTCATTCACTTTGTGAGCGGAGATTACCGTCATCAATCATCAGATCTTCTCACACTTACTTGTAAACATCATTTCTGCGAACTGTGTGTTATGAGATTTAATCTCCTGTCAATTATTAAACAAGCATATTTGCATTGAAAATTTCAGAGAGACTCAATTTCAATTCTCCACAATGTCGCATGAGTGGGCAAGACTCTGGCGTGCGACCGAAGATGAAGAATCGGGCACTAGAAAATGGAGAGTACGGAACGATTTACGCCTAAAACCGATCAATGTTGAGAAGGGGGCCAAAAGAGTGAGCCACTCTCATCTTTTGTCTGGTCAAGACTAAGTCGGCCCGTACTAACTGTAGAATCTAGTTCCCTGTGTATGTTATGACTTATCTCGTCAGCAACAGTCAGGACTATGCTAATGAAGACCGGTAGGAGAGATGGAGTACTTCCGCCTACGGCAGCAGCTTGGAGAAACAATCTCGTAAGTATAATGATGTCGAAGAACATATGCCGTGTGAGTCGTTACTGATCCTTGTAATGCATCGATAAGACTGCGCTTTCCCAGCGTCGCAACTTGCTCTTCGTTGCATATAGCCATCAGATCTATGTCTGGAAACCGTCTGGTCCTTGGCAGGTCCTTGGCTCGACACCGGAGATGATCATCACGCCCGTGATGAAGGACCCCAACGCAGAAGGCTACATTTCCCCCGAGTTCCCTCATGCCATTAACAACATCCTTGTCGACGACCTAGGACGTGATGAGGTTTTACTCCTTGCGACCGATTCCGGAAACGTTTGTGGCTACCATGTCGAGAGCATCTTCTCAGCATTAGAGCGTGCGAAGGCAAACAACGAGAAACGCCCAGTAAGGGATCCACATATTGACCCGTTTCTGTGTGAGCATGTTGGCATGAGCGCTTGGGGATTGGCAATTCATAAGCTTGCCCGCTTGATTGCCGTCAGTGCTAATACTGGCCTCATTACCGTCTTTGCATTTGCGTTGGTCGACACCAGCTCCGAGAGCAGTGACGACTCGGAGAGCCCTTTGGACTTCCAGGACGATTACAGAGACTATGGACAGAACTGGTTAAATGTTGAGAACAACGCTCAATTCCTCCAGTTTCGTCGTCTTATGCCAGATCGTTACCGTTCCCGCAATGTTCGGCTCACGTACACAGGGCATTTCACCAATATTCCGTGTGTCTCATTCCTCAATTGCGACCTCGACCCCAATGGGACATGGATGGTCAGTACTGATATAGACAATAAGCTACTTGTCTGGAAGATCTGGGAAGGCCTTGGGCCCTTCAATGCTTTTCACTTTAGTGATGCTTCTGTTGAGCCGTTTCCACAAACCTTGCGCAACGAGTGAGTTAGATGCTCCTTTCAACTGTCAACAGACGGCTTATCTAACTAATTGAATAGTGAACGTGGCTGGAGCGTTTTGGCACTTGACCCCCGGACTTTCCGATTGAAGAAGTCGCTCGTCCAGGCGTGCGGTGGATGTCCGTACCAAAAGATGAGAGACAGTGAGACAGTATTTGACCTCACTCATCTGAGCAGAGAGGTTCAAGATGCTTCTCATTTGTACAACTACTTCCCGCCTGCTGTCAGGAGTGAACCGGAAGAGCCGACTATTCCTGATATTTTCGACCCTGATTGCTGCATCAGCAAAGACAGCTATCCACAGACGCCTTCCTTATCTCGATCCTCCGATACATCTTCTGACGACGAGCTGAGTGACATTGAGGGTGTATCAGCTAGCAACGTTGGGCGTGAGGAAAGCCATGAAGGGCGATCCTCAGGAGAGCAAGGCACAGATGGACAAAGATCCGCCGCTGCTGAGGCTGAAACTAGAAGCGATCAACCGACTCCACACCAAGCAGCTGACAATAATAATAACGGTCACTTTACGCTGGATGAGTCAATGACTGCTAACGATGTTCTTCAACTTATCCTGCAAGAGGCTCTTGGAGACGCTATGTCTGATTCAGACATAGAATTAGAAGTGATAGATGACGAAAATGCCGAAACCGTTGAAGGAGGTGGCGAACAGCAGCAGACAGAGGATTCTGGAGCAAGTGAAGACGCTAGCGACCACTCTGCAGAGACAGGAGAGGCTTCTTCTCAACATTCCAGCGGTGTAATGCGGGATACTACGAGCGATCCCAACACGGAGACGGAGGAACAGATACGAGCGAAAGATCTACCGTCAGCACCAGAACCGATCTGTTTCAATTTTCCAATCCTTCATTTCTCACAGACCGACATTCGTCTCATTCCCCACCCGTTCGCGTCATATCCCAGTGTTGTATGCGGTGGTCCATTGCGACAACCCTTTACTCGCACTATCCTGTCGATACGCTCCTATGACCGCTTCAATATGGTGAAATATGTTCCCGAACACGGCATCGTCATCGCGGCCACGCAGAAAGGCCGCGCCGCCGTGATTACTCTTACAGAAGCTCCCGGAAAGGGGCTTACTTTCCGAATCAATTGGATGCTGCCCCTTGCCAGTCAAGAAAAGTACGCGGATCGCCCGCTTATTCCTCTACTCGGAATCGCTGTCAGTCCCGTGCAGGGATTCGAGAAGCCAGCCGATGTGTCATACATTCCCCGCGGGGCCTGTGACCGGAACGACTTGTCCTTTCACTACAAGTTCCAAGGGATTAACGGAGAACCTGTATCTATTGATAATTCTGATGGGGATTCTTGGTACATAAAGCCTGATGCTGAGGAACAACAACAACCGACTGAGGACGAGATGATGATGATGGAGACTGAGAGCGATCTCCCCACGAACCTGAACCTCAACCGTCCGCACTCTTCCAAGCTCACTCTGCCCGAATGCCACGCGATCGCGAATCGAAACTACCAGCCGCATGAGCGTTGGCAAGGGTGGAACCCATCCCGTCGCTACCGCCTGTTTCTCACGTACGGCGATCACACCGTGATGAGTTATGAATTCTGGTACGAATGGTCTGATACTGTTGTTGGCGAGAACTATGATGGCGAGCGTGACGACCTTTTGCTTATCTAGCTAGATAAATAATATCCTATTACGTACATACCCTTGCATGCAATGGCAGAATTAAGGCCCTTTTCTTTATATATATTCTTTACTTTCGGCAGGGAGCCTAAACATATTTGAGGATTCTGTTATGTTCTAGGTAACCTTATTGATTGGTTAGGCCAGAACTCAAGATTAATACATACGTGATTGTCGCTGATAATTTAACCAGTAATGTACATGTACAGTAAATATGTATACTGTACATATGCGTGTTGCATGACATAGGGTTGCCAAAAATGGAGTAATGGATAGATGCGCAGATAGCCAAAACAGGAAGAAAGAGAAAAGGGAATTGGCCAAAAAGGTGCGATATCATGAATGTACGGGCGCTAAGTCTAGAATGAAGGAGATGCTTCTTGAAACTACATAATGTTGCATGTGTACAGGATTGGCCATAATTCAAACCAAACGACGAAGGGGAATCACAGCACGTCCATGCTATCGTAACTCAATTTAATGCAAAATAAATACAGAAATAAGGTTAGAAGGATCAGGATACGTAAAGAGTAATGGGATGTAGTTTAGCCGTTCAGCTCATCACTGTCCCATTCGTCTTCCTGGTCGTTCTGTACCAATTCCAGAAATCGTTGTAGACCTTCCTGTCGAACCGGTCTATGTGGTTCCCGACGTTGTTGTAACCCGCCACCAACTCGCTGTGGAGGCCGTGGGAAGGCTTCGCGTGCGCCTGGTCGATCTCGAATCTGAGCCATGGCAAGCGCCTGTGCCTGGCGCTCCGCGGCAGCGGCAAGACCCGCTGCGTCCAGACCACGGGGATTGCCTCTCTGGTTTTGGTGAGCATTGCCAGCTGGTGGCATTACTCTAGGGGGGACTGGCGCTGGTGGAGGAGGCCTCCTCCGATTCATTTCATTGTCGTCACTGTCATCGTCACTACTTTCATCAAATTCCCAAACAGGATTATCATCAGACTCGCTGCCATTATCTTCATCATCGTCACTTTCACTCTCAGTTTCGAAATCTCTCAAATCATCTGGGATCTGGTGCAGGGCCTCAGCGCCCTCTGGATCAATTCCGTCGCCACCTTCCAAGTCCCACAGACGGTTGTAACAGCTGCTGCCCGAAGTGTTGAAGTGTCGATAGGGATTGTCTTCAGACAACCAGGTCGAGCAGAGATAACAGAAGTGGGTATGGCATTGGGAACATATCATATGGTTGCATCCCATCCTCTTCTGGCACGGAGCATTGCACGTCGGGCATTGTGTGGTGTACAACTTCAAGTATTCTTCCGTTGCCTTTTCTTCCGCTGAAAGCTCGGCTTCTCTTCGGGGGAAACAGCGCACAAGTTCTCCATGCCACCCCTTTTTGCAAACGCAACAGAATGCATATCCGCAATCCTCGCAGATCACAACTCGATCGGCCACGGGCGGCAGCTGAGCCTCATCTCCAAGAGGATCAAAGTTCATAACATCGTTTTCATCGTCATCATCAGAGTCTCCGAGATCATCTGTAATAGGGTCACTGGGTTTGGGGTGTCGCTTAGACCGAGCAACGCCCTGACACCACTTTCGTGGACAGTATATCGTCGTCTTGTCTGCCTCGAGTTTCTTTTTCCGCTTCAAGAAAACATATCGCTGGACGGTCTCCTGTTCCAAAGGAATTTGAAGCAGCTCACTAGGATTGAGCGTCCGATCCTGTTTCTTTCGTTTCTTGGTCTGTTGTGGTTGTTCAGATTGGTCCGAAGGGGGGGCAGGTGCTGGATGCGGATCTTTGCCACAATCAGGAGCCAGGCATTTGACGCTGTCAACATCTCCCTCTTTGATACAGGTATTATAGAAATCCTGAAGACATGGTATGCAGAAAACGTGAGAACAGCGCAACATGCGATGGCAATTCACCCCTTTCTTGGGTTCTAGGCAGACGCCGCATTCGAAGGTTTCTTGTTCGAACTTCTCCCTCTTCGCTTTCATGTCGAAATCGAGCATTGCAATCTTCAGACTGCGAGGCAGTCGGACCTCTGCGTCGGGAGTTTGAGCCAGATCGAATGCAGTTTCTGATAGTTGCTGGAGATGATCGATGTAGGTGTAGACCACCATGTCTTTCCCACTCTCCTCCCAAAGCCTTCTCCCATCGTCTAGCAGTTTTGATATCTGTGGTAGGGGTAACCATGGTGGGTTTGTGCTGATGTTGAAGATTGGCGGCTCTTCTGATGGGTAGCCTTGTGGAAGCTCGATTTCGAGAGACAGTGGCGGGAGGTAGGATAGATGGTGAATATCGGGTATATTTTCGGCCACTGCCCTGGTGACTCCGTCAAGACCTCCACCATTAATCCCATTTTCGCTCGCCTCAAGAGAAGTAGGGGGCGTGATCGGAGCTTGGTAATTTTCGGGGCCCTGTTCAAAACGAACCCGCAACGGCGACGATGGTGCGACAGGAAGATCGAGGGATGCTTTGTAAGGAAATTTCTCGTCGATTCTGATTTCCGGATAGATGGCTGCAATCGAGGACAGCTCGATTGAGCGGTCATCCTCTTCCGGGATCGGTGCGAAATGCATTGTGTCGAGGAAGGAACCTGCACTTCCAAAGGTTAAGGGTGGAGATTTGTTAATGCGAATTGCGGATATGACAGGAAGCAGCAGGGGGATCCTATGAACTTAATCTTCCCTGAGACGTGAATGCTTTCCTGTCATCACTGTACAAACAGAGTTGGCGTCTGCACCAGGCCTGTCGCCTGTGTCACCTGGACATGATAGCGGGTCAGGAGAGGAAGATAATGCAATTTGGGATGTATATCTGTAAATTTATATGGGTCTGCTTAGAAAGCAACAGTTCGGTTAGAGCCAAGGAACAGCAAGTGGCAACAAGCAGGAAGGCAAATCGAAGCAATTAATAGACAGGATTGGCGCATACCTGAAGGCCGCACGACAACACAAATCACGGAGGAAAGACCACAGCTTGTCGTCGCGCGAACCTGTGAGGTAGGAAAACGTGGTGGAGAATGCCGTTCGTTGCCAGAGTCTGCTGAGGGTTGGCCTGCGTTCCTAAAGAGCAAGAATCTGTCGGAAACCGTATTAGGAAAGACGAGGGCAAAATGGTCAAGGAGTGAGTCTTCATGATTCGATCGTGATGCTGCCAGGAAATAGAAGTTCTCCGTCAGGCTAGGAAGGACGGAGGTAGGCCCAGGAGACATGCAAGTGTGGAGATGAAATGAGGACAGTCAATTAATTAATTAAGCAAAAGACGATGGATGGGCATCAACACACACTTGCTGCCCGGCAGAGTTGGGCTTTATTTTCCGCTCCTTGGGCGATGATGGGGAATCATTATCAAGTTGCCCCTCACTAGACGGCCTCTGCGGAATCGGCCCCTCACTTTCCCAGACGGGCAGTCAGCTGCTGCTTTTGCGGTGGATCGGCGGACGCTAAAAGCGGCACCCCTTCACGAATCACGAGCTAGGCAGTGACGCGCTTTCTTGTTCGGGATGGACTAAAGCTGGGAACGACATACTCCGTAATCGTTACCACAGAGTAACTTGGATATCCTCTGTACTGCTCCATTTGCTGCACTACACGCTGCAGACCTCCAGACCTGCCTAGCGGCCACTCGATTCCTGGCATCATGCCATTATTCTGCCGGTAGTCATTGCTGCTGCTCTTCGCCAGTCCAACCACATACGTTGCTCACTATTCGGACTCGATCTTTGGGTCTCTTGGCTACCTCACTGTCCTGATCTCACTTACATACTCCCAAGATGTCGCCATTGGAGCAGCCTCTGGCATCCCTCTCTCTGACCCATGTGCATTACGTGAGATTCCTCCTGTCGGAGTGCATACAGTTGTGTTGTTTTACTGACCAATGGATGCCAGAATCCTCGAGACATCTTTTCATACTTGTCCGCTTGGCTTGCGCTGGTTCCGCAAGCTCTATGTATAGTCTATGTCACGCTGATCTGGTCATCGAGGGAGGTGGAGGTGATCCTGATGTTCGTGGGCCAGCTAGTGTGTGAGGTTCTGAATTTCGTGTTGAAAAGATGGATTCGAGAGGAAAGGCCGAAACGTGGGTTTTATAATGCAACAGCCATGAGTTTCTTCGCTTCAGTTACTCGTCATGCTAATGAGACAAATTTCCACAGAAATGTATGGTAAGGGCTACGGGATGCCTTCTTCGCATGCGCAGTTTGTTGCATTCTTCTCCCTCTATTTCGTCCTTTTCCTACTCCTTCGACACGCTCCGAACCTCTCGACCTCGCAACATGCGACCACTTTCTTGGAACGCGTTGCCATTTCGATTCTTGCTTGCCTCGGTGCGGGCGCTGTTTCCGTCAGTCGAGTATATTTGAATTACCACACTCCGAAGCAGGTCCTGGCCGGTTGCGCAGCGGGTATAGTTTTTGCTGTTTTCTGGTTTTCCTTCACGTCATATCTTCGAACACACGGTTGGATTGACTGGGCTTTGGATTTGCCTCTTGCAAGGCAAGCACGGATTCGCGATTTGGTGGTGAGTGAGGACCTTGTCGAGGCCGGTTGGCAACGCTGGGAGGCGCGGAGGAAGCTGAAACGACGAGAGGATAGTGATGCCTCGCGGAAATCGATTTAACCTTTAGAGTGTGGGAATCTAGGAAAGTGACCTAATAATGGAATCAGGCAGAGCTTTGTGTTTCCTTGTGACTGTAAATAAGCAGGAATTCTTATAAATAATTTCAAACCTATTGAACTGTACTTTTGTAGACCTCTACAATGTATGCATGGATGAGGACAGTACAACACGCTTAGCTATGGGCACCTGTTGTTGTGGTCTGTGCAAACATTTGCATCATAGAGCTGTCTGCTGCACCCTAATCATATTACCTGTTTTGACTGGACCTATCACATGACTGAGCCCACGGAAATTCACCTTTTCCGAAATCTCTCCAGTTATCCAATCCCATCTTATCATCAGCATATCATCTAAACCTCAAGAATGAACTACCTCATGGCCCCTAAATGATCATGACGATGCATGACTGCTTTCCTTGATTCTTTAACTTTGTTTGTTGACTTTCTTTTGGTCACTGCATTGAGATACCCTTGATGTTGTCCTCATCCCACGTGTTCTGTTTCTATCATTTGGAAGCCCATCAAGAAGTGAATCAGTGCATAAAGCTTCAAGATGGCTCATTCTTCAACTTCAGAAGAGGGAAATGGCCCGGATCATGTTATTGTCAAGGCTGATGAGGTCGATCAGACGGGCACCGACATCTCACCTGTTCCTGACGAGCAACTCATGGCAGAGGTCGTAGACGGACTTGCCAGAGACCAACCTGCAAGTAACCGGGATGCTGCATCAAACGTGCCAGGAGGGCAAAATCTAGGAGCTTCTGGACGGTCGGAGGTGCGCCGCGAAGCAGTTGCTCCGCCGCCGCCTCTACAGCCTCCCCCTCCGGCTCCGAGTCAGCAGAATGCTGAGCTCGCAACCGATTCGCTCAACCTTGCTCAACTGAAGAGGATCGTACAGGACATCCCCAAGCTTGAGCAGCGAGCGTATGCCTTTGAATATGCTGATTGCCAACCTTTTCCGGAAGAGCTGGACGAATGGTTTCAGTATAGTGAGCCGGAGCGAATGATGCTCCTAGGATCCAAAGTCTCTTTTGAGCATCATTGGAAGGAGTTTTGTGGACAGAAGTCTTCTGCCTCGGGTCAAGTGTCGTGGCTCGATGCCAGCTCTGATTTGCGCAAGGCTTTCATGGAGCGGACGCTGGATGAACTGCATAATCCTGATCTGTTCTTACGGATTGAAGCTCTAGAAGCAGTGTGCTACACGATGGCTGGTGTGTGGGGAGTGACTGCAGGCAGATCTGTAGATGATTATCCCGATGTGCCTACTGCCAAAGAAGCAGCTGAAACTCCGAGGTCGAAGTCGCTGCAGATTAAATGGATTGAGAACAACGTCCTCCTCGTGCATGAATGCTCTGGAATTCCGACGTTATTTGAGTATATGAGGAAGGTTTTCGACAAAGACCGGTCAGTTAAGCCTGTGTGGATGCCCTTTTCTTTCTTGACTTTCTGACACACCTGTCTAGCAATCTCACTGAACTGGACTCTATTGAGGTCGATAACGAAAACGACCATGCCGCGCAGATTATGGCCCGTGAGAGAGAAGCCAATCTCATCCTCACGTGTCTGTATTTTGTCGTTGAAGTTGCTCGAAGACTGGAGTCCTTTGACAAGCCACAGGTGGCCTTGCGAGACGCGGTTGGTAAGAATAACCCGTCTACATGACCGCAATACAGCTTACTGATTTCGTCTCAGCTTCCCTTAAGCCAAGCCTGCTGGTCACGCTTGTCGAGATTATTGCACGGTTACGGTGGGATGATTCCGCCAGCGTTCCTTTTACAAGGGTATGATCGTCTCCAATTCATCGCACCAAGTCCATATTTTAACGTTAGCACAGATTATCCTCCTGTTTTGGAAGTCCATATTACTTGTTTTTGGAGGAAGCGATAGTCTGGCGACTGCGAAAGCAGAGTTAGAGCCTCCGCTTGAAATCCCGGGGGGCGACGCTTCTCGACGGACACCTTTCCTGACAGCATCGCCTCTTGACTATCACATCTTCCGGCAGGAGCTTATCTCCAAATACCCCGCGTACAATCCGCCACCGCCGGTCGTCCCTCTAGAACTGGAGAATAATTCCATCCTTCCTCCTTTACCAAACCATCCTAGTCGCTCGACTTCGGTGAATGGCCTCTTTTCTGGCGTTGGCCCATCTGCCGTTAGCGGTAGCGGGTCCATTCTTCACCAATCTGTTCATATCGCTACTCCGGCACCTTCTCCACCTCCGTCTCCTATTGGGCCGGGTGGGAAGGCTGGAAAGAAGCAAAACTACCAGACGAACCAGAATTTTCCCTTCATGTACCCTCCTTTGGATGATTCAAGCAATAAGATCGGAGGAAAGGGTTCAAGTGAACTGCAGGATACCCTAGTAGGAAAGAAATGGGAGGGAAGTGACGTCCCGGCCTCGATCATCGAAGCCGGGGAGCTGTTCTCTAGCCACGTTAAGATGACGAGAGCGACACGGCAACTATGGGAAGAACGGGAACGTTTCATGAAATATGAACGTGGTTGGAACACGGACGAGACACCCAGCCGACCTGATGCCGGTGACGGAGTTGAACCAAGCACGGACTCATCTCCGGAGAAGAGTCAGGGAAAGGGCGAAGAGAAGCGAGTGAAGGAGACAGACAATGAGGATATTCAACGGCGGTTGGATGCCGTTGAGGCATTTTATGTGAGTGGAGTTAAGCAGAGTATGGTTGACATCCATCCCTTTATTGACAAGTTTGCAGCGACAAGCAATGCCCCATCTGCAATCTCTTGTCATTGTTCTTCTGAAAGTCATCTTGACCAATGTCAGTGCGATGGTAAACCAGGCTAATGGTCAGAATGGTCACGGCCAAAGGTACTCTCCTCTTATCCGTTCCAAAATGTGGCGTAAATGGCTAATGAATTTCATAATTATTATAGCGCTATGAATGGTTATGCTTCAGGACCGAATGGAGCACCTGCGAACCATGACTCTGATGTGGATATTGAAGAGCTTGATATTACCAGGTTACGAGAAATCACTGGAAAGGCCGTGTCCGGATCCCTTTTGCTGCTGCTAAAGTGGTTTAAGAGATCACGTAAGTCGATCGCATCCTTGCTCCAACGTCTGCTGACTAGAGGTCCAGACATCTTGAAGTTTGAGTACATGACTCAGCTATTGCTTGACTCGAACTATTTGCCATTGATCTTGAAAATGTTTGCTCATCAGGATGTGGACCAAGCAGTCGCACAGAAACATGACCGTGAGGATCTCAGGTATTTACCCCGAAGATCCCTGTTTAGTTATACCCTACTGACGTGCATGTAGCTTCTTCCACTTCTGCCATGTCAACTCTGAGCAACCCCCTGAGCCACCTTCTCCAGGTGAATCATCGCATAGTGAAGATGAAGCGGTTCCCCCACCCATCCTCCGTCATAATCGGCCCCAGGGATTTGTCACGGGGAGCTCTTCGGTGCGAGGTCCATCACCTGAGAAGTTTGCAGAGTCTGTCGCCGAATTTTCAGACGGACCGATACGCCCTGAAGTTGATGAATTAGGATACCCGACCGGTCCTCTCCCTAAAGAGCCGATTACCACATACTCTTTCCGCAACTTCTTTTCTGCTATAAACTACCTCCATATTATGCAGAAGATCACCAAAAACAAGGCCCATCGGTGCCTCTTGCTGGTTCAGTATAAATCCAGCACGATTCTCCGTAAGGGGCTCAAAATCCCGGATCCTCACCTGCGCCTCTACACCCTCAAACTTTTCAAATCTCAAGTTCCATACTGCGGCCGCAAATGGCGACAAAGCAACATGCGTGTCATCACAGCAATCTATCTGTACTGCCGTCCGGAATTGCGTGATGATTGGCTGGCGGGCTCCGACGTGGATGCTGAGGTCGAGGAGGCGTTGCCCCTTGAGCAAGCCCTGCGTGGTCTCACGCATTGGTGGCACCTGCGTCAATACAAGGACGTCATGAACATCGAGGATGGCGCATCTCTCGTTGAGGAAGAAAGGGATTTCTTCACACGCGAGCTGGAGGCCATGGGCTGGGGTCTCTATGGAGACGACTTGCCCAACGAGGTTGGTGATGACCAGCTGGGAGGTCCTGGGGGGCCTCCAAATGGTACTGAGTGGGATGGTGGACCATTACAAATGGAAGGGTGGTAGAGCGGATAAACGTTTTCTGTTAGGAAGTTGCTACTTGGTTCAATCATGACTTGGTTGATGATCTTTGTGTTTCTGTGAACAATCAGGCACGAAATCTATGATATGATTACTCCGTATTCTTTATTCGTTATGGCTATTATGACGCATGAATTAATGGAATGGCCAAACACTTGGTGTGGCACAGTACAAGTCCCAAAAAAAAAACCAATGTGCACACACATGGCCTTGCAGTCTCCCCTGATGTGGAGGCTTGGCAAAATTGACACAATGGACCCAATTCCAAAGTCTTGGAATCACAACAAAACATCCAACTGGCGTCTTCGGACTTGGATGAAGAGCTCATCAGGTCGAAGTCCAGTCTGGATCGACTTCACGAAACTCCATTCGTTACCCCTGCTGACCCTGATGTCGGTTGGTATTGCTCCGTGACTTTGTTGGCGCTCAACGATAGTCGAGTATTGACGGCGTTCTTGAGGTTGTCACGGATGAACTGGACAAGGATGCCGGTGTTGCCCACTCCTTTCCAGTAACCCTCTCGACAGGAACGGGTCTCAACGTGTTGCAGCAGATCGCTCAGTCGGTGATAGCCACGTTGACACGTCCAGCACCTGAAGATGTGGCCATCGGGCGCTCTTGGATATCGCCTTTTACTCACGAATTCCTCTGCGAGGCCCCGTATATCGGCTCGCGTAGCTCCTGCCTCACAATTTCCAGATTCCAGGTGATTAAATGCAGCTGATAGGACGGGAAACTCTTTGTCGCACAGAACACAGGATGCGCTTCTGGGGCGATGAACCATGGCATGTCCGTTGAGCTCATTGAGGTTCATGAAGAATTCCTTGCAGACGCTGCACATCATATGCCGTGAGATGTTGTGCTGCTCGAGGCCCAGTGCAGACGGAGCGAACCAGTGGCATGGCTCGCAATAGAGGTGGTCCCGGTCGAGATGATTCTGGAGCGCCGAAAAGGTTTCAAAGTCCTTCTGAAAATTGCACAGGAGACAGAGATTGTGGTTGATCGACTCTTCGATATGTCGACGACGACTGTCGACGGAGGGGAAAGACAGGCGGCAGCGAAGACAGGGGAAGTCGACGGGGTGGTTTTTTGGTTCCATGATAACGAAGGACTGTGCGATCTATCAGCAAGATATTCGTATCAAGTTGGCCTTCTCGCATTAGCCAGGCCTGAGATGGGCCTGTTGTTGCTCCAAGATGTCCAACACTTGTAGTACGCAGAACAGCTGAAATCGTCAGATTCTGAGAAATGAGGCACAAGAGCAATAATTCCAGGGCAAGGAAGGGGAGGGAGAGGGATTGAATAAGTAGTTATTCAAGAGAGATCCAATTCAAAGAAATAGTTCCTGCTTCAGGATTCTTGATCTTGCCTGACAAATTGCAGCAGCAGTAATAATCAGAAAAGAGCGGACAGACTGTTCCTGATAGAATAAAATAGACAAAGTATGTCTCAAGGATAGACGCAGATGCAGATGCAGGAGGGAAACAAAAGTCACCAACATACAAAAAACCATCTTTCTTTCTTTATATACGGGGGACAAATAAAAAGACAAGGAAAGAGAACAAAAGAACGGACGTTACTACTCTCTGAGAGAGAGACAAGCCCAAATCGGACCAAAGCAAGAGAGGGAAACACCCGTGAATGAGCGGCCATATTTGATATACGTGACGGTGACTGGTCGGACAGTCGGATCTTGCCGTGCGATATTACATTACAAGAGGAGTTATAGGAGCCTGGAACCTGGATCTAACCAAATAGGTAGGTTAGTGAGTCACATGCAGAGCATAGGCAGATGATGTGATGCATTTCTATAGGATTGTTCCGTTGTTCTCCGTTGAGTAAAGATGGTGACTGGCCACAAAAGAAGGTGTGCTTTTATTTCAGTTGGTAGTTCCTGCATCAGGGGAAAGAAAAGGCTGGTTGATAGAGTCTTCACATTTGTGGGTTGATATTGGGTCTGGCTCAGGATAACCGATATATCTATCTATCTCATCACCTCTAAAAAAATTTTTCTACAGAGCTATGGATTTCAAGAAGAGATGAAGACATAGAATATGCAACAGAAAAAAAATTGTTTAGGTTTCTAGTAAATGAGAACAACTGTTGTTGTTGTTGCGTTCTCTGGTAAAAGATTGATGGCGAACAGTGAATTTATTTAATTATTACCCTTTTAGGATTGTTAGCGATAAGGTTGGAGCTATTTATCGATAGACAATTGATAAGCAATGTTGCATCACGTGATGTGTCTTCCCGCAGTAACTTTTTTTTTTAATCCTTTTTAGTGTATCGACACGAGATGGGCATCTAGACAATCTTGCTTGGTGTTCTAGCCACAACTTTCCTCTTTTGTTGTTCGAGGCCCTGTTAACGGGCTGAATTTCGGGCACCATGGCCTCGGCCACGGCCTCGGATGAAATTGTCTGGCAGGTGATCAACCACCAGTTCTGCTCGTATAAGCTCAAGTAAGTTTCCCGTCTTTTTGCTGTCAATCTTTTCTTTTCTTTTTCTGTCTACAGACTCACTGACAAGCGATAGAACTACCAAAGGACAGAATTTCTGCCGCAACGAATACAATGTCACTGGGCTGTGCAACCGCCAGTCATGTCCGCTCGCCAATTCTCGCTATGCGACCGTGCGGTCGGATCCCGAAACGGGCGTCATGTACCTCTACATGAAGACGATTGAACGCTCACACATGCCCAGCAAGTGGTGGGAGCGCATCAGACTGTCGTCAAACTACGCCAAGGCCCTCGAGCAGATCGACGAGCGGTTGATATACTGGCCGAAGTTCCTGATCCACAAATGCAAACAGCGTCTTACGCGGCTGACCCAGGTGGCCATTCGAATGAAGAAGATCGCCAAGGAGGAAGAGCGATTGGGAGAGAAGATCGTGCCGAAGCTGGCGCCAAAGGTCAGGAGGAGAGAGGAGAAACGCGAACGCAAAGCAGAGGCCGCTGCCAAGGTCGAACGGGCCATTGAGCGCGAACTGCTCGAGCGGTTGCGAAGCGGAGCCTACGGCGACCGGCCGCTGAACGTGGAGGAGAACATATGGAAAAAGGTTCTCCGCGGCTTGGAGAGAGAGGGAGAGGGCCAGAGAGACGAAGACCTCGACGACGGCGAGGAATACGACGACGAAGAGGAAGAGGAGGAAGGTGTCGGCGAAGTGGAGTATGTTAGCGACATTGACGAGGAAGAAGAGGATCTGGGTGACATTGAAGACTGGCTGGGCGATGAATCAGCCGGCTCGAGCGATGACTACGACGAGGACGAAAGCGACGACGATGAGGAGGAGAGTGACGAAGGCAGCGACGAGTCTAGCGGAGACGATGAAGAGGAAGAGAAGAAGAAGCCTGCTGCTGGGACTAAGCGGAAGCGCGCTGCACCGCCGCCCAAGCCGAGGAAGAAGGGCGCTCGGATTGAGATTGAATACGAGACAGAGGGACCCGCGAAAGAGAGTATTCTGGCGTGATTTGGGAGTTTGCTTTGCGTTCATTTATGGCGTTTCAGCAGGATTTTTTCTCTCGTCTTGTCATGTTTCTGGTGCTGGCCTGCGTTGAGCAGGCATGGATTGTGTTCATACATCATACCCTGTTATCCAGGCTTGACCTTGGTCTTACAAAAGTGAGTGTATTTTTGTGGTCATATATTCCTGTCAATTCGATGGTTTCATTTTCATGTCTACTGTCATAGTTCTTGATTATGGAGTCCGCCTGGCATCGATAAATAATAAATTCGTGGCTCGCGGAAGTAGTAAAGAATAAAGCATACTGGCAAGGAATATAGACAGTAATAGTGTACATCGGAAGCCCGCCGGAAAGGAGATAAAATCTATATAGCAGGTAGGTAGATATTTAGGTATATGTTTCCTCTGACCCTTGCAAGGCCTGTATTAATATATATACGGAGTATCTGGAGAGCGAGATGAACTGCAGTCCCACTTCTCTATTTTGTCCAGCAGAATTCTATCGACAGACAGATTTTCTGTTATTGAATTTATATATGTATGTATCTCACCTGCAATTTACGTTTAATACTCAAATTTCTCTCTCAAAGCCACGTGGAAAGCCTTCTTCGTCCCCTGCAGGATCCGAAATATCCGTCGACGATTCTGCAGCCCCAGCGACGTTTCGAGCAGCTCCTCCACGCCCAGGGCGAAGGATTGCCAATCGAAGAAGGGCATGGTCGTCGAATCCAAGGGCTTTACCTCGAAGATGAAGGGCGGCGTTCGGATCTGCCAGTAGTAATCTGGAATAGTCCACCCAAACGCTTGGATGGCGTTCTCGACATCGCGGGAGCATACCTGATTGAGGATGTGGAATTGGATGTCGAATGGTAGATCTAGACTCACTAGAGCTTTATTATTGTGCCTATGATTCCTCTTGCGTTGTGGCCTTTTCGAACTCTTCACAATAAGGTCCTTCAGCTCAGGGATATCGACCGGGTCCGCCACGAAGCGTCTATACGCCATGCTTTGCGACCCCTTCGACCCCCCATCAGGCCAGAGCACGTTCAGAATCCAGGGCTTGTCCCGGTTGCGAATCGAATAGTATTCCCTGATGAGACTGAGACCGAAGGGTTGCTCCTTCCATCTCCTTGGACAGTCGTTATCAGGATATCCAGACAATGATGATGATGGTGGTGATCACGTACATTTCTGCAGTTACGAAAAACGACCCGCTCGATCAATTCCCAGCATCGCGCGTAGATGGTGTATCCATGCGGGTAGACGTCTTGGTGCTGATTGCCCCAGTATGTAGCCCGATATAGCGTGACTGTGTCTGTGGTCGTTTTCCCTGGATAGCCAGCTTTGTGGCCGGAAGGACTAACCTGATGTTTGTCTCCGGGGACCTGGAGGGTTTGGTCCCAGCGACCTTGCACGGTGTTGATGCCGGATAGTCGGTAATGACGCTGTTGAGCCCCGGTCTTTGGGTCTTCGTGTTGGTCGACAATAACTAGAATGGCCTTGTTAGCAACTATCTGTACCTATTGACCTATTGCAACTGGGGGAGGAGTGAGTCAGAGAACAGCTTTGAAAGGGAGGGACTTTACTTACTCGCTCGATAGAAATTGCGCCAGTCACGTTCTTGACCAAAGTCCACCCTCTGCGTAAAAGGTCTCCAAACTCCAATGAGCACGCCACAGACGCCGCAGAAATTGTCCGAAGAGTTGAAAAAAGAGAGATGTTGCTTTGAGTGGAGTGAGTGGCATGGTGGGCTTCTGATAATTGATGTATAGGATTCACACTTGTAGATATACACATGATATACACACATGCATACAAGAAAACAGACAGCACCTCCACTGCAGGAGACAGGTAATACTGACTCAGATGAGTCCCTTGATGTGTCGTGACATCACGACGGTTTATTCATGTAGTCGGAGGGAACATTATTGCCTACCGTGGGTTATCTAGGCAGGTACCTAGGCAGTAGCCGGGAGGAGAATATGGGGAATTGTACCATTTCCTACTAGTACGAAGTTAGGTATCTTGAGATATCATCCATGGATCCATTATAGTCAATGATCTCTTTCCATGGTATGGATATTCTGGCGTTGTTGCTAATATTACGTACCTCTATATTCATATAAGTACATCATATAAATAGTAACAAATAAATCGCAAATCTAGTAGTAAGTTGACAAATATAATATTCGTACATGTTCGTCAGATAGTGCCAACGGATAAGTAATCTATGCTTGTGACTGATCTTTCAATCTCTTCCCAATACCTGCCTTCTAGGCTACTCATATGTAGTCAGAATAAATAATCATTTAACTATATACAGTACAATAATGTAAATCACATTCTATGGGTAAATTACGACTCCACGCTTATTATCGTTCAGCATGCGCTGGTAATTCATGATGTTCGATAGGGGAGCTGCCAGGTAACTCGCACGGAATTTCTCTCCCGTCTATCTCCACCGGTTCGTTTTGTCGTGGAGAGTTGAATCCGGCTTCTCCCTGTTTAGTGTATGCCGTGCTCGGATCGTAAGGGTAATTGGTGTTGGAACCAGCACCCCAGGAGGCACGGTTCGGAGAAAACTCCGCGTGTTCCAAGGTCGGGTCAAGGGCTTTGAATTGATTCCGTTTCCTGCTGCGATTTCTTCGCCAGAGAAAGAATGCGAGGCCTGCGATGGCGATCGCGACCACCGGTACAACCACCGCTGGGGCGATAATGGCAGCTTGGCTGGATGAATTACTTGCGGAAACTGAGGGTGAAGGTGTTGCCGTTCCCACAGGTAGGGCCGTCAATGGGGCCTCTGTGATCTGGCTGGTACTGAATGGAGAGGAGGGATTCGGGACTTGGGTTGTTGACGAAGAGAGAGAGGTAGAAGAAGTAGAAGTTGACGTTGATGAAGGAGTGGTAGTGGTTGTAGTTGTCGTCGTGTGTGATTGAGTGCTAGAACTCTGGGCTGAACTCGTTGGACCAGGCGCGCTGACGATGGAGAAGAGATAGGATTGGCTTCGTGGGATTGGGATTCCAGAAGGAAGCGAAAAGCGCTGTGCCCCCGTATCGCAGCAACCCTTTTTAGGCGGATTGTCTGCATCAGGACGATTGGTGTCGCAGCAATACTCTCCCGGGGAGCATTCTAAGATTGCCTCGTCCCCAGCGGCCGTGTTGTCTGGAGGTCTATCAGTCCGATTTCAAGAAACATATTGGTCGCTCATGGATGGATTACCGTAGGTGCAAATCTGAGGACATGCCGACGACTGCCAGGTCTGATCTGTGCAGGTATAGCGGCCCAAGTAATTCTCGTTCTCCAGGTAACACAGGCCATTGGAGAGACACTGCCATCCTTGAGGGCAGCAGGGACTGTCAGCTTCGAGAGAGCAAGGAAAATCGGTCGAAGTTGAAGCATTTCCGTTTGGATAGTAGCACGTCTGGCCCTGGACAGAGAAAACAAGAGAGCAAAGGGAAAGAACGAGGGCGACACGGCGGGCGGGAAGCGAGGGGAAGGCAAGTGAGACCTTCATCACAATAATAATGACAATAACGAATGTAACCAGAGCATCAGAAGAGCACAGAAAGGAAGAAATCCGAGAGTAAAGGTAGGACAAATTGACTCGCCATCTAAATCGAATTAATAATGGCAATGGGCGGAGAATGATAGAATACACAAGGATACCGGCATTCCCACCGCAGCGATGATGTCCCAATCAGGCAATTCATCGTCAGCACTTGGGTAGTTCTGGCCCCATGGTGCCGGACGAGTTACATATGGCCCGGCTCCATCTGTACGGAGTACGCCCCCGTCTTATCCTGTTCAGGTCAAGCAACAGCATCGCAATTGCGCTAAAGATCCTCTAGACACCTTAGGTACCCAGGTACGTAAGGTCAGCAGTAAGACTGATCTGTTCTTTTCCGTGTTATTCTAACCTTTTCTAACTAAGCCCCTCTTAACTCGCCGCTGACGGCTGCCCTAGGAAAACATTTCGAGGACTAATAATTATTATTACCTTAGGTAGGCAAGATTATGGGATGGTGAAAAGCGGGCAGAGCGGATGCAACGTCATTAATATTCCGTTTGCTGTTTCACGTTCTCCTCCATAAGTAGGACTCCGTACTCCATAGTCACACAATATTCTGCCCTGCAGCCAACCGAGCCGCTTTGGTTGCTGTTTGTTTTGATTCTTGGTTAATGATTCAGACTAAATACGGCCATAAACAATACTGATTTGTGTTTCTGCACGTTATGTGCTGTGGGTCCAATTATGAGTTGACTATCAACATTGACAATGATTGTAGCGCGGTAGCGACCAATGGAGATTGTAAAGAATTAAACCTCATCACACTAGGAGCATGGCCAATCGTGGCTTGTTAAGCGATACACCTGGGACAACTTTATTTGTCGGATCAGGTATGGCAGTCACATGTTCATTCAATTATACAGAACATAGTGCCTAGGAGGGTACCGTGGAGAATTTCTTATCTTGGCCAATGCTGCCCTTGGCTATAGTTTCGCTGGCAAAGCAGGATTGAAATTTCAACTTTAATACTGAAGGTAATAGAATAATAGGATGCTCCTGTATTCTCTATTAGAAAATTTCAACCTGATATTCTTCTCTGTTTTTTTTATCCCATTATGCTCTTATCTCTCTTAATTCTTGGTAGGTGAGAATGCCCTAGCTGCTGCTCTCAGTGTAGGTTCTCTTCTTTAAGCCTAACTATTTTGGAGTGATGGTCTAATTATTGTCCTTAATAGTAAATTATTTAATAACTGCCTCGGGTATTATTGAAGGAACAACCTTGACCTAGCAATAATATATAATCTAATAAGTTGGTAGTGATTATTAAGAAGCTGATAATTGGGTACTACTCTAGTCATTTACCTTATTGTATAAGAATATATAGGAATTGAGATGATCTATGACCCATGACAACGACCGTATTGGTGCAAGGCTGGAGCAGTTAGCTCCTGACTAGCTGGCAAGCAGCCTTACTTTATTCCAAGGTCGTGGGGCCTGGGAGCTGACCCGGCTATCCAACAATACCTAGGTACTTAATTTTACCCTACGCTTATATTAGATCTAATTATACTTAGATCTCAACTACACCATGACCATTGCTCGAGAGGACGCGCTACTCACTCGAGTTAGACATGGGAGAGCCTACCAATCAATTAGAAGAGAGCAAGTGTGAATTGGGTTGGAAGATGCATTAGACTAACCCAATGCCATGGTATTGCATTTTAATCCGAGTTGCGACAAGGCGGGGTTATTTGCCAGAACAGCCTTGCAAAGCATACTTCCGAATTGTTGTCAGATCAAATCGCAACAATAATAACAGCAATAAAGCATTGTCTTGCGTTACCAGCCATTCGAATCGATCAGATTGTATCTAATTTCACGCTGTGGTAGCGATGGCAGTTCAGCTCCAGTGGCGTCTTGACTCTTCCGCCAATTCAGCCTTGTCGGTGGCCCGCAGTATCTTCCAAGCCGCATTGAACGATAATGTCCAGCAGTTGGCGATTCTTGCGTGTGAGCGCTTTGGCAATACGATCGCCATGTGCCCCGAGACATGTAAGAAGATCGATCTCCTGGATGTCCCGAACCGGGGAACCGATCCCCGTCCACTTCCTCGAAGAGCTCATCGGCTTTTCGCCGCAGGACGCGGCTTCCCAGCTGAGCAAGAGTCTGGCGGGTGTCAAGTTTCTCAGCCTCGCGGCTGCCATGGTGACATCTATGAGCCTCTTTGATGGTGCCAACGCGCTTCACGAGATGCTAGTGAGCTCCGCGTCCGACAGGACGCTTCTCCCCACGACGAGGCAGCTGAAGGATTTGCTGGAGAAACTGGAGCCCAGATGCCAGCAGTGCGGATTTACGAATATGATTGCTGGTTGACAGATTTTTCTCCGTCAGAGCCCCGCGATGACAGAGCAGCAGCGTGAGTTTTGGAGAGGATGTTGTTCGTATCCAGACGCACAGACGTTGGAAAAGCTCGTGGATGCCTTTCGACAGTTGTTCCGGATTGGGGACCCAGGGAGCATCAGAGTGACCGTCAACTCGGCATCTTGGACTCCCTGTGTGGTGGCGTTCACGAGATGGTGCCTCGGTAAGCCTCCTGCGATCTTTCTGGACAATGGCACACCAGTCCTTGATCAGCCTGATTCTCGAGTTGTCGTTGTTGCAAGTCCGGACAGCAACCAGGGCCTTCGTCTCGAGATCGCGATTGAACACTCCATTGGCCGACCAACTGAGCTGATTGTCGCGGATGAACTGAGTATTCAACGAGTAGAGAGCTGGAAGACCGTGGGGATGATGGATGTCGAAAGCTATGGCCAATGGCTGCTTCTGGAATTCGATCTGGACATGGGACCTGCCCATCAAGCTTTGACACAAGCCCTTCCCTATGTGATCCGGCTTGTTGTGGAAAATCTGCGATTTCGGGCTAGAAGTGACACGCCTTTCCCACCCATATTGGATAAGGATATCGAGAAGTTTCTCTTGAGTCCCTTCCGAAAGGATAAGGTGATATCGATTGTACTCTCACGCATGCTCGGGCTCTCTGAGCCCACTGTACTGTGTTCCCTGGAGTCCGGTCGATCATTCACAGATCTCGCTGCTGTGAGTTCATACCTCTCGATGCTTGAAGATCGTTGTTCGTGCCATTTGTGCTCTCGGTCATCACCGGGATTAGAGGACTCTTCGAGTCACCAAATAACTGAAGAAGAATACGAGATCTGGACCGACAGCATGTGTGAGAAGAGCGACTTCTACCACGGCCTCACACAAATCGTGGCCGATGTTCTGGGGATTTCCTTGTTCGAGCATTGGGAGTCTCTGAAGGTCAATCCCGGGCACAAAGATTTCCAAAAGAACGCGATCCTCTCCATGATCCGTCGAGTGGAATGCGTCTTGCCCCGTCTCGTCGCTCATTGGATGGGCGCTCTCTCTTGTTGGGCACCCATACGTCGACGACAGGCACGAGGTCCATTCCTGGATGATGTCTGGCCATAAGGGCCAAGTCGTCTATCCAACCCTCTACGAGACCTCTCACATCGAGAAAAAGAGGTTATTTGGCTCTGTCGTGGGGCCCGGGGCTTCTTTCTTTTGAAGGTGTCACCTATTCTCTAGTGAGAGCAGGCCCTTCGCTTAATATGGATCAAGACCCCATCCCCGTTCGCCTTGATGACACGGTCTTGAAACCATGCAACCTTTTTCCTGACTGGAAGATGGTGTGGTTTGTCAAGCGTCTGGACGGCTTTCTTGAGCTTTCGATGGGGGTTGAAATCGGGGCAGGTTCGTTCAGGCTTTACTCATTCCCCAAGCGGAGTCCTGATCAATCTGGCTGGTGCACTGATGTTGGACGCTTGTCGTCATAGTCGTCAAGCCAGCATACATCTAGATCATCTTCCGAGCCCTCCTCCTCCTCTGTCTGCTTGACGTCACCGCTGGAACCAGTCCCAGAGCAGCAAGGTGGTTCGTCGTCCTGGAAGACTGGAACTGTTGCCATCGAGGGGAATGCCGGATTGCGCCTTCTGATCCTGGGCGGTTACGACATGTGGGCGGTGATCCGGAGAGAGGCCTGTTTGCGTTGCTGCCTCGACGTCTGCCGGAGATCGACTCGGAAGATTATTCTTCTGTGATCTTGAACTTGCATGTTTGACCTGATGTTGATAGTTTTCTGGAACAAACAATATTGGCAGATTGGATCGAGTTAATGTGTATACACACATACACTATTGAGCTGAATCCACATTGATCTTGTTATTGATCTAATAGTAATCTGACCTGCCGGTAAGCTGTTATGAGACTTATCCAAAGAAAAACAATCAATTTCGCGACATACACTGAGGTTTGTATGTTGCAGAGAATGTGACTTGATTAGGTAAAAGCGCGTGGGGCGGCCCGACCCCGTGGACAGAACTCCGTGCGGTTCTCCGTACTTGGGGATAGACTCATCCAACTTGAAACGTCACTCCTCTTCCCCTCGGACCCCTCCACAGCCTCAGAACGACGCTCCTCTTCTCCGCGACACAGCTGTACACGGACCCTGGATGGTCTACCACCACGTTCATATGAGCCCACGCCATTGACCCCTGTTTCCAACTTTGCTTCGGACTTGATCTTACCCCTCTTCGACCAAGGCGCCACCACCACTCAGAACAGACAGGCGCCTTGGTAAGTTCACGTCAAAATGTCGTCCTACTTTTCTTCTCTTACCTCTTCTGCCACCATATCGAGCATTGGCACGCGTCTCAACAGCCTCCGCCGCGCCATCACCTCCGGCGAGGAAGCCGACGACCCCGACAACGAGGATTGCTCCCATATCTCCAATGTCTTGCGGGCGTATTATATGGAAAAGGGACGGACGTTACCTCCTTGGCTGCCTCCAGACCCTAAGGCTCCGGCTTCCGCACCTCGCATGGTCGCGACTCAGGCTTCGTTGCAGCAAGGCGGTTATGGACAAGCGCCAGCCACTCCAGGCCCCCGAGGCGGCGGTCTAGGCGATCTGTGGGGAGACTCGGGTTCTTCGCAGCCGCCTCCCTCACAGACTGGCAGTCTGCGCAGTCGACCCTCCGCTGCAGCTCGTCCCACGACCCCGGGAAGCCTGCGCCCGGGCCCAGCGCAGTCGCAGGGTGCCTCGTCTCCTCAGCCAGCTGCCCGGCCGCTTCCCAGCCAGCGTGCCGGGTCATACCAGACTACATCCTCAGCACAACAGGGCCGTTTGGCACCGGAGAGGACTGCCTCGACAGGCTCTGCGCAGGAGAGGCTGCGGGCACGTCTCAACGGCGCATCCAGCGCGACCAGTTCCAGTTCTCCTACCAGGGGCCATTCACCTAGTCGACCGTGGGACCAGCCTTCTTCTGGGTCTGACGGCGGATATGGGACCAGTGCGTATGGCGGAGGAGGACCAGGCAGGAAACCAGTGGGTTTACCGTCTGGACCTAAGCCACAGGGGCCACGATGATTAGGACGGATGCTGGTTTCTTATTATCACCACTTACTTTTTCTTCTATCTTTCTCTCATCTGGGCAGCGGCTTGTTGGGGATATTGCATTGCGTTATTTGATTGGAACGTTAATTCCCCGTTCCTGTTTTATAGACAGGTTGCTTGATCTTGATACCGTTTGATACCTCTGACCAAAGGCGTTGATGGACGGAAAGTACGTTCTTTATTCCCCTTGATCCATACCTAATCAATGTCTGTTCGTCTAGTATGTAATGTATATACATACATACATACATACATACATACATACATACATACATACATACATACATCATAATACCATACCATATTATACCATACTGTCTCTGGGATCTGTGTCTCGCTTTGAATCAATCAAACCTCCGCCAGTACAGTACATACCTGCCATTATCGGATTAACACTGAGGTATTCGAGAAGAAAAAAAAGAAAGAAAGAAAGGAAACTATATTGTATTGTATTATGTCACAGGGACGAAGAGACCTCTGACATCAAATCACCACTTACCTTTCTAGGTATATAGTGGTTCAATGGATACCTATGAGTATGAGCATGGTACAGGATAGGATGGCTAGAGCAGGCAGGTCGATTAATTAATTGTGTATTTATTAGTTCGTGTGGAATAATATCCCGGACAAACAAAAAAAATTTCACTCTTTGCTCTGTATACTATAGTCTTAGGTAGACGCTAGTTACTTATTTTTAAAATGGAGTGAAGTAAATGACATTGCGTCAGAAATATTATTATTATTATTGAAATGGTTCTTTCTTTTTTTTTCTCTCTCATATCATCCAATTACCTACTAGACTAGATAGATCTAGACAGAAAGATAGATTCAAAGAGATAGGATAGGTAGACATCATCGCATCACATCACATCACATCAGTATCATACATCAATCAATCAATGTACATCGTGAAAACAGACATGAACCGACATGTCCTTTGTTTCTTTGCTTTCCATTCTAGCAATTCCAGACAGTATCCTCGGAGAAATATGACGACGACGACGACGACAAACAGCTACGCAGGAGCAAAAACCTTGCGAAGACGGAAATGCGCCAGGTCCCGAATCACCTGCGCCGTGTTCTTGACGTTCTCGCGGACAATGACCGAGGTGGGCTTGGAGAAGAGCTCGTCAATCTCCTCGAGGGACTTGTTCTTGGTCTCGGGCATGAAGAGGATCTGGTAGAACCAGCCGAGGACGGCGATGCCGCCGTAGAAGCCCAGCGTCAGGCCGATGCGCGTCATCGAGTCCATCATCCGTGTGAAGTTGTACGTGACGATGAACGAGCACAGGAACAGGTTGGCGTCCGACGTCGTCATGCCGTAGCTGCGCAGGTATGTCGGGTACACCTCCGACGGGATCACCCAGGTCAGACACGCGTACGACCCGAAGAAGCCCATGTACAGGATCAGCCCTGTCAGGTAGAGACCTTCGGCCAGCTTCTGGTGCGTGTCCAGCGGAACCTGGTAGCCGGCGCCCACGAGCACCAGGCCGATAAAGAAGCCCGGCAGCATCGTGTTGGCCCAGTACCGCCGGCCAAACTTCTCCATGTACATCACGGCGGGGATCGTGCCCAGCATCAGGGCGCCGCCACCCACCAGGGACATGAACACGCTCTCCTTGTCGTCGAAGCCGATCTTGCTCATCAGCACGCTCATGTAGTACATCACCGCGTTCACGCCGGTGAACTGGCCCAGGAACACCATGATGTTGGCGTAGACGATGGCCCGCCGCGCGCGGGCGTTGGTGAAGAAGTCCATCCAGGCGTACTTGCGCGTGCTGTGCTGTTCCTCGTTCTCGGCGATGACCGACTGCTTCATCCCCAGGAACTCGGCCTTGGCCTCGTAGGTCGCGAACCCGCGGATCTTCTTCCACACCAGGTAGGCCTCGAGTTCGCGGTCCTTGTGCATCAGGTACCGCGGGCTCTCGGGCAGAAAGATCATGGCGACCAGGAGGATGGTCGAGAAGACGAGGGACGAGCCCAGGATGTAGCGCCAATTGCCGGCGACGTTGACGAAGATGGCCGCCACCACGTAGCCAAACACCTCGCCCAGGGCGATGTTGAACTGGTACAGCGACACCAGGTTGCCACGAATCTTACCGGGGACGCATTCCGCGACGTAGACGGGCACCGTGCCTCCTTCCAGTCCCACGCCCGAGCCCAGGATGAAGCGGCCGGCGAACATCATGCCGAAGTTGATGGCGCCGGCCTCCAAGGCGGCGCCGATGGTGTAGAGGATGCAGGAGACGATGATGGCCATGCGCCGGCCCAGGTACTCGTTGGCGGGGGAGAGGATCAACGCACCGGCGACGGCGCCCAGCGGCATGCCGGAATTGACCAGACTGGCCTGGTTGTCGGACAGATGCAGCGCTTTGGGCATGTAAAGGTTGGCGCCGCTGATCAGCGACTGGTCGAGACCAGACAGCAGACCACCCAGCGACGCGAAGCCGACCAGGACGTAGGTGAAGGCGGCCGGGTTGGCGAAGGCGATCTCGAACTTGGGACGCTTCAGACTCTGGGCCTGTTGCTCGAGGCGTTGGATTTCAGCGTCCATGGCGGCTTCCTGGGCGGCGTTGGCGTTGCCCTTGAGGTCCTCCACTTCAAAATCGGCGGTGCCCTTTTCTGCAGGCTGGGCAGCCTCCAGGTGCTGCGAAGTCTCCATGATGGACGATCGATGTTCTCAGTACCGTACTGTCCCTCTGTCTGTGTGTACAGATGGAGTGCGCAGTGGAGAGAACCTCTGTCCAGTCTCTCACGTGAAGTCACTAGCAGGAGGCAGCAGCTGGGAGGAATGTCAGAAGGGATGGGGTCTGGGGGTGCCTTTTAACCGTCCTCAGTCCTGTCCGTCGTAATAATAGACGCCAGAAAAACACACCAGGACTAGGCCATACGTGGGGTCCTCCACCATTCCTGGTGCGACTTTAGGGCAGAGAGGAATGGTTCCGGGGCAGAGGCCAAGGATGCCAGGCCATGCCCGTTCCCCGTAATGATCTTCATGCAAAGGGCCGGGGCCCCGACGGCGCAACATTCTTGTGCTTCCTAATTAATTAATCAATTAATTAATTAATTAATCGCGCAGGACGGCATCGCCTGTACCAGCTAAGCCTACGAGTCGTATTTCACGTGCAACACGGGAATTCTGCAGGCATCGCGTCGTACGCCCCTCCGACCCCTCGCAACACCTTGGCAATACTAATTGCGAGCAAGCTTTTCAGCCGGGGCGGGATCAACCTTGACAGTGGCGTGCAGACTGTCCACTCAGCTGTGAGTGTATTTGGTCCATCGCCACGACTTTCTCGAAAAGTCGCGGCTTCCCGTGGGCCGGATCGCGTCCAGCCTCGATCTCGGGACGGCAGCGCCATCGCTGTTCGGAACGGCTGGTGATTTGGTGAAATAGGCGATCAGATCTGGAGTCAACTAACTGGTCGAGCTGCGAGAATGCTGCGCATGCTGCAGGCAGGCTGCGGAAGAGAATTAACCCACCCTGGGGGAAGAATATTCTTTCCTCGCATGAGGACTACTCCGTATTCTCTCCGCCTGGGGTGGCCGAAGAAGACGGAGCACGGAACTCCGGAGATGAACGGCCGGGCCAGAATACAGAATACTCCGTAGTGTACTCCGTACTCCGTACAATCCCCACAAAAATACTCCGTATCCCCGTGTCTGTGTCTCCATGCCCTCCCACAGGGCCACAGCAACGTGATCACGTAATAAGAATCACATTAACTATCACACCCCGAGGAATAATAACAGCATCGGCTATTCGCTCTTCATTTCAATAGCCGACACAGAAAACCTGGACACGGCACGCCGGGCACGCATGCGCATGTCTACCAACCTTAATTAAACCCGTCAAAGTTCACCCGGCTGGCTGTCGTCTTTCTTTCTTGCCGACCTCACGGGCCGTGTGGACGTCCACACGGCAGCCGGGTTCAAAAATGCTTCTGACGGAAGTTCTCCGAGGGAGATGCCGAGGAACCCCGATGGAAGAAAGCCAGCTTGAGATTATTGGATGGAGCGTCCGAGGGACTATGTCCACAGATAGATGAACTTTCCTCTTGGGTGCCTGAGCGTTGCGTAACTTGTGTTGGGGGTTGGGTGGCGGTATTTTTTTTCAGGTATAGTACTGTACATACTCCTTGCTATTATTCGGATTGCGGTTGATTCTTTGATGTTCTGTCGTGTAAGGTTATATTGCTAACAGGAACTACTAATGGCTTCTTTTTTTTCAGACACTGTACATTCACATGGAAAATGCAGAGTCCATTGAGGATATAGAACCAAAATGATAGAGATATGGGTACGTGCTTAGGTAGATATCTGAGAACAGGAAAGGGGGAATACCCTTGCTAGAAGGGAAAACGTAAAACAAACACCTCGTCAGCGTCTGCAAACCAAAACAAATGAAATAAAAAAAATGATACAACATATCTATCCTCTGACTTTCCGATAGCTCGGCGGACGCCATGACCGCTTCACCATCTTTCCAATCCAGATTGGAATGATCGACACAGCGCACACCGCAACCACTCGCCATACCCACTCCAGCGTGATGACGTACTCCAGATCAAAGTAGTCCCCCAGAAACGGCACACTGGCCGCGTACACCAGTGCCGTCCCCACCAGGCAGAAGATCATGATCGGATGCCATGTGGTCACGGCGATCGCCACCATCAACAGCTCGTTCAGCACCAGCGCCGTAAATGACACGCTGATGAGCCTGGGGCCCGTGATGGCATCCACCAGAATCTGAGAAAGACCCTGAATGACAGCGCCTTGATACACCGAAACCAACACCCAGCCAAAGAAGGATCGATAGCTCAGGCTGCGACCGCTCTTCAGCTCCTTGTACAGCTCCGGGTACAGATTGGCCAGCTCTTCATCCACGTCTCGATCGAGCACTAGAGAGAAGACGGGCGCGTTCGTGTACACGGTTGCGTAGCCCACCAGCAGCCAATTGATGAAGAGCCCTTTGGGATCGAAATGGCTCGCGATGCTGTACATGGTCTGACACGCACTGATGATGAGTCCCCGGTGCATGATGAACTGCGCCAGCTTCGCCGATCGTTTGTACGAGTTGCGGCCATGCCACACCAGCAGTTTCGTGAGGTGATGAAACTGCGTGATGCTGAAGTCGGCTGCAAGGGACGCTTGCCGACCCTCCTTGCCAACAATCCCGATTCCCACATCTGCCGCCTGGATCATCGACACATCGTTACCTCCATCCCCGATGCAACATATGCGCTTTTTCGTATGTTGTCGGATCAACTCGGCGATTTCTGCTTTTTGCGTTGGAGAGCATCGACAGGCAATCACGGCCGGCAGAAGAACCGCCACGGAGATGAAGGCCGATCGGAATTGGCTAAGCATGAGAGACAGCGATTCTCCATCGATGAGGAGGCAGGCATCCGTCTTGTGCCGCAGAAAGTCAAGCGCGTCCTGTGCGGCGGATTTGTCTCTCACCTTTGCAACCGTGTGGATATACTGACCCCGGGCAACCAACTTCGCCGAGATGGCCACACAACGTGCCGTCTCGACCTTATCACCAGTGAGCATCCAGATCTTAACGCCAGCATTTCGAAGCAGCTCAAGGGACGGCTTGACATCCCTCTGAAGCCGGTCCTCAACACCGGTCACCCCCAACAGCTCCAGATCCCGCTCGAGGTATTCGCTAACGACCTTAGCCATCCCTACATCCCGGCCTTGTAGAGCGAGAGATGCCTGTTTGTAGCTGGCGGAGAATTGCTGATACTGCTGGGGGGAGAGCTTTCGCCTGCCAACGACCAGGGTCCGGAGTCCCTCTCGAGCCATGTTGGCCGTCTCCTCATCGAGCCAATCGTTGGCTGCGACGATCGAAGACATGACGGTGTCCGCTCCCTTTTGGTAGAACCAAATCTCGCTGTCGTCCTTAGATGCATCGGGTGCCGCATCGCCTTGCTCAAATTGGACAATGATCCCCATCCGCTTGCTGTCAGACGTGAATGGGAAGACCTCGAGAATGCGGACGCGCACGACCACTTGATTGGTGTGCGTGGACTCAAGGACGATCTTCTTGCGGTCGCGATACGCCAACCGAAGCCCGACTTCTTCGGTATACTTAACGATGGCGATCTCGTCAGGTGATGACGCTTGGTAATTGGTTACCTTGCGGCCGTCCTCTTCATCCGTCGTTGGCGTGACATTGTGGCACAATGCGAGCGCTAAAACGAGATCTCTAACACGGGAACCAATCTCTCGTCTAGTCCGTGTAGCAGCGCCTAGTCCAGCTTGGGCGCCGAAGACTGAAGACGGAGTGATCAAAGACGGATGTGAGTTGTCGGGTAAGGAAGGAACCGAAAATCCTTGTCGAACGTAGGATGCAACTTCTTCCATGGCTTCATTGGCGTACGAGACAGTGCCGACATGAATCTTTTTCAGTTCCATTTCTGCCCGCAATTAGAACCCATCCATAAACCCTTTCTCGCATTGCCACTTACCATTTTGAGTTAACGTCCCCGTTTTGTCTGAAAGAAGATACTCGATTCGACCGAGATCTTCTGGGATTGTACTCGTCCTAACGACGGTCCCCGGGATACCTCGATCTCTTTCGATGAAACGAGCATAGACAGTTTTGGCCATGTCCAGATTGACACGTAAACTCATGGGGATGATTGTCGAAAAAAGAATCAAATAGATCATGATGGCAATGTACCATTCCTTGTCATTCGTCGGTTGGAACCCTTCCAGAGCCACCAAGGTAACAGACAAGGCAAGCGTTAGAACACACAGGATCTTGGTTAGATTGTTGATCTCATACTCCAGCAAACCAACTTTGGACCGTGACGGTGATGTAGACAGAGCAGATCGAGTCTGTGGGCCAGTGTAGATGATCACTGCAAGCGTTGTTGTATTCGATGCAAGCACAGTATTAGCCCAAGCCGTATTGTCGATGCTCAGAGGTGCAGACATGACCTGCGGCTCGGACCCCTGACCTTGATTCGCACTGGTGTCATGCGGCGATACTGGACTGTGGGGCTTGCTGACAGGAGGATCGTACGAACTGAAGGGCGGTGGTGCCAATTCGATCGTGCCAACAAACTCATTGACTCGCTTGTCAGGAGGACCCGCTTGAATCTTTAATCTTGTAAAGTCTCTGACTGGGAGAGTCTGGGACAGAGTAGAGGGTAGGCGGAGTTTCCAATCAGTCTCACCATCAAGTTGATCGGTTCGAATGAACGTATCACTGGTGCTACCCAGTTCCGAATCATCTTCTGCAGATCCATTCATCCCTGACGGTGTACTTTGATGGACTGATGGCGTTTCCGCGATTGGCTCCAAAAGGTCAGTCACAGGCTCTTGAGTCTGTCCATCGTTCGCAGACGATTGGCGCTTGGAGGCAGCGGATTCGGTCGATGTGCTTTTTAATATGACCACATCGGCTGGCAGACGTTGATTTTTACGAATTTTCAAGACATCGCCAACTTTTAGGTCTCTAGATTTCTTGGTAATCTCAAACACATCCGTGTCCAAATCACTCCTTGAGGCGGCTCGTGAATGTCCGTGCGCATTTCCTAGCGCAGGTTGTCCAAATGACAAGACAGTGAACTCTTCAGAATTGGCCTCTGCATCCCTTCTCCTTCGCCCAATATCATCGTATGCTTCTTTGCCCAACGAGATGGAGACCACGAAGACCAGGGGTGCGATATATGACGACATGTATCCGATTCGAAGGACCGGTATAATCTGTGAAAGAGCCACCAAGAGGAAGTACAGATTGAAGAAAACGAAAATTCATTGTACAGAGTGCGAGGAAGAAAACTCCAAGGCGTATACTTGGCGTTAGACACAATATTCGCAGGGAATTTCGATCGTTGCGGCTGTCCCACCAGGACTTCTCGTGCTGGCTTGTTCTCTGAGCCATCGTCGACTGGTCCTGTGTTGCGATTGGAGTCTTGGAATGGATTTGTCGGTCTGAAACTGGGGAGCCGTAACTTGGATGAACGGTGATCGTCATCCCTTGGAGTGAGAGGTCGGCTCCGCCTGCGACTGCTCAGGAGAGGTGCGTCGTCTTCGTTGTGATTTGAACTTCCTTGAGAATATCGTCCTCCATCATTAGGTTCCTCAAGGAGGCCGCTGAGATCATCCTCTGACTCCCTGCGTCGTCCTGATGTCTCTCGCCCCCATAACCGATTCCTTCCTCCGGTGCGCAGGTTCCTCAGCGCAATATGAGCTCCATAGCCCCTCGAGTTTCTGCTATCATCACGCGAATTGCGGGAGTTTCCACGAATGTCCGCCGCCTCCGGATCAAGCTCCTCCAAGTCGAGGTCCTCGTCCGACTCTGCGCCGCTGGGCAAGTTGGAATGGTCGACACTGTGTAGATATTCGGCTGAAAGAGACATCGTCGAAGTAATGCAGTGCTCGTTCAGGAGAAATCTGAAATTCAGCTAAGGAGCGAACCCCTCCGGCTCCTGCGGAGTGGGCAGTATGTCATGTCACGTCCGGCGGTGTCGTAGCTGTTTGTCAAGGATCATCGTCGCGTACAGCGTGTCTTGAGGATGTAGGGCAGTTGTGAACGCCACGTATCGAATCTCCCAGAAATTGGGGCACTAAACGAAAAAGAAAATTAATTCTATTTTTGAATCCCAAAGCAGACTGTGGTATTTCAGCGATCTGAAACTGTTGATGTTGCCTACAATTTGGGAGTCTCGGCGGATCACATGATCCGAGGGAGCCGCCACGTTTCCACCCTGCGGCGAATAACGGCGCATACTACGACAGGAACTTGGGGGCGCGGAATCTATGTGTGATTACTCCAACTTTGTTAGAAATTTTAAAATTTAATATTATGATTGGAGTCGCAATATAAAGCAGTGTATATCCAAATTTTATCTGCTAATTTTGATTTCTATGGTGGACTTGTCACCGATGATCTACAACGCGAGCTGCACGTCACTATTATTTTTGGAAAAACAAAATGCATATGGAGTAGTTATGCTGATTTTCTTGTGTAACACCAAAAGAAGCGTCAATGTCTCTGTGCGATCACTGGAAGAAGCCACATTTTACAAAAATCCCCCACCCCTATAAATCCATGTCTGTAGTAATGACACAGCTACCCTAACTCGATGATGCAACAGTGGAGGCCAGAGATCCATCTTTCACGTGACTATTGAACGCAGTAGACTTCCGGCCGGAACAACTGCATCCCGTCGGACCGTCAGCGTCGCGTACCAAACAGGAAGTGGACAAGCAGCAAGATAGCGTCAGTTCGGTCAGCGAAGCCTGTCGGACGAATTCGACCCCATCTTCCAGCTGTTCACCTGGGTTTTTCATCCCAACAATGATTAATCACGGCCGGAGAGCTCCTTGAGGCCATTGCTTCATTAACTTTTTTCATTCCTTTTTTGTCTTTTCCAGTTCTGTACTGTATATGTGAGTTGCCGTGTCCCTAGACTCGCCATCCTTACACAAGCCACTTGGCCCCTGAGCGCCCGCGGTTGTAGACATGCTGACAAGCGAGGCAGTATGCTCTGTTGTTTTATGTTTTTAGAGACATGACGGACACAATGTCGATTCCTAACGATAATGCCACTGGCGCATCGCTTCAGCACGACTCGCAGAACTCAGCCTTAACACCCGAAGAGAACCTTAGTACGCCGATTGTCGACTCGACACAGTTCCCAAAGGATGCGCAACAGCATTGCGCGCAGGAATCCGCCCTATCGGGGGGACCACAAAACTCTTCAGAACAGCTTCAGCCGCTTCCTGATGAGACATTAGGCAGTCAGACTGAAATCGCCTCCCAAGAAAATGGAACAGCATTTGCCAGTGATCGACAGACTCACGAATCTGAAGAGGAGGACAAGCACGCTGATGCGGATTCGAAAGAGTTAGAAGGGACTCAGGAGTCACCACATGTGCAATCGCTCTCTCAGGGTCAGGACGTTGCTCACGCAGATCCCAGTTCCCAAGAATCTCCGCGTGATAGTGACCCCCAGCCCTCATTGGAAGCTTCATCTTCGCAGGACCCTTTCAAACGGGAAGACATCATTGGGAGGACAAATTCCTTTCCTCCAGTGCAAAACACAGAAACTACTCCTGAGCAAGGCGCGGAGGTTCCACAGAGAGACGACATTGGCGATGGCGCTCCGGAAGCTTCCAAACATGAGGATGCTGCACCGCACGGGGTTACTAATGGAGAGGTTGATCAGTCAAATGGTGTCTTCTGGGAAGATTCTATGCATGAGGATGGGGAGGATGACTTTTTCGGTCAGTTGAAAACTCAGACGAAACCGATTTACGTGCCGCCGGAAGCCGATTCTCGATTCGAGGAAGGCGTCCCTCTCGTAGAGGATGTTTCTGGAACGCAAGAAGAGCCTACAGTTCAAGCAGAGTCTTCTATCAAGAAAGTCTTTGATGGCGATGCCGACGAAGGAGATGACTTTTTCAGTTCGGCCGCTCAGAAAGCATCGGCGGACACTCAGCATCCGGCAATCACACGGAAGAGTACTTCGCAAGTCCTTGGATCTCTCAACTATGATACACTCAACTCTCCCATAAATGAGCCTCCTGTTGAGTCCTTGCAATCATCACATGATGCGGGAGCTGAAGCACCGGGGGATGCCTCTAACACGGCAAAGACCTCCGAAGATGAGGACCTTGCTGCCAGATGGCAGGCGGAATTGGAAGGCGATGATGACCTTCTGTTAGATGAGGAACCCGGAAACCAGGCCCCGGTGACTCAAGAAGCAGAAACTGGAAATGCTCCTGAGCTTCTGAATGGGGTTTCTCACCCGGAGTCTGGGTCGCAGTTTGGGGCACAGCAAACCCCTACCCCAGCCTCTGTCCAATCGAATCCATATGCACCTCACCAGCCTTCGTCATCGGAATTGGTGCAGGGGTTACCTGTTGCGCCTTATTCGCAAGCGCCGGGTGTGGCCGCCTCACCATACTCAATGATGCCGGCGCAGGAGCAGCAGGGCGCAACTACGGAGAAAGCAGAGAGTTTCGTGAACAAAAAGGATGGGTACAAGTCACCTTACGATCTGCCGGATTCTTTTGCACGACCGCGGAGGCCGGCCGCGCGCAAGGCCGTTCCTCCACCGGGTACCACCATGCCAACACCACCGCCTCCTCCCAGAAGCAGCAGTAATCCTGCTGTCCCTCCACCACCGGTTTCCAACGCCTCTCCCCAAGCAAGCGGTATTCCACCGGCGAAGGAACCCGTCCCTCCACCCAAAAACTTCTACGAGGAACTACCGCCTCCGCCAAAGCAGCGCCCTGCAAGTCGCGGAAGATATACTCCCCAGTCGACGACTGCTCCAAGTGTCGGTCCTCCGCCTGCATCTTCTTTGGGCTCGCAATCCTCTGCGCCTCCGCCTCCCACCGTGACCTCTGGTGTGGATAACTTCTATCAATGTCAACTTCAGCCTCCCGAGCGAGTCGGTCCGTACACGAACCTTTCTGTTCCAAATGCGCCGGCGGGTCCTGGCAGTGGCCCTCGCTACTCACCGAAACCTCCCGCTGTGTCAGCTGGGACAAAACCTCCCTCGTCTCCGCGATACTCACCAGCTCCCGCTCCCCAATCCTCAACCTCGCCTGTTCGTAACCGCTATGCCTCTCAGCCGGCAGTCGCCCACACTGCAAACTCTCTTCCCTTCCAGCCTCGTACATCGAGCCCTCTAGCACACCACGAAAAACATGCGTACGGACCACAAGAATCACATGAGCGGCCCTCGACCTCTTCAGATACTCTTTCACCCCCTCGTACATACCAGCCTCCACAAACACAGGAGCAGCTCCCACAAAGCGGACAGACCTCCGGTTATGCCGCTTCAGAAACTGGAAAGGAATCGGAGAAGACATCTGATGTGTTTACACATCAGCCTTCTGTCCAGCCAACGAATCCATATGCTCCCGTTTCCAATGCAACTGAGCCTTCCCGGCGCCGTTCAACCGAATCTCCATACGTGCCTGGTTCCGGTGTGACTGGGCCGCAAATACCAACCCCAGCCGGTGAAATTCAATTCGCACCTCCTCGAAGGTCGCAGACACAATCACCCGGCAGGCAAATGAATGGTCCAAGCCTGTCAATAAGCTCGGCGGAGCCTTTTCAGCGACCCGCATCGGTTCACAATTCTAGCTCACCGGCTAAGGCAGTCAACCCCTATGCATCGCCATACGCGGCTGTGTCGAATCGGGAAGTTTCGCAGCAGGCATTCATTCCACCGACGGACGGGCAGGAATTGGACCCTCTTGAGCGCTGGAAAGGAGCTCCTGTCTTTAAGTTTGGCTTCGGAGGTGTCATCACATCATGCTTCCCCCAGCACATCCCTCGATATTCCGCTGGTCAGATGACTCCAATGATCAAACCTGCCCCTGGAGAGGTCAAGATACAGCAGCTTAAAGACATTGTTCCCTCTAGTGACAAGATCGTGCGATACCCCGGACCCCTTAAAACAAAATCTAAGAAGAAGGATGTTATTGCTTGGCTCTCCAGCAAGATTGCGGCCCTCGAGAACGAGGGGGTTCCGGAACCCTTCAATCGGATCCGGATCCCTATAAACGACATGACGAGAAGATTCTCCTGTGGAAAATGATCAGAGTATTGGTGGAGAATGATGGGGTGTTGGAGGGAACAGCTGACATCCAGAAGTCATTGCGTAATATAATATCACCTGGTCTGCAGTCTTCAGAAACCGATGCAACTTATGGGGGCGGTCAGACAACATCGGGCTTGTACCAGCCAACTAATGGTTCCGTACGGTCTGATGCTATAGACGCTGGACTCCTGGGACTTCTGCGGAACGATCTTCTGGTTGGAGATCGAGAAAAAGCTGTCTGGAGAGCAGCTGATAACCGTCTTTGGGGGCATGCAATGATCATGTCGTCGCTCGACAAATCACTGTGGAAGCAAGTCGTCCAGGAATTCGTCAGGAGAGAGGTGCGTTCGGCGGGTGAGAACATCGAATCACTGGCAGCACTTTACGAGATTTTCTCGGGTAATCTCGAAGAGAGCATTGACGAACTCGTGCCTCCGTCTGCTAGAGTTGGGTTGCAAATGGTCAGCAGAACGGATGGACATGGTCCTACTAAAAACGCTCTTGATGGTCTGGATAGGTGGCGTGAAACCCTTGGGCTGATCTTGAATAATCGAAGTCCAGACGACCATCGGGCTCTCTTCGCTCTGGGTCAGCTACTCTCTTCTTATGGCCGAACAGAGGCTGCCCACATATGCTATGTCTTTGCGCGAGCGTTCTCACCGGCTCCCATTTTTGGTGGAGTTGATGATCCCCAGGCATCGATCGTACTTCTTGGAGTCGACCATCGCCGGTTTCCCTTTACATTCTGGCACGATGATGATGCCATCCTTTTGACAGAGGTGTACGAATTTGCTACTTCTGTGCTTGCTGGAAATTCCGCAGCTGTTCTGCCGCATCTGCAGTCCTTCAAACTGCAGCATGCATATCAGTTAGCGGAAAAGGGTTATAAGAGTGACGCGCAACAGTATTGCGATGCTATTGCAGGGATCCTCAAAGCTACCACAAGACCTTCTCCATATTATCACCAACGCTTGTTCTCTGAAGTCGAAGAACTTTCAACCCGTTTGAGAGAGGCACCTGGTGATGGAACTTCTTCGTGGATATCAAAACCCAGCATGGAGAAAGTTTCCGGTTCCATGTGGGCCAAATTCAGCAGTTTTGTCGCGGGTGACGATAATGATGAAGCTTCTACCGCTTCAGGAAAAGCAGGCGATGCCGATGTGGGGCCTTTCGCGAAGGTGACAGGAACTCCTACTATCAGTCGTTCTCCATCAACCTCCGATCTATATGGTTCCTGTCCAATGGCCCAGCCCGTTTCGAGTTCCTCTTCACGATACACCCCCGGGAACCAATTTGCTCTCAGCTCATCACCGGAGCAGTACCGGAGTCGGTCCTCGATGGATTCTCAGAAATCGCCTCCCATGAGTGTAAACTACACTCAAAGACGGGGATCTCAGGATCCCTCTACGCCTGTGGATGGTAGTCCATACGTTTCAGCGTCGTTCAATACTCATGGAACGCCCCCTTATGCTTATCATTCTACTCCTCAATCTTCTTATACTCCTCTTGCACCTGTGGAAGAGGACCTTCCATCCCAATCACAGCAACCTCAGCCGGCGCCGTCCCAAGATTCAGCCCTCACCAGCGGTTTACGGTCCGGTTCTGACTCTTTTGGTCAACCTCTTGACCATTCAGAAAACGCGGACACGGAAACATCACAGAACACTGGTTACGAGCCGCCTACCGCCTCGAGCGGCTACGAGCCTCCGTCATATCAACCTGACGCTGGAACAGCATCTGATGAGGAAGAGGAGTCGCAAGAAGAGGAGAAGAAGCCAAAGAAGAAGTCCTTCATGGATGATGACGATGATGATGATGACCTCGCTGCTCGTGCAGCAGCTCTCCAAAAGGCCGAAAAGGAACGACGTGATCGTGAAGTTGACGAAGCGGTTAGAAGAGCCGCAGAGGCCGATGGTAAGTACATCCGTGGAGTTCAATATTCTCGAAGGATCAAAGGCTGATATGTTCATTTACTCTCCTGTAGCTCAACGACCTGCACAACCTGCCAAAAGGAGCTGGTTTGGTAGCTGGTTCGGAGGCAGAAAAGATGACTCCTCCTCTAACAAGCCTATCAAGGCGAATCTCGGTGAAGAGAATTCATTCTACTATGATCCCAATCTGAAGAAATGGGTCAACAAGAAGGATCCTAACAGCGCTAATGCTGCCGCGCGTGCCACTCCTCCCCCACCCAAGGGTCCTGCGCCACCAAGCAGATCTGCAAGCGGTAGTAGCAGTGCACCACCTGCGGGGGGTCCCACAATGGCTTCACAGAGTCCTCCTTCTTCATCCAGCCGTCCGTCCACTGGAACTGGTGCGCCACCGTCACGTTCTGAAAGTCCAGCACTTTCTTCTCCAGGTGCTCCGCTTCCTGGGGCTCCTAACGGACCACCTCGTTCCGTGTCTACTGCGAGTGCTCCTGGTGCAACGCCGCCGAGTTCCAGCTCTGGTCAGGCACCACCTCCCCGACCATCTCTGAGCAACGCAAGCTCAATTGACGATCTACTCGGTGCGCCACAGGCGCGCAAAGGAAACACGACGAGAGGAAAGAAAAAAGGCAGGGGCTATGTTGATGTTATGGCCAGATGATGAATGACAATGTCGAAGGGCTACCATAGCAGTCAGTGGTCCTTTGAACGAAGCATATGTCGACATGTGGCGCCTATTCAACATCCACTATGTATACATTTAATTCCTACGGGCATATCCTCGTTGCTGAGGATTGTTTTTTTCCCCGAAAGTTCCTTGACTTATTTTGCTTTTGGGCTGGCATTTCTTGTAATTTTGAATCTGGTGTTTGATGGTTTTGAGTTTTCTTGTTGTTTTTTTTTCTTTTAATGAGAATTTTTCCTTTGAGATCTTCAAGAGCCTTGCTTTTTTCCAGCAAGGCGGCTTGATTGATTCTCATCATGCATGCTTGACATCGGGATGGCGTATGATGATTCAGTCCCAAGTTAGTTGGCGGGTTTTCACTGAAGGGGAAAATCCCTCAACCATACATATTATCTCTCTGAAGATTCTTCGTCACTTGTGCATTTTTTTTCTTCTCTTTCTCTTTCGAAATATGCCTTCTTAGCTGTTATTTTAATTTTTTTTCTGTTTTGGCGAATGCTCTTGCATTAGCTTAGAGCTACATATTAATTTTAATGCTCTTTGAACTGTGCACATTATTATTGCTCATCCTTGTTTATTGAGGCATCTAGCAGCGTTCGTAAATTAATAACTAAATTCGAGGTTTCGGCGCAAGATTCTCGTCTGTCATTCCATTGGCAGACTTGCAGAAGGGCATTCATTGGTCAAATGCAATGTTGCATGTTGTAGCGATATACAACGTCGCCCGTAGAGCCCGCTGCGAGTCGTTGAAATCGTGGGAATCATCAAAATTGCCCCTGTTGGGACTTTTTCAGGTCGAATAGGAGTTGATATAGTACTTGGTTGTTCAGGATGTATCAGCGGACTTGTAATTGTTTGTTGTTTTTTATAAAAAAACTGAATACTCACAGTCAAGCATGACTCTTCTCCCGAAAAACCCCCTCGGAGATAGACGTAAAGGATTAGGGCGGTCTCATGGATGAAACCTGAATAAAAGACCCGCATGGTTAATAGATAGTGAACTATAGAGGTAAAGAATCTCTTGGACTGGCACTTACAAGCTACTACCTTCGGACTCAGTCGCCCAACACTCAGTACGCGACCCCAGTCCTTCCCATCAATGCGGACCTTTGCCCATCCGGCTTCCTCGTCGCCGTTCGCTTGCGCCCCCAACGCTCTCATCCTTTCGCTGGGTAGCTGCTCGATTTCTGTCTGGGAGAGCTGACTCGGATCCAGGGGCGGATTGACGAGGCCCGTCCAGACACTGGAAATCCGAAGTGCATCGGTTGCAATGGCCAGCTTCAGCGAACCGTGCATATTTGCGCTCAGCTCGAGCCTGGGTCCCAGGGTGGATGAAGACAATGAGGCGCCGCCTCCGGATCTACCTCTACTCCCGCTGGCACCATTGTTGCTCATGGCTAGCTTCGTAAATCGGTCCGATATGGCCTTCAATTGGGCCAAACTGGGTAGGATGATATGCACGTCAGGATCACGGCACCTGGGCTCGTGCAATCCTTCGACGACTGACTGATGCAGCACTTTGACGGGGATTTCTTGTGTGATAACGGTTTCTCGCTCCCGAGGCCCTCCTCCTCGTCTTCCCCCTGGAGCTGCCGTCTGAGACGGTCGATCATCGTCAGCTCCTGGAGCGGCGCCAACCGCTTCAGACGATTCTATCCCCAGAGCATTGTTCCCTGCGGTCCATGACGATACAACGACGGTAAGAGCAAGGAGGGGAACCGCACCCTTCTTTGTCAGACGCAGCTGAGCAGAATTCGCATTAATGGCGGAACGCAGAGCGCGGGAGAGTGCCCCAATGGGGACTTCGAGGTTGATCACACCCGTAGCGGACTGAACAGTGTAAGTCTCATCGAAAATAGCATCCTGTTATTTCGTGCCGGGTTGGAACTCCCCTCTCTTCCGAAGAAATCGAGGGGCGGAAAGATGGCAGTCAGCAATCAATACTCATTCTCGACATCATTGTTACCACATGGTTAAAAGGCTTATCTAGGCCTCTTCCATTGAGAGCCAGCAGACAGATAGGAAGAGGTTGAGAGAAACATACAATCGGCAGCTGCGCCCACACCTGCGTGCCCTGATCCGGAATGATCGTAAAACGAACGACCTCGTCTTCCAATCTCATCCAACAGATCTTTCCCAGAGATGCGAGCGACGCCGTAAATTCTACATGAATTCTTATCAGCCCACAATGTTCACGGTGGACCACTATTTGTGAACAACAGTACACACATACTGGCGAAGGTTCCAATGTTGGACAGCTGACTCCTGAAGCGCATCTCGCTCAGCTTACCAGACCAGGATGGCCTCTGGCAAGCGAGTGTCTCAAATCAGGGCCAACTTCACATCCAGACTGGAGTTATTAGATGTTATTGAGTATTAGCAGCCAATGATTGATGATGCTGCTGGTTGTTTGGACGCGATCGACGCGTGTCGGATCTCGCGTTAAGTGGTTTTGCTGGGTAAGCTTGTCGGCGCAGATGAGGAAGGCATGGTCCGTGCTTATCAGATCAACGGCTGATCGTCCCTGCCTACGGAGTAATCTGCGCGTGATCAAGGTCCACAATACTTTTAATAGCTCGAAGCTGTCATTCTCCATACTCATATCCATTGCAAGAGTGAAACACTCTTGTGTGGTCGCACCCATCCAGGCTATTTCAGTTTAAACAAAATCACATGTATTTATGGGCATATGCACTCGCATAGGATAGATTACTGATGGTTTATAGACAGAACTCTCGCCATACTATTCTTGAGGGCCACCTCTTCTACCCTTAGACCGTTCCATGGCGAGCGCTGCAATGAGTGCTGCTCCAACGCCAGATCCATCTCGCGCCGAATGGAGTGTGACGGGGTCTTCGGTACCCTCTGGCCAGTCTAGGATTTCCCTCAGGGCTCCGGCAGCTCTCTCCCTAAAGTTCGGGTAGTTGTTGAAGACAGAGCCGTCGACTCCAACGTGGCAAGATTGGATATTTTTCTTCTTACAGATAGCCGCGATACCGCAGGCGTACAGCCGTGCAGCCCGTGTACAGATTAGCACGACCAGATATCGAGAGACTTTGAGCTCGTGGGGAGCGGGTTTGATGCCCAGGTCCCTGTTGAAGATGCTCGCTATATCATCCAGCCCTTGAGATTGATCACCTTCCGCCGTGGACAGAAATGCGGAGTCAATGACGTGGGGTTTGCGGAGTGCAGAAATATCCTGTCCGTTGAAAAAGCCGCTCCGATCGTGGAGATCGATAAGAACGAGGCGAAGAATCTCACCGAGATACAACCCAGCCACCATCTTCTCGTATATCTGCTGGCCCAGCCGTGGTGAGCTCTCATCAATGATGCAATCGAAGCGTGTCCGGGGCAAGACTTTGCGATCATTATCGAAAGCACCGTATTCTGTGTTGATGGCGATCGGCAAATTGTCCGGAAGGCCGTAGTCCTTGATCTTGGGAATTGAACCACACTCTTCCATGTATGCAGCATTACAACCGGTGCTGAATATGCTGCCAATTTGGATCTCTGGGTCCTCGTACGATGACGCAATGAGAGTTCCTGTTGTATCATTGACAACCGCAATGATCTTGACAGGCACGTTCTGCGAGTGGGAGAGAGAGAGGTCAGCTTATACCATGACCCAGTCAATAAATAGGATGAAAACGCCGACACACTCTCTTCTCCAGAGCAGCTCCTAGCTGTGGTACAACATCATGGCCTTCTACCCCGTCAACGTCAAAGTCCTTCGTCCACCGCTGCAGAATCCCGCTCTGAATTGTTGGCTGGGTAACAGGGAAAGAGAAGGTGAAAGACACAGGCAGTTTCCCGTTCGACAATCCCTCAGCAAGGCGATTTTCCTGGATGAACGTTGCCGTGCAATCTGCGATGAATCCCCACAGTTCGTCTGCTGTACCAGATTTGAGACTTTCTGGCATCTGGTACTTGCTCTGGATGATCTCGTACTGGCCTCTTCCGTCTGTCAGGGCGACCTGGCATACCCGCAGATTTGTACCTCCCATGTCTAGTGTGAGAAACTTTCCCTGTTCGTTGCCTGACGGGAAACCCATGACCCAGGTAACATTCATGGGCTGAGGAAAAGACCCTTAGTATTCATTCTTCTACGATAAGCTCCGTGTGGTGCTGACTTACGATATTCCCACCTTCGGCAGTGAGACCTATTTCGATACGTGGTGAGTTCTCCTTCTCCGTTGTCGCGACTGCAATGAGAGGTAGTACCTTTTTCAAGCTCCTTTACAAAGTGTTCGGTAATTTGCTTGAGCTTCTCGCGAGGGACGACAAACATGTCTTCGAGTTTATTGATCTCAGACAAGACATCCGGGGGCACATTGGATAGTACCTCTGCCGCTCGTTAGAACCCTGGCGTCCTCATCCCTCAAGAAAATTGCTTACTGCCTCTGAAGGTCTTTGGTGGACTGCTAGACGATGCCATTGTGGCCGCATAGAGTCAATAAATTCGGCCTTGAAGGGATACTGATAACCGATATTGACCTTGTCAAGCCCCAGATAAAGAAATTTAAAGAGCCTCTCTGGCAATCTACAAAATGACAGTTAAAAAAACAAAGGAAATATTTACTAATATTCCAGCATAGTGAGCTAATGTGTGAGTACACATCGGCGGAATACTACTATTCGTCCGAATTGCTTGGGACCTTTTGATCATGATGACCAGAGGAGCATAATTCCGATTTCATACCGGGCATATCCGGAATTCAAAGCTTCGCTGAGCTGTGAGAGCAACCGAGCCAGGGCAAAGAAAAGCGAGATGGGATAGCCAGAGTAGCCAGAGCTTGGCTATAGCTATGCAACGGGGTTAACGCCATTATGACAGCATCAAGCTTAGCTGTCGATCCTTTCGAGCGCCAGAACCAACAAAGATCCCACGAATAGAATGCGAGGATTCCAACCAATGACATCTGGCTTAAGATTCTGGTTTGCGTGGGTGTGAGGGGCACACTGGTAGCCAATGTGTGTTATTCTTGATGGAAACCATGTGGAAATGCCATCTTTCCAAATCCACGACGTTCTAGCTGTCAGTGGGCTGGTAAACAAGAGCAATTCGGTTCAGTTGGGCATTACGTTGTTGTCGGGACGGAAGCGGAGTAAGGCGCCTTGTCTTGGTGCTGCAGCAAGGGGGCGGCCATCTCCACGTAGTCACTAAGAATGCGAGCCAGACAACGTGAACAGCTGATCCTGATTGCTCACATTAGCTAGGATGGGCTATGCTATATTAAGGCGTAGAGCAATCGATAGTGCGAGCGAGGGCGCTATTGAGGGCGCCGACGTGAAGTCACGTCTTTATCAGCCAGCTCCAGCCCCCTTTCGGCAAGCTGATTGCTCGCCAAGTCGCAAATTTAACCCCGGCTGAGCCACCTTCTTCCGACACAACGCGCGACAACGCATCTCTGCGACGCAGCAAACCACTATCAACCTCATCGTACATATCGACTCCACCGACGTGCAGAGAGCTGGTCTACTCTGCCACCACCGTTCCCTCACTTTCGCCTGCTTTCCTGCCACTTCCGACGGTCGCTTCCATGCGATCCCATCCTCCATCTCAGACCTTCGACTCGCATCTGGACTCCGGTCCCCTGTTTCCTCTCGACCCTCGTTAGAATCCAACCTATTTTTTTTTCCTTTCTCGATTATACCGAACCCTACGCTCGTTACATACTCTTGGTGTCGCATATCAGCATGCTTGCGTCCGGCAATGCCTTGTTGACTAATCAGAGATTTTGGCATTTGCTGTTAGGAACCCTCGACGAACCTGCGATTCTACCTGGCCCATTTTGAGCTGCGTTCCTAGCGGACGATGACCCTCGCGGTCATGAAAATGGGCGAAAACTTGTCATACCCACCTTTGCGCGTCCCTCCTCCCCAGACCCCACGCGACCCTCAGACTCCGTTGCGATCGCCGATGCGGAGGCCTCAGGTCTTCCCCGACGAGTCAGACCCTTTACTGGGTAATCTCTCTCCCGAGTCAATCCTTGACGCCCTCGCTGCCATCAACGCAGTCTCGAAGCACGAGAAGCAAGCAAAGGACCTTCTGGTCAAGACCATCTCCCAAGTGTCGAACGAAGAGCGAGCTCTTGGGGCTCGAGCAGCTATAGCGGCACAAAAGCTCAGGGGATGGCTCAAGGAGGTTCAAGGATGGCAGTGGCCAGTAGGGAGGGACGCTCAGTTAGGAAAGGATTTGTTCCATCATCAGCATCTCAGGCAGACACAAGTCAACCATCACACACTACGTCCTCGGAAGCGGCCGAGTCCGGAACAGAATATTTGGGGAGCTTACCCGCCGAGGTTGTGGCGAGATATGAGACACGGATTGAGGAGATCAGAGATGGCATGGATAGTCTCGATGTTGAAGAACTAAAGGAACACGTTTTGAACGTCCACATTCCCATGCGATCTCGACCTTCGTCGTCCAACAGTGCAATCTCCGTTGCTCCTCCGCCACTTTCCTACGTCCAGCTCAGCGACTTCAATGCTGTTATTACGGCCACTATTATGAGGGCGTTGCCCACGTTGTCTCGCCTGAATATCCTTCTCAACACATGGGACGCCCGTCTGCTTGTCTTGCGTCAGATTCCAGGGCTCCTGATGTCACTCAAGTCGGCTAGGGCTGCGCTAGACTCTTCCCGATCGTCCCTCAAGGACCAAAGTGAAGAGAGCGACTTATTTTCCTTGGATACGTTCCACTCCAAAAAAGACGAACTTGAGAAGATGGTTGTGGAAGCTGGCCGCAGAATGGACAGGATCCTAGATGTATTGGAAGGACGTCCCGACTCCCTTCCAGAGGCCTGGATAGACGATCTGGAAACAATTGAAGCAGATTTCGCGACATGGGTGGTTGAAGCTGAAAAACGAGCTGTCGAAAACGAGTTGAAGCGTTTACAGGCGCAAGAGCAGCAACGAAAGAAGGACGCCTCTCTCTCTCCAGTCGACAAAACAGACCAGAACAAAGAATCAAACAAGCTTACGGGGAATCCGCAGAACGAACGCGAAAACGGCGATAAGCCCATCGAGCTTGTGACTGAGGAGGAAGCGAGCCCCTCTAGCGAAAAGGTCGTCCTTGATTCCGAAACGAATGACACAACACCCTCCCCCGACAATGATGCAAGAGTCGTTTCGGAATCGCCTGCTTCAACTGTATCTGCAGAAGAAGACGCGGAATCAAGTTCTTTAGACACTCCAGGGAACAATGAAATCCCACCTAGTCGCGTCGAAATAACACCTCAGCCTGAACCCCCTTCGATCGCATCGAATACCTCACAAGAGGGTGATGATACGCTGGTGCAAACAATTCCCTCTTTTAATGCGCTAGACAAGGCAGTTTCGGTCTCTGATCCAGCCACGGACACAAAAGGGTCTTCGTCAGTTGAAGCGACTTGCAGAGATGCACTGGATGGAGCGGCAGACAGTGGCTCTGAAAGCAGTGCCCTTGAGTCTGGCAAAGAAGTTACAGAGGCTTCGCATATCCCTGATGGCGACTCTGATAAGTTGCCTCCTAAGACTGAGAATGATCCCCATCAGGTCCCGACAGATGAAAAAACGATGGAGTCTTCTGAGACAGAGCCACACTCTGAGGTGCCTGAGAATAATCAAGCAGCGCCTTCCCGATGTGAAGACCTCTCGGAAACTTTGAATAATGAGACAAGCATTTCAGAACAGCCACCTGATAATTCTGTCTGTGCTGGTCATGAAAGAGAAGGACTTGATTCACCAGCCGAAATCGCTGCTTCCGCGCCGAACTCCACAATTGTCTTATCTACTGAACTTCCAGAAAATCAAGAAAAGGCTGAGAATAAACCTGTACGGGGTGAAGAGACAGCTGAACTCGCAATTGATAATCGTCTGTCCGAGTCGCCGATCAACCCACCTTTGTCGCATACCCTCCAGACTGATGGTCTGGAGCCGACCAGATCCGATCAGGGACCGGTTGCACCTGAGGATCCAGATGATAGCGCGCTGAAGGCCAAAGAGTTCGTTGGACAAACTCCCAGAACTCCCGAACATGCTTCGAAATCCAGACCGGTGATCCATCACTCATTGCCTGGAGAGCAACCGACAGGCCCACATGGTCCTGCGGATGACGCTTCTCCTGAGAGGGATGCAGAGCTTGATAAATTCAACGAATCCCCGTCGATTGATGCACCCACTCCTGGACTAACTAGCAATGGATCACCTGGCCTCACCAGCACAGACAGCGAGCGCACTATGCGTGAAGGTCCATCGCCTCGCCTGGATCACGAATTGTTACCCAACCGTCGTTCCTTCCGACACACGAAAGCGGCAAGCCTGCCTTTACAACGCTTCATCAATGAGGGAATCCATACAAATTATGAATTGAATGACGGCTTTCAGGCGGATGATTATAGCACACCAAGAGCCTCTGATGCATCAGTTGGCATGCTTGAGAACAACGAGCAGCGGGTTATGCCAGCGCACAAAAAGAGTCCTACCCCGTCCCCGCCATTGGATGTCAAACCTCAGCCAGCTATTCGACCGGGACGCCCCGGTCTGGTCAGAGGCGCAAGTTCCACGCAAATTGAGCCTTCGCCCACCCTGCGGAAAGGACATACGAAAACCAAGTCCAATACTGCCTTGAGTGACATTGTCAATAGCCGTAGCTCACGGCAGAAATTAGCTCCTTCGACAGATGTCGGTCCTGGCTCATCCTCAAAAACAGCGGGCCCTCTAGGCAGATCAGTGGCCGTCAGACTAGCTGGAGATCTTCGCAGTCAGCCCAGCATGGACAGTATAGGCTCATTCAATTCCAATAGTGAAGCGGGAGACGCGCAGAGCTCTTTTTCCATGGACGACGAATCTTTTGCAATGATGAAGCCATTCAGCGAAACCGACGAACAGCTTCAGGAGAAGATCAATTCTATACTCACAAGTATTCCAGCACGCATCCGTCTCAGCTCGACTCCCGCATATGATTCAGATCAGCGATCTACGATCTCCTCGATATCTGCATCAAAGAGAGAAAGGCTTGGTTCGAGATCTCCCTTTTCGACACCGAGTCGGAGCAGCACGCCAACCCCGTCGCTTACTCTGGCACCAGCTGCGTCACGGCCTAGACGTACGCATGCTCACACAAACGAGGAGAAGACGGTAAGAGTATACCATCTCCATCAGCCGGGGAAAACTGCACCGACAAAGCTATTCGTGCGCTCCGTCGGTGAGGATGGGGAACGAGTAATGGTACGAGTTGGAGGTGGTTGGGCTGATCTTGGAGAATACCTGAGAGAATACGTCCACCATCATGGACGCCGAGCAGTTTCAAGCTCCCGCGTCGAGGTTCAAGATCTTCCAACCCAGGGCTCTCCTGCAATGTCTTCTCCTGGTTCTACGTTAACACCTAGTACCGATAACGGTCGTAGCACGCCGCTGTCCCGCCCAGCTTCAGTTATGAGCAATCGCCCATCCTCGTCTCTTTCTGTTCACAAGAGACGACCTTCTAAAGCCGCCTCGGATATAGGAGAGCTGACAAATGAACATACACCATCAGAATCTGATCCATCTTCTCGTCGTTTGTCTGTTGCGTCGATGAATTCCGTCAGCTTCTCCGTCGCAGGAGATGGTGCAAACGGACATTCTCCGTATACGGGTTCCTCAAGGCATTCAACTCCCTTGGGTCTAGCTGGTCCCACGCCTCGCTCCAGACGTATGTCGATGAGTCCAGAGAGTGAGGCCTGGGTGGAAGGCGTCATAGGCCAAGCAAGAAGGACATCGTCTTCCGCGAAGACGCAAAAGCACGGCGAGAGTCGAATGGATCGAGAGTTTACCGGGATTAGAACTTTGAGGGACCCAAATCCCAGGAGTGCCAGTGACATTGGCACGGGTCTCAACAAACGAGTCTTACTGCGCGGACTTGGCGGCAAGCTGGACCATGAGTGATCTGTTTTACAGATCAAACAAACTTTCATGGCGTGAGATTCTGCTCTCACGCTTTCCTCTCCCTTACACTTTCCTATACTCCTTTTACATCCTCCCACCCTCATACTCTCCTTTCCTCTTTTTTCTCTCATATCATATCTGTCTGTTTTCTACCATAGTCCTGGCGTTGGCGATGGTACTATTTCGATTATTTGTTTGTTTTGGCGATCGGTTGCATTTTGTCGGTTTCTTACTGTACTGTACATCTGGATTGGACCTCTCTCATTCAATTTTTTTCCTTTTTCCTTTTTTTTTCCTCCGGGGCATGTTAAAACTGGCATCAGGGTGCTGGACGGATACAATACATCATTTTGGTTCTGTGGCGAGATTTGTCCGTGTTTTTTTATGCATGGAGCATCCATATTTTTTTTCTCAGCTTGTTTGGTGACATCGTCATATCGACCTTTTTTTGTTTGTTTTTTTGAGTTATTCGTACTGGTTCAGCTTTAGTTATACCCCCATCATGTTGTTGTTATTTCTGTTCTGTTTCTTATTGTTGTCTTTTTTTCGCTTTTCAAGGTCATGTCCATACCATACCATGCCATGCCATGCCATGCCATTCATGCATGCGCACAATGTTTGCCTTGCTCTTGCTGTTTTGTTTTTTGGCCAAGTCGAATTGAATTGAATTGAATTGGCATTTGGTTGGTTTCTTGTACTGTACATAATACTACGGACAATGACTACGCGTAAAGATTCATGCGTTCAAAGTCAGTCAGTTAGTCTCACTCGCCTGCCTGCTTGCTTTCAACCAAGGGGGGAAAAGAAATCAAATTACACGATTATATTATGGAATTGATCGTAATCATTATTATTGTCTGGAATGTATTTATTTCTCCATTGATTGATTGTCTGACTGATCAATCGATCACTCCGAAACGCGCGGAGAGAGAATTACAAAACAAAAAACGGTAAGAACAAAATAACAAACCTAAGAAGCCTGCAAGAACAAAGAACCCAAGGGGAGGAGCAAACAAACAAAAAAAAAAAGTCGAGAGAAAGAGAAAAGATCAATCCCGATCCCTATCCCATCCAGTGTCCAGTCCAGTCCAGTACCCGTAAAGAAAAGAGAAGAAAAGAAAACACCGATGATTGAAAAAAACAAAAGGAAACCCGCTTTCAAACAAGACTTCTACAGACATCCTGCCCGGCCCGCAGGAGTCGAGCAATAGTCTTTCTTATAATATATTAAATGCGTTGAATGATGGTAATGATTGTGATGACAATGATACACGGCAAGCAAGCGAACAAGCAAGCCAGCCTTTGATTGACAGACAAGACGAGGAACAAGAAATAAACAAATAATATAATATTGCTGCGTGCAAGCTGCATGCAGCTCGAGAGAAAAAGGAGTGAGCAGAAAGAAGGGAGGGAGGGGGGAAGGTTGGATGAGTGGACTCGGCTAGCGAGGCTGAACGCTGCTTCCTCCACTGGGTTCCTTTGTTTCTTTGGAATCTCGAGTCAAGACCTCCCGGCTGAGGAGCTGTCGGAGTTCCGGAGAGATGACGCTCTCTTTCTCCTCCTTCTTCTCGGCCCCGACGCCGCGCGCAACATGCTGGCCTATACTGTTGCCAGTGCTGAAAGCTGCGCGCTGAGGGGATTTTCCTTTTCCGGCGTCTGAGCCATCAGGACTGGAAAGCCGTTGGCGGGCGCCTGGAGGCGCGGGGAAGTTGTTCTTTTTATCTATGGCCTGAACCCTCCGTTCGAAGCGACGGAATAGTGACTCAGCTCGAGTGAGAATTGGAACCAACTCCATTGTGTTGGAGAGTTCGTTAACTATAGGCGCAAATTATGGTTAGTATTTGTCATGTTGAGACAATTAAAGAACATATGGTCGACGTACTGTACTTCAGAATCTCGTCAAAATGCCTGAGATGGTCCATAATGACGTCTCGATGCTTCTCGAGGATGGCCAACGCGATAAAGAGATGGAAGCTGCTAGACAAATAGTCCGTCCACAGAGTTTCCCAAAGGCGAAGAATATCCGCCCATGCAAACTCGCGCTTGTACCATACTAGAAGCATCCGGAAGAAGAAGAAAAAGTTTGTGCTATCAGCAGACTGGAGATGGAGGTAAAGTTGGGGGTCCATGAGCTGAACGAGTTGATCAAGAGTTAAAAGCTGTTCACGCATGCCTGATTGGTCTCTGAGGAAATTTCGTTCCTAGATGTAGATCTCGTAAGAATCGATCGACTAGTCATTGTCGAAGTCATGAGGGATCTCTTACCATTCTCTCCATAAACCCTACGAAACCCCAGAATGCAACCGCATCATCCTGCATGACTGCATATATCGGAGCGAGAAGATCACTCATTCCTTGGACGTATCCTAGACTGGGGTTATATTCATGATATGTCAAGAGCATGTCCTTCATCTGCTCTAGATGCACGTTGGTGCCCGCATCGGCAAATGGAGAGTCCGGGTCTGGGTGAGGAATATCCTCCCCAGCGAAGAGAGGAATGGTACGATCTGTACGGTGAACATCTTTCTCTGCAGAACAACAGGTCCGGTAAGTAAAACCGGGCTAGTTTTGGAGAGAGGAAAATGGGTAAAACCTACCAATGCGAGCTTTCTGCTCTTTCCACCATTCGTACTCCTCACTAGTGCTGTCGCCATCGAACATCCTCTCCCACCAGGCGCCCTTCAATCGCACATACTGATCCCTTCGGGAGTTCATGACAGCTCTCCGTTCATCTTCGCTGCTGTCCCAGGCATATACGCCAAGGAGAAAGAGCCACGCTTCTTTTCGGACCCCGTCATTCGGGTCCAAGCCGCCGTGGAAGATTCGTTCCTTGACCTCGTCGACAGTAACCTGTAATCTTCCATCTTGAGGATCGAACCAACTTTTCCACTCCTGGAGAGTGACCGTCTTCCGACGATCTTGAATCGACATCGTGCCGGTCTCAAGTTCGAGTATCTCAAAATCCCCAACAGAGCTATTTTCCATCTCCATGACATCCCGTGCGGTCCAGATCCGCTGGTTTCGTTCCCGCTCGCTCTGCTCGGCGATACTCATTGCCCACCGTGCTAGATAGATTCTAGCACTGTCGAACTCATCCTGTAATGTTTGGATTTCAGGATTCTTCATCAAGCGGCGGACCTGCGGAGGAATCCTCGGGTTGTCCGCTATTTCGCTGGCCGTTCTCCGCGTGAAGGTCGTGATTCTACTGAGCCCTTCCAGCACCCTCCATCGGGTCTCTTTCAGCGCTTTCGTAATGGGATCCATGGCAGCGTCTCGAGGTGGGTTGGCACCAGCCTGAGGCTTAGCCTGGTCCTTCGCCTTTCCAGATGCGCTCAGAGGCCGACCAAAAGACATCTTGTCCTCTTCCGTGGGATTGATGAGATATACGGTTGGATCTGCTCCGGACCGCTGCACCTCCACATACCGCCTGAGCCATCTTAAGACCTCGTCACCACCCCAGAACATGCGACCTTCGTCGGAAAAGGGATCAAAATTCTCGCGGGCCCTCTTTTTCTTCTGCAGAATTGTCGATTCGCATTCACTGTCATGGAAAAATAGTGCGGGAAAGCTGTCCCCCGCCTTGGTGTTGATCACGAGGCTCCCAAACCACCACCCGAGACTTGGCGGGCGAACCAGCAACGAGTATATCTCGGAGAGCGGGACCGCGAAGGCATACAAACCGATCGGATCTTTATATGTCGTGGTCGTCGGAAGAGGGGGGACGAGGTATGTCTGTTTGGGAGGGGAGGAGCTATCGGAGAGGTCAACCTTGACGTAGGTGCTGTAGGCGTCACCCAGAGCCGATTCCGGCACCCAGGCGAGGAGAAAGGACGAGGCATCTGCATGTTGCGAGGAGCTCGACGATAATTGATTGTTTGTTCTTGTTTCTGGAGCTGGTTTCCGTTGGAGCAGTGCAATAAAGCCTGGGATGTTGTCTTTGGAAGAAGGCGTAGGATGGACGTAGACCTGTATGAGTAATGTTTCCATGTCAGTCAGAAACAGAGAAACAGCGGAGATCATAACAGTACGTACCTTGCTTTTGGAAAAGAGCAATTTCACGCCCCTTCCCGACTTGGTGTGGGAAATGGTATTGTACTCGCTTTCTTCCTCATCGCTCATGTCGTAGAAAGACGCAGACGGAGACGGCGGCGACGGCGGCGGGGTGAGCTGGGTTCCAGACCCTGCCATGGCTGCGTCTCTTTCTCGTCAGAGATGATATAAAATACGGCCCCCGATCCACTTTGCTATGCCATGAGTGCCTTTGCAAGAGAGAAGACGCTGAGGACGCGAGCTTGGAATGATCAATGCTCCTCTGACTACTGATCAGCTGCGGAGGTCACGACGTAATCGTGGGGAAGCCCACCGCCCGGCTTACTAACGCTCTAGGCAACCGCAAAAGCAGACAGCGCTGTCAATCTGATTTTAATTTAAAATATTTTGGGTCCATTATTGTGTATTATTTATTTACTACTCTAGAGGATAAATGTCGGGAGCAAATTTTTCTCAAGTCAAGGAGTTTGTGTCGACTCAAACTTGCTGTCATTGCTGCATTAAGTTAGTTATATATAGTTGGACACGTCCTTCACGGCCGTGTATAGCACAAGCTAAAAACCCAGGAACAGATGCAGAAATTTCAGAGGCCAAAATTAATCAGTACTGCGTCAGTACTAATAATTAAAATGACTGGACAAAGAATATTGTCCATGACAGAGACCCGAATCCGTTCAATACTATACAAGTCAAGCATGTGATTGCAAACCCAGGTTTCACGTGGGTTTTAGAGACGGTTATCGGTTTTGTGCTGATTTCTGACACTTTGAATCACCCAGCGAATCTCTTCAGCCATCACATCTGGTCGAACAAGATTGACATTGTGTCCACAGTCGGGAATATCGACCAAGCGAGACTGAGAGGAGAGCTTCAACTGTTCCCCTTGCAAATCTTCATTGATGTTATCCCATTGATCCAGTAGATGCCGAAATGCTTTCCTCTGTTCCTCTGTGCCATTGCCTGCCCTGATTCCGCTCTCGTATATTCTTTCATAATCCCTTGAACTCCGACATCTGATCACGCTGAGTGGTCTGGTGCCCAGCGCTTGTTTGTTATATTGATCCTTCTGGGCAAGAGCCTCGCAATTTTCTGCGAAGGCTGCGGCCTCAGCTTGCTGAGCTTTCACTCCCCGAGCAGTCTCGGCCGCTCTCGTCCTCCACTCGTCGCGAGTCAGCTGTGAACGGGATCTCAGCTCCGTAATCTCAGAGAATTTCAGGTCTCCCATGACGGCCAGGATGTTTGGATCCGGGATTCGGAAGAACTGGCACTGTCTTTCCGTAGAGCTTTCTGCAAGCACCATCCCGGCCACATCATCCGGGTTCAGATGCAGATACTCTCGAGCAACGATACCGCCATAAGAATGGCCAACCAAAATGTATGGGGCGGCAATGCCGGTGGCCTTTAGCAAGGAATGAAGCTCCTCCGCTGCAGTAGTTGCTGACACACGGTTCGGTCCATCCTCGCTTCGGCCCAGGCCTGAGCGGTCATAGAGGAGGATGCGGGCAAACTTGGACACGAGCCGTTCGAGAGCAGGGTATGATGAGGAGGCCTCTCCAGAGCCCGCGAAGATGATGACTATTGGTTCACCCGGCGTGCGAACGGGGCCGCTGACAGATGCGAAGAGTTGGTGAGTGCCGATGGACACAAGGGAAGACTTGGTGGCCGAAGTCTCCCACTCATTATTCTGCGCAAAGTCAGCATCCATTAAGCTCTGCACAGAAAGTGATTGTCCCTATGAATAGGTACCGGGTCTTACTGCGAAGCTTAAGTGCCCCGTCGCTCTTCCGTATTGAGTAACTAGAGTCGCGTTTCTGTTGGTCCTCGGTTGTTCTGTGACTCGATTAGATGGTCGGGCTTGGCCTATCATCATCGAACATATCACTGGGCTTGTTAGCTACATTCCCCGCGCCAAAGCCTCTCCACTCCTGCAATCGTTTTGTTATCTGATTGAATAATGGGCTATAAGCGAAGTGCTTGACATACTTGATATCTTCACGGACATCTTTTAGATGATTCGAGCACGGGAGCGAAATCAGGTTGCTAAGCAGCTGTGGCCCTACACCTTAGTATCTCAATCTGGTGGCCAAATCAGCATTGAACCATTACTACTGGAAGATAGGTAATAGATTACGTGCTTGATGGGCTCGTCAGACCGGGATCCTGTGCCCTCTTTAGGAAACCACACGCTCGTCCAATCGTATCTACTATCGTCATATTGCAGCTCCGGACGATTTACAGTTACAGCCATGGCATTTGCAGGTTAAAAAGAGATCATAGTGATGTCAAACTGAAAGTATCAACTGTCGATATTCTGCTGATTTATGCCCCTCTTGTAACCCATCTGTTGAATCGCCGTTAATCAATACTGAAGACAAAATGTCGGAATTAGCACGAACCCTGCCGGCCTCCTGGTATCGTAGCCTGCCACTGTATCAACTGGAAAGGCGGGCAGTGTTCTTGAAAGTATGCATACCATTTTCCGCATCTTCTTATTATTCTTACAGTTATTTGGTCCCGCTATTCAATGGATGTAACGAGATTGACAGGCGACTGACGGATTGTATAGTCTTGGTACTTGCTTGGTCCTGTGACACGGTTTATGAATGTCGATGAAAAAGTCAGCTATGAAATTGCTCAGCAGGAAATTTACGCAGTCAGAGTTTCCGACAGGTCCCCTTTCCCTGGACCAGGTGATATCAAGGTCTTTTCGGCTAGCACTGTACGTGTATCCTCAACGATCCCAAATATGACATGATAGAAGTTTCATACTAATGATTGGCAATAGGGAGCAGAGCTCAGGAGCTACGTGACCCCTACAGGACTGGTCTTTACCACGATCTCGGACGAAGCGCCCAGCTTCCATGAATATTTTCCCGACTTGGAACCTCTGCTTGCCAAAGTCGATTTCACCAAACGACCCTACCGTCGTAGTATCAAGTACGAGGGGCATTTCAACTGGAAAACTATGTACGTTATCTGCATGAAGACAGTTTTCTTCTCTGGATTCTAATCGGATATTGCAGGGTTGATGGCTATCAAGAATGCTTGCACTGCCAATACACTCATCCTTCGTTTTCCGTCTATTACCCTCCGACATTCTACACGGTCTACAACCATCGGAACTTCTCGCAGCATGTGGCAGATCCGAAGAAGCCCGACGATGGCTTGTTCCTTTACTTTTTCCCCAATTGCACTTTGAACGTGTACGGCGGCGGAATGTCCTCCTTCCGCGTCTGTCCGACCGAGAATCCTACAATCACCAGGATGGAGTTTGACTACTACCACGTGGAGACGGGCGACAAATTTGAAGAATACTTCAAATTCGTTCGACAGGTCGCTATTGAAGACTACGAGTTGTGCGAGAAATCACAAGAAAACCTGGAGAAGGGAGTTTACAACGAGGGGATCCTGAATCCAGAGAAGGAGACAGGCGTCGCGCGTACGTACAATCTGGGTTGTATCGAATATTGATGTCTCGAACGTTGCGCTGACTTTCTGTCATCAGACTACCAGGAACGAGTCTTTGATCTCGTGTGCAAACAATATGAGGCTGAAAAGCAGGCCGAAGATAACGACCAGCAACCACAGCCCGAGAGGGGCATTGGACCAGAGACGGTTCAAGCAGCGGCATGAGTGATGGTCAGGATTCGGGATTCCATGTCTCTTCAGGTCTATGCAGAGCTCCTCACACTTGCAGATCTGAATTCAGCGTATAGGCAGTTGACTGAGCTGTACACCGACCCATTTCCAAGTAACTAAGTTAAACGCTGCCAATGAAATTCCTGATATTCTTGATCGCGCGAAAGGGCCAATTGTGCTGTCAGTAGTGAATTGTCTGCAACCTGATTCGACCGGAGTTGGTCCCGTAGTCGACCCCAGGTCTGTGCCACCACTCAGAGACGGAGGATTTTTTGTCCCAATTGGGTAACCTATGCAACGCATCTCAAGCTCGGCCGATCGATCAGCATTCTGCTGCCAATTGTCTCAGATATCGTCTTCAGGAACACGATTTAGTGTTAAGCTACTGTTCTATTCTGACAACGACGGTACCTTTCCAAATTCCCCGCAGTCTTTACTTCAATGAGTCACGTAGCGGCATGCATTGAATTTAAGAGGGCGGAAGCTCCCTCCAGAATTGCTCTGAAGATGTGACTCGCGATTGGCAAGCATTCTTTTACCTCTCAAAATACGAAACAAAATGGTGGAATTGCCTTCTCTGAGCTTGTTCTTGGTATTCTTGACCGGACTGGCCATGGTGCTGGGTGGTCATGCCTGTACCGAACACAGCGTCCATCACGGCCTTCGAATAGAGAACGCAGACCGCAGCAAGAACCAACCTCAAAGCACCACGAATTCTCTGCCACTGTTGTCAAGGAGTCGGAGTTTCCTGACAATTGGTGGACTGGAAAGGATGTCTTCGAGCTCGAGAAACGAGCAATCTTCAGTAAGGTGTGCATCCAAACCCTCCCAGAGTCCGTATTACATCACGCTGAAACTCGAACAAAGACATGGATATACATCTGTCACCGTAGCCGCTTCTCCAAACCAGGAGATTATCACTCTTTTGAGCTGGCCAGCTTTCCGTTCTTCTTGATCCTTGGGAAGGACAACGTGGTGCGGGCTTTCCACAATGTCTGTAGACACCGAGCCTACACCATTACGAAGAAGGAGTCCGGATCCTCCATGGTGCTTGGATGCCGGTATCATGGGTGGAGTTATAATACCCGGGGCGCGCTCATCAAAGCGCCGCACTTTGAAAACGTGCCGGGATTCGATAAATCGCAGAACGGCCTGTTCGAGATCCATACTGCTATGAGTAAGGATGGATTGATCTTCATCAACATGGACGCCAATCCTACGGTATCGCCGCCCGATTTCAAATCCGCAGATGCGTTCACAGCGCGGCAACGGTTGGGAATAAAGTCGACATGGATTTCTGGGTCTACGTTCGAAGCCAATTTTAACTGGAAAGCTGCAGGTGAGTTGCCAAAGGCAAAAGAAAAAAATGGAGCACATGCTTACCGCAAGAAATGCTAGTTGAATCGCGTCTGTTTGATCTACGGATTCCTGAGGACCAGATCCCACGGTCTGCGTTAACTTCTATCTTCCGAAGCATCAAGAATGGCTCATTGGAGACACAACAGTCAGAGCTCACACTCTTCCCCAACTCTACACTGTACAGAATTCCAGGTACCGACCTTTGGTATTCCATCTGTCTGCTGCCGTCTTCGGAAGTGCATACCCGTGTTCGATGTGATCTATATTCCGTCTCGCCCAAAGTCAACACTACTGCTGGGAGAGTCTTGGAAAAACTCGACGAGATTATTCGCGATCGAATCAAAGCCGTGGAAAATGAATTCACCTCTTCAGCAGGGACCAGGTATGTGTTAAACAATGCTACAGTATATTCTTTCCTGTGGTGAGTACAGGGGCTAACTCTTATTTCGTTCACCAGCCCAAGCTTAAACAATTTTAAGCGCCTGAATGAGGAGAACAGAGGTGATTATCTATCCTTCCTATCATAACTTGCACAACACTTTTCAAATTCTTACTGAGTTCTGTAAACACGAGCTGATAAGAGACATGACATCAGATGCGCAATATGAAATCCTCCTTCATCTGAAGACGCATCTCAAACTGGAGAAGACCCTCGGGAGCGAAGTATCCCCTGCGATGAGACGGTCTCAAACCAGCAAGAAATACCTCCAGGCTGATATGCGTTAGTGATTCTTTCCCACCCTGACTCTACGAATTACTGCTAATCGTATGTCACCAATTTGCAGTGTGCAAGGAGCTGGACTGTCTCAGCAAAAAGACAGATGGCACTGGAACTAATGAGGTTCTCGCATGGTGAAGACTGTTTTTTATTTCCCCCTTCGGTTGATGACAACCATGTCCGAAGTCTTGTCATGAACTTCAGTCATAACTCACACAGTGAATTCTATTCGCATATCAGAATAGGAGTTTCGTAACTAATCACCATCTACGATGAGAAATACGCATAACTCCATCCATTTGATTTAGTTGATTTTTAGGTTCAGTAGTACCAAACACCTTAAATGGAAGAATCTTGAAATAAACTGCTCAAGTATGGACTGGTTCAAGATTAAAAGCAAAGGGGAAACATAAAAAGGAAGAAATTGGATTGTTAAGGTACAGTAGAGGGCAATTTCTAGAACATGTACTGTTGACTTACGTAAGCATGAACGAAATGGGTTTAAAGCCACCGCCACGGTCAACAAGGACACGGAAAAAAAAACACCATTTGTTCTGTACTCTGTACTTACATCACAATTGCAACCCTCTACCGCTCGACTTGTACAGATTCGAGCTGGCCGTTTGTATATTTTTAGGATCATACGGAAATCATAGTCAGATATCTCGGAGTGAAGTGATTGCTTGCTTGTACTCAAATTTTGTCACAAGCAGTGCGGAAATTATGTCCGCGCCGCCCATCGTCAAGGCCACGCTGCAGGCCGCTGTCATCAATGCCAGCTCAAATGTGATGGCGCAGGCAATTACTGCCTATAGGACACAGGTATGTAGAAGATGGACTTTCTTTTTGTTATTCTTTTGTTTTTTCTGTTGGGCCTACATGATGACCTTTTTTTTTTATGGTATGTGGTATTCATGAGGAGAGGGAAAGTTCCTCCCGCATTGATTACAAACTTTGCACCCCAAAGCTGAACGGCCTAACAACCCAAAAAAAAAACTGGGGATTTCTTTGACGACTGCTTTTCTTTTTCTTTGTGCGCAAAATATTAACGGTTTAAAGATGAACGCGTTGACTGACTGAGTCCGATGTCGTCTTTGCCTGGGGGGATTCCGCTTTGTCGGTCTCCCAGGCTCTCGTCGACCAAATGTTGCAATATATATATAGAAACCGTTTCGACTCGATGTCACGTCTCTGGTGCAGTTCACCACCTGTGCCGTGATCCTGACTCCGTTGACCTATCTGTGGATCAACAATCTCGAGTCGGCCTTCCCTGCTTTCAGCAACGAAGACCACCAGCAGCCGAAGAAGACGGACGAGAAGGGAGACGGGAAAAAGAACCAGAAGCTGAATATCAAAAACACGGTTGCCAAAGTGGTGCTCGATCAGACGGTGGGAGCGGCCTTGAATACGGTTTTGTTCCTCACCACCATGGGAATCCTGCGGGGGGCAGGATTCGAACGCTGTTTTGAACTCTATTCGGAATGTAAGTCTAATTTTTGGTTGATTTTCATTATGGGAATTTTCTTTGTGTGCTTGTCTCCATCTCACGTCTTGGTTGGTGGAGCCTTGAAAGAACATCAGTTTTTTTTTTAACCAGGCGCACTTTTGCGGGGATCTGGACTGACAATCTTCCGTTTCAGGATTTCTGGCCGATTATGATCGCGGGGTTGAAAATGTGGCCCCTGGCGTCGATCCTTTGCTTCACCGTCGTTCCTCACGATAAGCGGTTGCTTGTCGGAAGCTTGTTTGGCTTTGTCTGGGCTATCTATCTCAGCCTGATGTCGAACTAACAGGATCAACGGATGAATTTTTTTATAAGTGCAGATGGCAGTAATGAATGTTGCGAAGACATGATTTATGAAATATGATGATGACGAAAGATCCGCTGCATGACTGTTCTTACTACTGTTTTCCACCTTTCGTGTCTCCTACTCTTTGCTTGGATTGGAGGTTGATCCTAGACCCTTTGTTCTTGTTCGAATATCTTTCTGCTTACAGGCGCATGATTTGTCGATCCCTTCTGGAACAGGGAAGAGGCACTCGATCTATTGCCGGACTCGGAGCGGGTATGGATTTGCGGTTTTTAATTTACTGGATAGAGATCCATTAGATCTTGATGAGATGATGATGATGATGATGTTGGTGTTGGTGGACGAGCCAATGAGATATGGACTTGGATTCTGCCGATCTGCTTTCCTCACGGCCTTGGACCGATCGGAGATATTCCTCCTACTGCACGGGTATAGTCGTCGATTGGCCTTGTCCAATCCAATGTGATGGGAAGATCAACACATCACCATGCAAGGAAGGGTGATCGTCAGAGATCTTTGACATGCGCATGCTTATGCAGCAACGGCGTGTTTCTAGTCATCCTCCCACCTCACAGGTACAGAATACGGAATCCGGAATCCGGAACACAGGACATAATTCCCTCAGAGTAAGGCCAAGGGCATGCAGGGCTATCTATCTACGGCCCACTAGCCCATAATCCGAGATCCTTCAATAGGTAGTCCATGATCCTTCCCGCCTTGACGTTGGTCAATATGACCAACGACAGCCACATGATAACCACATGTGCATCTGGCCCCCATCATCGGCGAATGACGGAGATGTATGCACCGTTCCTGCAGGAACCGTCCCAACAGGACTAGTCCTGACTCCTCCGTAGTCAGTAGTCTGCTGTGCTCAGGCCTCGATAATCTACGGAGGCTTTTTTTTTCTACGGGGCTTCTAGAAAATGGCCCTGTACACCACCAAATTCCTAGTACATATAATGTGGCTGGCGGAGGATTCCCGGCATGCCGACGGCAACACGGGCTAATAAATTACGTATGTACAGTACATACGGAAGAGAGGTATAATTTCCATTCGTCTTTTTTTTTCTTCGCTCATTCTTTCCTGCTGAAAGTCTGAAACATAGTATATCTATCTAAGACGAGTTTGGTTGACGACGAGGTCAGTCATCATCCTAGTAGTAGTAAATAATGCCTGTCTCTCTTATCTACGGAACTACGAAGTACCTATCGGCCTAACTATTAAGTTTAGGACTAGGTTAGGACTAAGCATAGGATCCCGATTCACGGCTAAGAATAGCGGCAAATAATGTACTCCGTAGATGAAACGAAAACACGAGATATAACCCTAATTCGATGGATAGATTTTAGCAATTTGGGGGGTTGGTTGGTGTGCTGTTAACTATTGCTGTTCTTACTACTACAGTTTGCAGGTAGAGTGGTATTATTATCAGTATGGCTGTTACTACTGATATAGTGATACAGAGAAATACCTAGGTAAGCCACTACTACTACTACTATTGCTCAGGGACTGGGATAACAGTCACGAAGAAAGTCGAATTCAGATCAGATCTCTCACTCTCTGTCGTCTGCTTCATGTCTGCCTTTACGGATGGAACCGACCCAATTGAATTGAATTCTGTACCTAGTCTGCGAAGTCTAGAACGCCGAAGGATTTCCTATTTGCTAATATCGACTAACTAGGTCTGTCACAGATAGATCCTTTGCAAACGAAACAGTGGAATAATTTACTGTCAGGGACCGGGATCGGAGTGTCTATCTTAAATCCTTCCAAACCAGAATGGCGAGGCCCACGGGGATAATTAATATAGTCCATTTCTTGTTATGATTATTGTTTAATCCATGTCCTTAGTATTATTCCGTATTGAGTATTTAATCTACGTACGGAGTAACTTGTAAGTAAACTAGGTTATAAATAGTACTTCTTAGGCAAGAGTATACTGTCTGAGCGCTTATTTAGTTTGAATTGCAAGTGATTGCTAGATCTGACTAGAACTTAACTGTTCGTTTTGACCTCCAACACATACAGCCCACTCCATCCATGACGCCATTTGACTCGCATCTAGCCGCGAGCCAATCTACGAATAATATATCGGTGATGGGAAATTTAATTTCATTCTTGTTAGGTTGGCGATGTTCTTCGAGAAAACGAAACGGCGCACGGAAGCCCGGCCTAGCGCGCGCACGGTTGGGGGCCATTTTCTGGAAGCTGCACTAAGCTCAGCGGGCCAATCGCGATTGGCGGATTGGGGCGGCTGTGCATGCGCCGTGTCGAGTCTTGATCGATGGATTTGATTGACAGACAGAATGCGTCTGTCGATAAGTGCAGTTCTGCACACAGCCTTCTTCATCGCGCTTCCGGTCTAAAAACAGAACAGAACAGAACAGATAGGAAGCCACCCAGTTGAGAACTATCTCCAACGCTTCCAGCTGCAATACCTGTAGAGAGGGTTCTTTGGGGCCGACTCGACTCGGGGCAGGAGCGACCCGTCGATCAGTTTCACGCATTGGCGGCAGGCGCAGCCACCCCGCCAAGCGCGATCTGTCCAATGCCAGTAGTAAGTGTAACTAGTACTCCGTAAGTAAATGACTCTTGACGAACTGGCCCCCTTGCGGGCTCACGATGCGGGCCTCGTGAGTCGTGCTCGTGGCTGCGAGTGCTCTGGCCCGGTGCCCCAGCCTGTCTGGGCTGGAATCGGAGTCCTGCCCGGCGTCTGACCGGATGAAATCACGACCGGTTTGGGAGAATGCGTGAGACTGGGCGTGAAAGCCACAGGTGACACGATGGCAGATGCGCTGACGATGCAGCTGACTGTTCTAGGACCAACACAGGCAGATCATACGAGATCGAGATACCGGATGTGGAACCCCCCGGGCGAGCATTCGAGCCCTGCAGTCAGACTGTCAGCCATTCTAGCGCGCTGCCTTAGCACACACCACCGCCTCCCCACTCGCGATGCTCCAAAGTTCAACGGCTCAGCGATCAGCCCGCACCCTGGTCCACCAGCGGCTGCCCCCAAAGATCGTGGCCTGGACAAAGCCGTCGAGCACCAGGGGCCGGGAGCCCGCTGTTGGCGACGCAGCCAATCGAGTCGGCCTCTGTCGCGTCAGCAGGAGCCTTGGAGATGCCCGCTTTGTGTCACTCCACTACTAGTACGGTGCGTGCCCCAGCAATCCGATTACTGACCATCTCGATTGTCGTTTTGCCTGCAAACGTGCTTCTGGCCTTTGTCTGTCTGGTCTGAGCAGAGTGGCCGCCCCGCGCGCGATCATGCCCGCTCTCTTTGTCGCGTAGCGATTTACTCCATCTTCTTCTTCTTCTTCTTATCACCCATCCCTTGCGTGAACAGAAGATATACGCATCCATGGAAATCGGGCTGTGAGCATTACTTCCAATTCCTCACCCAGGTTGGTGGCATTTCTCCGACTCGAGGTTTTTTTTTCTCGGGGAAACTGGCGATCATTCAGTGAATCGCTCTTGACAGTGACTATCAATGACTCAGCACTGGCGACCAAGAATATCGCTGACTGCCGAGTGCTTCAGACAGACATAGCCCGCCATGTCGTTCGCTTCCCTGCGAAGCAAGAACAAGAAGAAGCAGACACCAAAGCAAGGCAATGTGGTGATAGTCAAGTCGTTGCTCGATGTCCGTATGCCCACCGCGGACGACTCGGTCCGACAGAATCTGGAAGAAGATATCGAGTTGGGTCTTCGTCGATTTTCGCGATCGGAGACTGACCTCGACTATTTTCCTTCAGTCATGGACACGTCCGAAATTCGTGCGGGTAGTGATCAGAAGCGCGAGGCCATAATAGATCGGACAGGCTCTCTGGGGGGAACCAGAGGGAAATTCGTCCGTGGCCGGTCCTATGCGTCTCACAAGCCGGCCGCATCTGTATCGCCCATTTCTGAACAAGGCGAGGACGGTTTCAAGGTCTCTTCTCCGGACTCGATTGTCTCTCCGTTGTCTCTGGAGTTGCCGAAATTCGGCCCACCGTTTGCCATTGAGAGTACCATCTTCGAAAATCTAGAGTCCATCAGAGAAGACACGCCCGGCTTAGGCTCCATGTCGTCGTCTCAGGAGGCCTTTGATAGAGCTTCTTCCTGCTACAGTCAGGGTTCCCCGAGGTCGAGCATCACCTCTGCGCCTTCTGTCGGAGCTGGGTGTCCCCGGTTAGTCTTGGATGCTAACAGAAGCTTTTCCATCATCAACCCCGTCGCCGCCGGCGTCTTTGATGACGACGACCCGGACCCGGACAGCAACGAAACGCAGCAGGCACCAGCCACGACCTCGATTAAGCTCCCTAAAATACGATCCGATCTGAAAAACAAGCCCTTGCCGCCGGAGCCTCCGTTAGAAGTGCCACCACCTCTACGCCAGTCATCATCGGCTGGTAACAGCCCCCAGTCCATGAAGTCGCTGGATGAGAGACGGGAAACCATCTTGCGTCGTTCCCGAGTGCCGACGTTATCTCAAGCCGCTGACGACCTGGAGAATCATCTTGCCAAATTAGTCGAGTCCCGCACTAGCAGCGAGGAATCCCCCGAATCCCCTGTTCTCCTCATTCAGGATCCGAAAACCAGTGATGAGGAGATTGCACCCCTCGATATTTCTGCAGAACCCAGTGCGGAAGACAAGCAACCAGAGGGAAAGCCGGATACAAAACGATCCAGTACTCCACATTCTTCTCGCAACGAGACCGGGTCCGAATCCCATCCTGAGAAGGAGAAGGAGAAGGAGGAGAAGAAAATCAGCATCGAGTCGGCGACCTCGACTGACGAAGCCAAAAGTCCTGAAAAGCGCAAGTTCCGATTTGCCCTTCCGGGCCGTGGACTCACTCGCAAGGCTACGCAAGCGCCAGCCCCCAAACTTGGTCGCTCATTGACTCAGACGGAAGCTGACCCCAAAGTCGCCGCCAAGAATATGCAACGCCATATTGAGACCCAGATCTCACTGGCCCTGAATCTCGACGAAGGGGAAGGGGAGTCCGACGCCGAGTGGTCCACTCTCCTTCCCCTCAAGGCTGTGAAGCAGCTTGGAATCCCGCTAATGTCGAGCAGCCATATCCCCAGACTATCGTCCTCAGCAACGGAACGAAGCCTGCGATTACAATTACCTCGGCTGCAGACGAGTCAGTTCGAACGTCCCGTGTCTAGTCTTGATGGCGAGAAAGCTGCTTCCGAGCCAGGTTCAGTTCGAGAGACCCTCTTCATCGACTCGCCGATCGAGGAAGGTGATCAAGCTGGTTCGGATGAAAACAAGATCGTCGTTGGGATCAGCAAAATTGACTATCTTTGCCCCGATACCTCAACTCAGCAAGTCCATCGGATGCACCAAGGACACCAAGGGAAACCACGACCTCGCTTGAGTGAGCTGAACCTGATGACGGAAGTCTATGAACTCGACGCGGGTGTACCGTCACCTGCTCCCAAAGCTTCCAAGCCATCCAAGATTGTCAATCTCCCGATGCCTCCTAATACCCCGGATGAGGTGATTTTGGCGCTTATGCGTAACGTGGATACCTTCGACGAGCTCTTCAACTTGGCGATAGTGAACAAGCAGTTTTTCCGTGTCTTCAAAGCGAATGAGCTCCCGCTGATGAAGGAGGCCTTGTTCAAAATGTCTCCTCCGGCGTGGGAGCTGCGCGAAATGAGCCCCCCATGGGGCGCAGAAATGCACGGACTCCGGGATCCCGACGCTCCGGTTCCGGAATACACTCCCACTCTCTACCTACGCCATCATGCTCGAGATATCTTCACTCTCGTGAAGCTGAAGTCTCTGATCTTGGTGCGCTGCGGCTCGTTTCTCCGGCCAGAGACCGTTCGCGGTCTCGCCGGGGTGGATGAAGTTCGTGCGGGTGAAATCGACGAGGCCTTCTGGCGCATCTGGACATTCTGCCGCATTTTTGGGTCTGGGAAGAATCGTGAAAACGATATCCATGGCCAGATGGATTGGTTGAATGGCGGGTATCTGGCAGAGCAACAGAGGAATGGGGCCACTGTATTACTGGCGGAGCCTTTCTTCAGCATGAACAATGTTCTGTTCGATCCACCAGCCGGATTTGGACGAGGGAATGGGTCAGGACTATCACCCCAGCAGTTGTACGATATGACCGAGATCTGGAACTGCTTTGGCGTCCTCCTTCAGGCGGTCCATGCCAAGTGCGATGAGGCGCGGAAAGCAGGCATTTTCGACAACATTGACATTCCGGAGGGTGATCTTGCGAAGGAAGAGGCAATGCTCGGTAAGTGCTAGCGGCAAGCAAGTTCCTCGCTTCGAAACTAATCCTTGGATGCTAACCCTTATATGCAAGAGGAGTGGACTTACTATGTGCTCACGCTGGGACCCTCTGCGTTGGTCAGTCTCGCTTCCGTCTGTCCAACCGACTCGGCAGAAGCGACCTTCCGCAAGGCCAAGCAAATGGGCTTGACGAAATGGGAACCGCCTCTATATGGTGCCAGTCGTGCCTCCTTCCTTCGCGAAGCGGTCTCGCGGACCTACGAGGCCAGATTTACGGCCCAGAATTCTCCCCGGTCAGCACAGGCAGCGTCAAGGGGCCCGTCATCCGCTATGAATAATCGCGGGACACCTTCAAATGTGGTTGCACGAAGTTCCGAAGATAGTGCAAGGCCAGGGAACTCGCAGCAACCACGATCCCATCACAGCGGCCAATCATCCTCAGACATGGATGACCAGGTCAAGAAGAATGCTGGTGTTTCGAGATCGCCTGACATCGGCACGACGTCTGCGCCAGCACCAGCTTCATCCTCCACTTCTCCACAGTTTATGGATCCCGTTGACAAGGCGATGAAATTGATGGTCGATGAGCTGGGCTTCAGTGAGTACGACGCCAAATGGGCGTTGAAGATGACGGACACGGGCGACTCGATCGACGCCGATGCGGCAGTTCGCCTCCTCATGCAAGAGCGCAAGAAACGCGGGAAGAACCATATATTCTCGCGCCTGGGGCGGACTGCCTCTCGGAGCAGCAACAGCGACACATACAGCCTGGTCGATCCACTGCGAAGCGCACCACCGGCATCGAATGGTGGGCCAGGGTGGAGATGGGCTTAAAACTGTTGTCAGAATCATGCGCGCGATGACAAGGCCTATTGTCGACTCATCACATTTCCGCGGCGGACTTTCTTTTATCTGCATATCTCCTGTCTCACATCTTTTATTAT